GAGTGACTCCTTCGGGAGATTTCATAAGGTATGAATTTAGAAGATAAGGGAATGATTGTTATTACTTTGATCAAACTAATTAATTAATGCGGCTAGAGAATAGTTTTGTGTTTCGTCGGTTCTTAAATATGATGTATGTTGTGAATTGTAAGATCATGATGAGACATAATGATTTATATGTTGGATGGGAGAGAAATCATGTTTTCATGGGGGTTGGTTATGTAGCATGAGTCTAGGAATTACATGTTGTCAGGTTATAATAAATGATTGAGGAATGCTATGCTTTTCTACTTGAACTTAGTAAAATAAATGTCTGGTTTTGTGGAAATGAACTACGAATGGCTTGATCCCTATTTGAGGGTACATAGGCAGTCTAACGAGGAGGTTAGATGCAGCCATAAGGTAAACGAAAGATTTCTTTGCAATTTGATTCTCGAATTGTGATTGCCATATTCCTGAGACGGGGTATGTGAGTTATACGAGTATTTGGGTGACGTCACGTGTCGATCCTAGACGTATGTCGGGATCGGGGCGTGACAAGTATACCTCCGGTGTTGGTATAAGGTCAGGACTATGGTCGTCTGTCTTCGGTTTGCCTGGGTTTTTATGTTTTTTTTTTTGGTTTTGTGATGGAATGGATGAATGAAGATTCTTACAGTTGGAACCAAATTTATGCACCACCATTTATGATGGAAATGCTCAAACTTGTTAACCTGTAAAAGAACAAACCGGCGTAAGCAAGCCTAGGATCGCGGAAGGGAAGTGTGTCGGTCAAAGCCCAACAGTCAAGTGTGTAAGTAATATTAAAACTCAAGCAATAGGTAAGAGAATAAGTATGCAGAGATTGCGTTATCAGAGATAACTCTAGAAGGTGTACTTATACCAGTCGAGGAAAGAACCTTTTAGGATAGTAGAATCCTTATTAAACCAGAAGAATCCCAGAGGATATCTAGGAAGTGCATATTACATCCTCTTAGAAGTGTGAGTACTTGTGGCGCTGAGTCTATGAACAAGATGATGGTGGCACCACTGATCCATTTAGTCAGCTTTGCAATGGAGGCTGCTGAGTCAATGACTGGACTTCTGAAGTAGGCATAATCCAATCCGTCTTACTCTGGCCTTGAAAAATTATGTCTCACCCTTACTTTATCAAGTAAAGATTAATAATTTTTTTCCAAACTCTCAGACTGCTTACTAGGGCTTTCCTCCAAGTGTTTCCAAAAGAGGATACATGTTATAGAGTTTCTTGCAATGATACTGAGGAGGGGTGGTGATGAAAATTATGGAACTTACAAGATAGATGTACAGTGAAGAAAGTTCATCACTATGAAATTTTTTTGGAACATAAACTGTAAAAAAGATGATATGTGTGATGTATTATATACACGTTACCTACTATGAGGAGGAAGACAGATTAGTCAGAAAATATGCACCATGACTAGTGAAAAGGAGAGGAATGGAGGTCTCTATATATAATTATGTGTACATAAAGCTTTAGCTCCACACATAAACTCACTATCACTTAATTCCTTCATGTGACTAGATAATCACTTTCCGGATTCAGCATAGAAGATTATATTTTGTAGGCTACCAGGTCTCTATTAAAATTGTATTTAATTATTAGAATCACTATTCAGACAACTTATAGCAATTGTATTGATCCCAATTTTTTATTTTTGTCTTTTTGAATAAGTGGTGTTCAATTTTCATTTTTGCTATTGAAATGATGTTATGCATTGTTATATCTGTTTAGGTCATTATTTCTATAGTTATAGATAGTGTTCGTGAGCATTTATAATTTGCTTGGTTGGGATATAAGTTTAGTTTAAGTAATATTGATTTTTATTATTTTTTTCAATTTAATGACCTTTTGTTTTTCCTCAATATAGACAACATTAACTTGGTCAAATTGCCTCAGTTGCTCTCAATGTTCCTTTTTGTGTGTGTTTAGCGCGGTTCATTTATGAATCTACCCCTAGTATGCATGTGTTGGCAATCGTGGAAGGCAGATGAATTGTCTCACTTTCAACTTCTCTGCTTCCATTCCTTTCCTTCTTTTCTCTTCCGACTCTCTCTCTCTGTGCGACTTAGTTTGATTTTTTCGTTGAATTTGGGCACGACATAGTTCAAGATCATCACTACAAAGTGGTTTTTTTCCCGTCTTCAACTCTACCTCTTCCTGGTTGCAGCCACCCCAAAAGCTGGACATCCGGCCGCGTCGCCCCTCTCCATCCGACTTCCCCCTGTTCTCTCGCTCAGTGGGTATGACAATACAATAGGTATGGAAAAAAATTTGGCACTTAATTGTTCTACTTAAAACTCACATTCACACAAAGCTGAACTGCCTTGAGACCTAAAGCCTCCAGGCAGAAAATTTGTTTTGACAAGTTCCTTTTTTTTTGTGTTCTCTCAAACGCCTTTTTTTGAAAAGTTGATTGGCCAACCAACCTCTTGTATAAAGGTTGCTAGAATGTTTTGAATAATAAGTTCATAATGTAGGCGGAAATTTTTGGATGATATTTTGACCTGGCTACTTTGCATTATTTTGGTTGTAGCATACCAAGAATCCTTTCGTTTTTTTTTTTTTTTTTTTTTTTTTTTTTATATCAAATGATATGCGTGTCCAAATGCATTTAAAAGTTTCTACATTTACTTAAACATTTATATTTTCTGATCTCCAAATACACTTTGGATGAACTTTAGACTTTTGATATATATGGATGCAAATAGAATTTTATATACTTCACACGTTTAATACAGTTTTAAAACCCAAGGCATCACCCGGGTTCAATTGCTAATTATAATACTAATAGGTAAATTGGTGTATCAAAAAAATTTACATATAGGTAAATCAGTTAAATGTTTTATATTGGTAGGTGTTTGCAAATGGAAATTAGACAAGCATAAACAAAATATTCTTTATCAACCAAAAAAAGAGCGAAAATACTATTTAATGTTCTATCACACAAAAAAATAAAAAATAAAAATTTATGGCTAGTAATGTAATTTCACAAAACCAAATTTTGTTTTTTTTATTGGCTTTTTAGCCAAAATGGTCATTGAGATTTGCATAACACATCACTTTGGTCCTTGAGATTGAAAATCAATAGAAATAGTTCCTGAGATTGTCCACCATCCATTATTTTGTCCTTCCGTTAAAAACTCCTTTAAGTGTCTTGGAGCTCTTGGCTGAAAGTTTGGGCAATTTTCAAAGCTTCATAACTTAATCATTTTTTAACCAAATTCGACCCATAATATATTAAAATGAAGATAGGAAAGTGTATAACAAGATTAAACCATTTGGAAGCCCAATAGTTGTTGGAGATGGCCAGAAAATAGTCTAAAAGGTGACTGATCTGCATGAAAACTGGAAAACTCGCCAGAAACTAGGTAAACTTTAAACGTTCATAACTTCTTCAATACTCAACGAAATCGAGTGATTCAAAAATGAAAATCATATTTCTCGATGAGATGAAGATAATGGTCTTTTTTTTTATGGCTAAATCACCGTGGTTTGGCCAGAAAATGGCTATCTTGGTCTCAAGTTAGCCATTTTCAAGCCATTTTTCGGCCAAACCAAGGCGAATTAGCCGTCAAGAAAGGTACCATTCTCTTTGTCTCGTTGAGAAGTATGATTTTTATCTTTGAATCACTCGATTTCGTTGAGTATTGAAGAAGTTATGAACATTTAAAATTTACTCAGTTACTGGTGAGTTTTCCAGTTTTTCCTTGGACCAATCATTTTTCAAGCTATTTTTCGGTCATCTCTAGCAACCATTGGGCTTCCAAATAGGTATAATCTTATTCTACACTTTCCTATCTTCATTCTGATATATTATGGGTCAAATTTGGTTAAGAAACGATTGAGTTACGAAGCTTTGAAAATTGCCTAAACTACTGGCCAAGAGCTCTGGGACACTTAACGGAGTTTTTAACGGAATGACCTAAATAATGGATGGTGAACAATCTCAAGGACCATTTCTATTGATTTTCAAAGTGATGTGTTATGCAAATTTCAGGGAACATTTTGACTAAAAAGACTTTTTGATTTAAACCTACCTACATGTAATACTAGCATATATCTAATACTAAAAAAAACAAAAAATAAAAGACAAAGACTTCTTTCCCAACTCCCACTCACTTTCTCCATCTTTTTTTTTTTATATTAAACAAACGATATTATTTATACTAAGAAAGAGAAGAGTGGGCTTAGCCTTAATGTGGTTCAAATTCGCTTTCGACGAGAATCAAAAGACCTCTCACTTACAAGTGAAGAGGAATATCATTAGATCATAGTATTAAGTGGCTCCTATTTTAAAAACAAAAGTAAAAAATGTTCACACACACAAAGTGGGTAGGCATATGGTAGTATGAATTATAATAGGGCTTTTAGTTCTCATAATTAGAGTGGGTAACTAGAATATTTGACATAATCAGGATATTGTGGTATAAGTTAAAAATATTTTGCTACAATAATAAGTCAGTTATTTGTTTATATGGCAACCTAATTAAATTTCAAATTTTATTTGGATGTTTAAAAATAGATGAGTTTGTATTTAAATAAAAAAGAAAGAAAAGAAAAGAGCTTTACGAGCCTATACTTAAAAAAGTAATGGTAGGAAGACTAAATTTGTAGATAATATTTACAAATTAAATAATGTGCCACCAATAACAAATAAATACGTTTATCAACGCTTAAGTAACAATTCAATTATCAACTTCCATATCATTTTATTTACAAAATTTTGTATATATATTTTGTCTCTCTAACATTACTAGTGACTTCTTCTAATGGTTCTCTCAACTCCCACTTAGAAAGCCCCACGTGCCATTCATGTGTTGAGTCTCAACCACCTCAGACTACCAAATTTTGTATTATAGCCACCGGGTCTGACCTGAACAACATCTTCTCCCAGATTCTCCCCTCAGATCCTCCTCTTGAAGGTAACTAAAATCTTTTTTCATTTACTCGGGTTAGCCGGTTTGATAAGCATTACTCATATCTATGTAACTTCTCCAAATGGTTCTCTCAGCTCCCACTTAGAAAGCCCCACGTGCCATTCACGTGTTGAGTCTCAACCACCTCAGACAACCAAAATTTGTATTAAAGCCACGGGGTCTGACCTGAACAACATCTTCTCCCAGACTCTCCCCTCAGATCCTCCTCTTGAAGGTAACTAAATATTTTTTCATTTATTTAGGGTTAGTCGGTTTGATAATCATCTCAGTTTTCAATTTCAGTTTTCAGTTTTCATATTTTGAAAAGTGAAAACTCGTTTGGTAACTGTTTATGGTCGTTGAAGCAAAACCAGTACAATTCTTTTTGGTCGGATTTCATCTGAGTTTTAATTGATTGTTTCGTTGATCGATTACTGTAGGTGTTCTTGTATTTTTCTTAAATTTATTCATTTGGTGATTGTGAATTGTTCAATACCTGTACAGAACTGGAAACCAAATATTGAAATATGAATAGGGTTAGCTAGAACTTTTTCAAGAAAAATTATTCAGTGGGTTAAGTATTGTTACGTAGATTATCGGTTGACTATGAAGAACAGAGAGTGTGCCTTAAGTTCCATCTAACTGTCCATTAGTCAGACTTGGAAGGGTAAAATTTTCCTTTCAGTTCGTATCAAGGTTTGACAATTTCGAGTTGTAGCTGGAATGGATTGAAGACAGCAGTACGATGATATATATATATATATATATATATATACTCGAAGTCATAGAATTTTAATCAAACGATAGGAAGGGAAACTAATTTCTTCGTGTGTTTGATTCTTCAGACCGCTATCCAATGGCTCAACCTATGGAGATATCACAATCCGGTGCATTTGTGAGAGCTCCTTCTGTTTTTCGGAACTTTATTTCACGGGACCCAAATTCGCAGTTTCCGGCAGAACCTGGGAGATATCATCTGTATATATCATATCTTTGCCCTTGGGCTTGTAGGTGCCTGGCATACTTGAAACTCAAAGGACTTGAGAAAGCCATCAGCTTTACGGTAGAGCACTTTATATTAGATTATTACTTATTAGGTTTTCATTGCAAGAGACAAGTTAATATTGTTTATCTGCTTGTTTTGCTCAGTCGGTCAAACCAAAATGCGAAAGAACAAAAGAAAGTGATGAGCATGTGGGGTGGGTTTTTCCTGCGTCAGATACCGAGGTAGCTGGAGCTGAACCTGACCCTTTGAACGGAGCAAAAACTATTAGGGAACTTTACGAACTTGCAAGCACACATTATACCGGAAAGTACACAGTTCCAGTATGTTCACTCATAAGTGGCCTTTTCATTTTTCTTTCCTTTCGCTTTTGTTATTCTGGTTGTTGCTCTCTTCTGGAACTAAGTGATTGATCTTTTCACTTTTGTAGGTTCTATGGGATAAAAAACTTAAAACAATTGTCAACAACGAGAGTTCAGAGATTATTCGTATGTTTAATACTGAATTCAACGACATAGCTGAAAACGCATCTTTGGACTTGTATCCTCGTCACTTGCAATCTCAGATTGATCAGACGAACGAATGGATATATGACAAGATAAATAACGGTGTCTATAAATGTGGGTTTGCGAGGAAGCAGGAGCCTTATGACGAGGTATGTTTTGCAAGCTGTAATTAGTTTCGACTGTGTAGGTTCTGGTGTTTACATTCTCTTTAAGGACTATTTGTAATTAGTTTCACTGGTTAATCTCTCTCTTCTCAGGCTGTGAAAGAATTGTTCGAAGCTTTGGATAAATGCGAGGAGATACTTAGCAAGCAACGATACTTGTGTGGGAACACGTTGTCTGAAGCAGATATTCGGCTGTTTGTCACTCTTATCAGATTCGACGAGGTACTGATACTTGTTTCCTCGATCAAGATTTTATATTGTCAGAAAATCTGCCTGTTTCTTCTGCACCGATGTTGTTACATTGTCTTTAACGATTCAATTTTTTCCCATTGACGGCAGGCTTACGCAGTCAACTTCAAGTGCAACAAGAAACTGCTACGAGAATACCCTAATTTGTTTAACTACACGAAGGATATCTTCCAAGTTCCTGGAGTAAGCAGCACAGTCAACATAGATCACATAAAGCAAGGCTATTACAGCATTGTGGCTATCAATCCATTCGGAATAGTTCCTATCGGCCCAAATATCGACTACTCTTCTCCTCATGACAGAGACAGGTTTTCTACATAGTTTGTGTACGCTGCAGCTTGCAGATCAAACTACATATCGTTTGTGTGTTGAGGTTGTGCGTTTTGGTTCCATTTGTAACTCGTGCTTTTGTATTTTGAACCTTGCATCTTAACTTTTGTCAATAAAAATTGAGCTTTATCTAGTTAACGAAATCGAGTGATTCAAAAACGAAAATCATACTCTCGACGAGACGAAGAGAATGGTACCTTTTTCGAAGGCTAAATCTCCATGGTTTGGCTAGAAAAGGCTCGAAAGTGGCTATCTTGGTCTCGAGTTAGCCACTTTCAAGTCGTTTTCCGGCCAAACCATGGCGAATTAGCAGCCAAGAAAGGTACCATTCTCCTCGTCTCATTAGGAAGTATGATTTTAATTTTTTGAATCACTCAATTTCATTGAGTATTTAAGAAGTTATGAACGTTTAAAGTTTACCCAGTTTCTGGCGAGTTTTCCAGTTTTTCCATGGACAAGTCACTTTTTAGGCTATTTTTTGGCCATCTGCGGCAACCATTGGGCTTCCAAATAGGTATAATCTTGTTCTACACTTTTCTATCTTCATTTTGATATATTATGGATCAAATTTGGTTAAGAAACGAATTACGAAGCTTTGAAAATTGCCCAAACTTCAGATCAAGAACTCTGGGACACTTAAAGGAGTTTTTAACGGAATGACCAAAATAATGGATAATAGACAATCTCAGGACCATTTCTATTGATTTTCAATCTCAGGGACCAAAGTAATGTGTTATGCAGATCTCAAAGACTATTTTGGCTAAAAAAACCTTTTTGACTTAAACCTACCTATATGTAATGTTAGCATATATCTGATAATAAAAAAAAACAAAATATAAACTTTCCCGACTCCCACTCCCACTCCCTTTCTCCATTCTTTTTTTACCAAACGATATTATTTACACTAAGAGGGAGGAGAGTGGGATTAGCCTTAATGTGGTTCAAATTCGCTTTTGGCAACAATCAAACTTAAGACCTCTCACTTACATGTAAAGAGGAATACTATTAGACCGTAATATTAAGTGGCTCCTATTTTAAAAACAAAAGTAAAAATGTTCACACACACAAAGTGGGTAGGTATATGGTAGTATGAGTTATAATAGGGCTTTTAGTTCTAATAATTAGGGTGGGTAACTAGAATATTTGACATAATTAGGATATTGTGGTATAAGTTAAAAATATTTTGCTATTATAATAATCAGTTATTTGTTTATATGGCAAACTAATTAAATTTCAAATTTTATTTGGATGTTTAAAAATTTATGAGTTTTTATTTAAATAAAAAAGAAAAAAAAAAGAGCTTTACGAGCCTATACTTAAAAAGTAATGGTAGGAAGACTAAATTTGTAAATAAAATTTACAAACTCAATGATGTGTCACCAATAACAAATAAACACGTTTATCAACGTTTAAGTATTAATTCAATCATCAACTTCTATGTCATTTTATTTACAAAATTTTATATGCATATTTAGTCTTTCTAGCATTACTTGTATCTAAGCAACTTCTTCTAATGGTTCTCTCAACTCCCACTTAGAAAGCCCCACGTGCCATTCATGTGTTGAGCCTCAATCATCTCAGACTACCAAAATTTGTATTATATAAGCCACCGGCTCTGACCTGAACAACATCTTCTCCCAGACTCTCCCCTCAGATCCTCCTCTTGAAGGTAACTAAAATCTTTTTTCATTTATTTAGGGTTAGTCGGTTTGATAATCATTTCAGTTTTCAATTTTCAGTTTTCAGTTTTCATATTTTGAAAAGTGAAAACTCGTTTGGTAACTGTTTATGGTCGTTGAAGCAAAACCTGAGTTTTGCTTAAACAATTCTTTTTGGTTGGATTTCATCTGAGTTTTAATTGATTGTTTCGTTGATCGATTACTGTAGGTGTTCTTGTATTTTTCTTAAATTTATTCATTTGGTGATTGTGAATTGTTCAATACCTGTACAGAACTGGAAACCAAATATCGAAATATGAATAGGGTTAGCTAGAACTTTTTCAAGAAAATTTATTCAGTGGGTTAAGTATTGTTACGTAGATTATCGGTTGACTACGAAGAACAAAGAGTGTGCCTTAAGTTTCATCCAACTATCCATTAGTCAGACTCGGAAGGGTAAAAATTTCCTTTCAGTTCTTATAAAGGTTTGACGATTTCGAGTTGTAGCTGGAATGGAGACAGTAGTACGATGATATATATATGCTCGAAGTCATATAATTTTAATCAAACGATAGGAAGGGAAACTGATTTCTTCGTGTGTTTGATTCTTCAGACTGCTATCCAATGGCTCAACCTATGGAGATATCACAATCCGGTGCATTTGTGAGAGCTCCTTCTGTTTTTCGGAACTTTATTTCACGGGACCCAAATTCGCAGTTTCCGGCAGAACCTGGGAGATATCATCTGTATATATCATATCTTTGCCCTTGGGCTTGTAGGTGCCTGGCATACTTGAAACTCAAAGGACTTGAGAAAGCCATCAGCTTTACGGTAGAGCACTTTATATTAGATTATTACTTATTAGGTTTTCATTGCAAGAGACAAGTTAATCTTGTATATCTGCTTGTTTTGCTCAGTCGGTCCAACCGAAATGGGAAAGAACAAAAGAAAGTGATGAGCATATGGGGTGGGTTTTTCCTGCTTCAGATACCGAGGTAGCTGGAGCTGAACCTGACCCTTTGAACGGAGCAAAAACTATTAGAGAACTTTACGAACTTGCAAGCACACATTATACCGGAAAGCACACAGTTCCAGTATGTTCACTCACAAGTGGCCTTTTCATTTTTCTTTCCTTTCGCTTTTGTTATTCTGGTTGTTGCTCTCTTCTGGAACTAAGTGATTGATCTTTTCACTTTTGTAGGTTCTATGGGATAAAAAACTTAAAACAATTGTCAACAACGAGAGTTCAGAGATTATTCGTATGTTTAATACTGAATTCAACGACATAGCTGAAAAGGCATATTTGGACTTGTGTCCTCCTCACTTGCAATCTCAGATTGATCAGACGAATGAATGGATATATGACAAGATAAATAACGGTGTCTATAAATGTGGGTTTGCGAGGAAGCAGGAGCCTTATGACGAGGTATGTTTTGCAAGCTGTAATTAGTTTCGACTGTGTAGGTTCTGGTGTTTACATTCTCTTTAAGGACTATTTGTAATTAGTTTCACTGGTTAATGTCTCTCTTCTCAGGCTGTGAAAGAATTGTTCGAAGCTTTGGATAAATGCGAGGAGATACTTAGCAAGCAACGATACTTGTGTGGGAACACGTTGTCTGAAGCGGATATTCGGTTGTTTGTCACTCTTATCAGATTCGACGAGGTACTGATACTTGTTTCCTCGATCAAGATTTTATATTGTCAGACAATCTGCCTGTTTCTTCTGCACCGATGTTGTTACATTGTCTTTGACGATTCAATTTTTTCCCATTGATGGCAGGCTTACGCAGTCAACTTCAAGTGCAACAAGAAACTGCTACGAGAATACCCTAATTTGTTTAACTACACGAAAGATATCTTCCAAGTTCCTGGAGTGAGCAGCACAGTCAACATAGATCACATAAAGCAAGGCTATTACAGCATTGCGGCTATCAATCCATTCGGAATAATTCCTATCGGCCCAAATATCGACTACTCTTCTCCTCATGACAGAGACAGGTTTTCTACATAGTTTGTGTACGCTGCAGCTTGCAGATCAAACTACATATCGTTTGTGTGTTGAGGTTGTGCGTTTTGGTTCCATTTGTAACTCGTGCTTTTGTATTTTTGAACCTTGCATCTTAACTTTTGTCAATAAAAATTGAGCTTTATCTAGTTATATATCATGCATTTCTCTCACTCAAAATACACGTTGCTGAATACCATTAACTATGCACTCTTCATATCCGTCTTTTTGAACGAGTTTGTCGTACACTTAAACATGGTGGATTAGAGTTTCTAATGTTCAATATAAGTTGTAATTAAGACTAAAGTAGCACATGATTGTTTGGTCCAATGGCACTCAATACAAGTAAATAAGAGGAATGACTTAACTCAAAACTCAGATTTCGTAAGAGGCAAAATGTGTTCCAACTTTTACCAAAGTTGAACAAGAATACGATCCACAACCACAATTTCTAATAAAATGTTAATGAACCCCTACTAATTCACCTAAACAAGAATATAATGTTATGTGTTAGCCCTAATTTAACATAATTGTTGGAGATGCTCTAAGTTTTCTACATAAGATTGCATGATGGGGAGCAACTTTCATGTCCAAGGTAATAATACAATAGCATCTTGTACTCACAGAGTTTGGCCAGTCGAACTCGGTGCTCACCAAGAACATCACCTTTGCTATCTCCCTTATATCGCCTTCAAGGGCAATTTAATTGCTAGTTTGAAGATTGATTACTGTAAGTTGTCTTGTTCTTTCTTAATTTGATGCATTCTTCAGCACGCAATCAAATGCATTTGTGACAACTGCTTCTGTTTTTCACGGCACCCAAATTCATAGTTTCCGGAAGAACCTGGGAGGGAGAAAGCCATCAGCTTTACGGTATAGCTGGATCTGAACCTGATATGGGAAAGAACAAAGCATATGGGTCAGGGTTTTTCCTACTTCAAATCCCAACCTAGTTGGATCTGAACCTGATCCTTTGAACGAAGCGAGCTAAAGCTGAACATCACCCTTCAAACGGTTCTTGGTCAACGGTGGAGCCACTCCTATTCGATCTGAACTCGAGTCCGTCCATCGGTCTAATACGGCCCGGTCTGATCGGTTCGACCATTTTTTCCGCGTGCTTCACTCGATCCAACCCGATTAGATCGATCTAACTCGGCCCGGTCCGACCCGGTTTGACCGGTCTGACTCAGCCCGATCCATCCGGTTTGACGCAACTTAATCTGTCCGACTGTCTGATTAGATCCGGTCCGGCCGGTTTTACCCTAGTCCGATCCGGTTGAGTCAAATTGACCGGTTTCTGCAGATTTTCCCAAGGCTTCGTTGCGCCGCCGTGCGTACTTGTTTGAAGACTGGGCTTTGCTCTCGAGCTCGGGGCTTGAGGCGAGTCCAACGGTGGTGGTCTCGGGCCATCTACCGTTTGTTCTATCAGTAAATGTCTTTTGTCAGACCATCTGTCGTCGTGCGAACTATTAATCAGGATCTTTTGATGAGATGGAGTTCTGAAAGTGCGATCTTGATTCTCAGTAATTCAGTCACACACACAAAAAGAAAAGCTTAATCAAACAAATTACATTTTTTTTTTCCTTTTCTTAATCTGCTTTCTAACTACGAACAAATAATTAAATAACATTTCTTCTATTGATCTGCATTTGAGCTGAGTCGGTGTTGGTGCGACGAGAGGCAGACCGAGAGCGACAGCTGAGCCTCCTGGCACTGGCTCCGCTTCAGCCCCGTTCCTCCACTCCCGCACAGGCTCCGAACCGCTTCCCACTCTTCCGGGCACGCCACCGACACCAAGCACTCCGCCAATCCCCGGTTCAGGTGCCGGCACGCCGCCTCCCGACCCAGACCCGGCCCGATCCGCTTGTGACAATCCGTTAGCGCGCTCTGCAACCTATCGCACTCCCTCAATTTCGCCGTCGTTGTCGGTTGCTTCGCTTCTGACATCGTTCGTTATCGTTACGTTCGTTTCTCGCTCGTCTTCTCGTATCCCTGCCTCCTGCGTTTTGAGCTGAGCTTACTGTGTGGCAATCGTGCCACGTCAGCGATTTGAGATGGGAGAATTTGGCCAAGTGGGCTGTTCGTTAATCTCTTCCAAGTTGTAATTGGGCCTATTTGGAAACAGAACCCAAATTACAAACCAAAGCATGTTATATGGATTTTCCCAAAAATAATGCAAAAAATGGAGATAATTTAGATTTAGGCATGTAAATCGGTGGAATTTTTTTTTTAACAAACGATATTATCTATACTAAAGGGGTAATGAGGATAGGCTAAGCCTTACAATGGACTAATAATAATGTGGTTTAAATTCGCCTACGACGATAATCAAACCTAAGATACTTAAAAGTGCAGAAGAATACCATTAGACCGTAGTACTAAGTACATTTTTGAGATTTAGAGCTTCACTGGTGAATCTTGGTTAGGGCTGCCGCATTAAGACAACTTGTTTACAGTGCTTTTGTGAGTTTGATATAATCATTTTGACTAGACTTTTCACCATGACCAAGTATTCTCGTTTAAATTTGCAATAAAATTTTGTGCGAGATATAGTATAGATTAAGTGGTCGAGTATTGATCCTCACATCCACAGTCAAAATTTCAGTGTCGTTCTTGAAATCTTAGAACTTTTTACCTATTTTGAATTAAGGAAATAAAAGTTTGTTTGAATTTTTTTGTTAGGGATATCAGATATGTGGAAGGTCTTCTCCCAAAATGTCCCATGTAAGGGCCCCCATGACCAAGAGAAGGAAAACGATTACAAATTGTCAGAGCACCTTTTTTTTTTTTTTTTTTTTTTATAGAAAACTAATGAAATGTTTAAAAACTTAAGTTTTAACGATAAGAACAAAATAAAGGGTAAATTAAATAGTATCATGATTGATTTTTTAGTGCAAAAATGTATTTTTTGTTCAAGTGAACAGTACGAAAACTTTTCGTTAAAGTTCTATTTTTTCTATGCTTCTTCAATCCCCTTACAGTCTCATAGAGCAAATTTGAACCCACAACCTTCTCTTTAAAAGGAAAATATGTCACCAACAGCCCACAACCATTTATCCACTCCTATTTACAACGCAACATTCTACTTTAACTTACGAGAGTGAGAATTTAAAAATATTAACCTGAACATCTGCGGATTTTTTCTTCATCTTAGTTTGATGATGGAGGCCGAATTTATAAGAAATTGAGTCACTTTTTGAAGGAGATGGGCCTGTTAATTATGCAAAAGCAAAAGACAAAAAAGAAAAGAAAATATCATCAGAGCAAAGGACTCTCAATCTCAAGGACACACTGGCTGTGAGTGCTCCTACAATTAGCAAAATCGAAATTCCATTCTGAAAAAGAAAACAAGATCATTGTGGTGGGCCCATCTTTGTGGACATTAATCAAATAATTGCATTGTAGAAATTTTTCTTTGAGGATGACATCTTGTTGGAGTCTTTTGATCCCTCTCTCTCTCTCTCTCTCTCTCTCTCTCTCTCTCTCTCTCTCTCATGGTTGGTTGGGATTGAGCTAGCCATGCTGGGCAAGTTCATATCTTTTGCCAAATGTAGACTACAAATAAATACATGACAAAAAAGCTGACATACCCAAAATGCAATCATCCAACTTCAAAGGGCCCCAAGCAGGCCAGAAAGTGATTGCAGACTTAGCTTGCTTTGTGCTATATAAACCTCATATAATATATAGAGTATACATACACATATATATACTGCAGAACTAGTATATATACACATATATATACTAATACATGCACATATGCGTGTGTATATCAAATTGAATATCACTATCAGTCTATCAGATTATCAATTAACTTGGAAGAAGTATTAAGTCAACATTAACTTGGTCAATTGCATATCACTATCAGTCTATCAGATATGTGTGTGCGCTATATAAACCTCATATAATATATAGAGTATATATACACATATATATACTGCAGAACTAGTATATATACACATATATATACTAATATATGCACATATGTGTGTGTATATCAAATTGCATATCACTATCAGTTTATAAGATTATCAATTAACTTGGAAGAAGTATTAAGTCAGAGCAGAGTAATTAATATTATCATTATATTATAATTGAATGACGAATGAAGAAGAGATAAGTTGGTGTGGTGCAGCAGAAAAGTTGAAGATAATGCAGCAAACAAGGCATTTTTGATTTGATGTAGGGAGATAGAGACATAAGGGTTTGTCTCCAACTCTCTCTCCCTCCCACCCACATTCCCCACATCTAATCATACCCTAATGTGTCTAATTATCTATTAACCCTTAATTAACCATGGCTTAAAAACAATAACCACACTTAAAACCCAAATGAATTAAGCAAAAAAAAAGGAGCTTAATGTGAATTGCAATTTCTAAAGAAAAATTGAATCTTTGCTTTCACTCACTCACTCTCCCCCCAACCCTATAATATAAGATAGAGTGTGCTACTTTTGGGGAGCAAATATGGAGTCGCCCTATTCCCCACCTCCAAATTAAATATCAATGGGATCCAAAAGATGAATTTTCCTTTTTCCCCCCATCTCTCCTCCATTAAAACATCCCACCAAGAAAATGTGATGAGGTGCAAAAAAGGAGAAAGGAAAAAGAAAGGAAAAAAAAAAGAAAAAAGGGGAAAAAGGGTACTAAACAAATACTCAGAAAAATGGTTCTTTGTATTATTTATGAAACAATACCAGATACTAGATATTATATGCTCTCTCTCTGTCTCTCTCTACAAAGTCCAAAGAGTGGAAAGTATAAACCTTCTCATTCTCTAAACTTCAAAGCTCCTGTTTTTATATAGTAAGCCCTGGTTTGGTACTGAGGTGCTTCTGAAAAAAGTGGGTATAAAAAAAAGCTGGGAGCTTTTTTATGTTTGGTAAACATTCAACTTTAGTTTTTTTTTCACAGTTTTGGGTGAAAAAAAAAAGCCAAAAACACAAAACTACAAAACCCAGCTTTGAAAAATCAGCTTTTTTTGCTTGCTCAGCTTCTGCGCAAACCGATTTGGCAAGAGGCGCTGAGACCTTTAACGAAATTTTCCAATACCCAAAATGGCCTTTAGCAATTAAATAAATTATACATTATACCTGTCGACTTCGTCGCCGACCTAGCCACGTCTCTCTTCCGTCCTTTCTGACTCTGAGCTTCTTGGGATTTCTGGGACAGGAGTGGCAGTAGGTTCGTCGGATTTCTGGGTTTTGTCGAAATTTGGGGCCTTTTCGTCGGATTTCTGGGCTTTGTCAAAATCTGGGTTGCACAAAGAATGCTAGATTTGCACCCTTCTGCTAACACCCAAAATCTCAATGGGAAAACGTCAACGCCTTCGCCTCTAACGCAAACAGTAAGTCCTGAAATCTGAGTTCATCTATCTTCTGCGAATCGGTTGATGTGACCCAGCCTTCCTTTCCCCACGACCTAGCCTTCCTTAGGATCAGGCAAAGAGAGACAGAGAAAGAAAGGGGAGAGAGGGAGTAAGCGTCGGAAGATAGAATATACAAAGGTTCTGCAAAAATAAAATAAGGACAAGGTAAAGAAGAAACGATTCTTAGAGAAAATAATAGAATAAAAAAATTATAAATATCTTAATAAAAAAAAAGGTGAAAGTACATTCTTCAAAGCTCACAACTGTTTATAAATAGTTTATATAAATCTTATAAATGTCATGACAAAAGAAAAGATAAAAAAATTATTATATAATATTCAACATCATATCTTTTTTAGTCATTTTACTAGTCGTAGTGGTTTTACATAAAAATTTATCGAACATTTTAACACTGTTTTTTTTTTTTTTTACTAAAAGCACTTTTACAAAAAAAGTTTACCAAACACTCTACTGCTTTATTTCACATTTGTTTATTCTCGCAATATAACAGAAGCAGTTTTTTTTTTTCGGATGAGGATTTTCTCCCCTCCTCTTACATTCTCTATTTTGTCTTTCTCTTTCTATAAAAAAAAAATTAATATAAAATATTGACATGACTTAACTGTGTGACAGTTTAAATATGAGAGAAGGAGAGAGAGGAGGAAAAAAAGAAAGAAAAAAGACATAATCCTACTAATTTTTTTTATTTATTTTTATTAAGCACAACAATACCAAACCATCTCTAAATATAGCAGCTCTTTTTTCTCACTCTCTATCACTTTTTCTGTGTTTGTGGAAAAAAATACTAATCCTTTTTGCTGGATGGTATTTAGATTATTTGACGGAGTGATTGTGGCACATAATCTTGATCTTTTTGATGATGGGTGTGGGGGAAATTCTTCATTAGGGCATGAAAGTCTTCAAAGGGCTTTGCTTTGAGGCCCTCCACACCTCCACCATTGTTGATCAGTGAGCTCTCTTCTCTCTAAGTATGGCTTTTAAATTTGTTGTTATCTTTTGGTTTTGATAAAAATTCTATCTGGGTTCTGAGCAAGGTGTGAATTTGGGGTGTTTTGCTTTCTGGGTTCGGTCTCTTCTTCTCTCATTGTGAACAATATGAACAATCTAGGTCCTTTTTCTCAGTTTACTTCAACCTATATCGTGAAACGGTGTCTGGGTCTGGGTTTTGCTCTCTCTCTCTCTCTCTCTCTCTCTCTCTGTATGTGTGTGTGTGTGTGTGTGTGTGTGTGTGTGTGTGTGTGTGTGTGTATTTTTATCTCTACATCTTTCTTCTGCTTGTGGCAAGCTACCCCACCGTTTCTCCCTTTTTTGCTTTAATTTTGCTTGTTATTTCTGCATAAGAAAGGGGTGTTTTCCTTCTCATGCGTATGCATTCATTAATTTTCTTATAGTTCCAATCTTTATCATGGGATTCATTTCCTCAGATGCATTTTGAAGAGTTTGTGAACCCTTGAGCTTTGAAACAGAGAGAGTAGCTGGTATTAAATGTTTAGCTGGCATTTTCATATATTGTGCTATCCTTAAGATGATTAAATGTAGGTAAAATTGACAATTTAGATAAAGGACAGCTTAAATGTGCACTCTGTGCCATTTTCCACTTGTTAATCTTCAACATTTACTCATAGGATTTTGGGTCAGATTAGATTGATCTCATCGGTCTTTAAGAACTTGCATAGTTCTTTGGCATGCTGATTCTTTTCATTGTTCTAGCTATCTCAGAGTAGTCTCTTATATTTCCTTTCTTTTCTGTCTTTATTTCTTTCTCCCCTTCTTGTCTACTATTTTCTTTCCGGGGTTTTCTATTGACGAGCGGTTCATAATTCTTTTGTGATTGCTTCTTTTCTTTTGAATCTAAATCTTTTAAGTGTCATTAAAGGCTGAACAAGAAGAAGAATGAAGTTGTAGGTTATCTTTATGATTTGGTGCCTCTTATCACAAATATGAATCTCCTGAGAGATGCATTTATATGACGTAGGAGAGCTGGAAGATGGACAGGAACAGATTAGATTTAAGATTCCATCATCACTCTGGATTAACACAGTCTGAGGAATCTGCTCTAGACTTGGAAAGGAATTACTGCAGTCATCATCCTTATCTACCTTCATTTAGTCCGTCGGCCCTCCAGCCTTTTGCATCTGGTGGTCACTCTGAGAGCAATGCTGCCTACTTCTCATGGCCTACATTTAGTCGATTAAGTGATGCAGTGGAAGATAGAGCCAACTATTTCGGAAATCTTCAGAAGGAAGATCTTCCTGAAACTTTGGGCCAGTTGCCATCAGGGAAGCAGGCTACTACCTTACTTGAGCTGATGACCATCAGGGCATTCCATAGCAAGATCTTGCGCCGGTTTAGTCTTGGCACAGCAATTGGGTTTCGGATTCAGAAGGGTGTCTTAACAGACATTCCAGCCATTCTTGTCTTTGTTGCCCATAAAGCTCATAGGCAATGGATCAGCCATGTACAATGTCTACCTGCTTACCTTGAGGTGGAAATTTTAGTGTCTTATATATTCCGTTTTTTAGCTTTTATTTTGTCAATGACATTGTACTTTGTCGTTAGCTGCATAATATTTGTTTAATCATAGTCAAGTTGTTTTCTTTATTTCACAGTAATCATGATGCTGGTCAGAATGATATGCTTGTGTATTTTTCTATTGGTTGAAACTATGCTGGTCAGAATGATAAGCTTGTCAGGATATTGATTTTTTTTTCTTTAATGCTAATTGGTTGTTTTGATCTTTGACTAGGTTCTTGTTTTGTTTGGTTTCTGCATTTAAAAAATGGTGCAGGGGCCAGGAGGTGTATGGTGTGATGTGGATGTTGTCGAATTTTCCTACTATGGTTCCCCGGCTTCAACTCCTAAAGAACAGCTGTACACAGTGCTCGCAGATGGCTTGAGGGGAAGTGATCCATGCATTGGTTCTGGTTCCCAGGTATTTTCTTGAGAAAATTGCTGTTATCTAATTGTTTTCTGTGGTGGTTGGTAATTTGGTGTGTTGATCTGCAAGTTCAGATAGTGACTAATAATATAGATACCAAGTACCTATTAGGTTCAGATTACGGTTACATATGTTAATGTTTACTACTTTTCTTAATTTTAATGTGATATAAGGAAAACTATTATAGTATAACTATAATGCATAAAACTGCCATTGGGAGGGCAACAATAGCCGTGCTCATAGGCTGGTTAGCCAAGGTGGAATTGACTAGAAGAGGGGGTTACACTAGTTAGCTAGTTGATAAGGTAATAATCTTATGAGTGGCTTGTCTAAGAAGATCATTACCTATATCGGAACCGGAACATTGCCTAGGTGTTATTCAGGTCTTTACAGCTCCATTAAAAGACTATCCAATGATGACATAATGAATGGGTGAGGTACTTTTCAATATTAAATAGAGTTATCTTTGCTTCACTTGGCTTGCTTGAGTTCAAGCGAATGGGTTTCCAGGGATGATGCCTGTCATGTAATTGGTTTGGTTCATATCCTTAAACACTTAGGAGTATGAGACTGGATCTTCTCATTTGGCCAGTAATTGGTATGCTGGATTTGATATCAAACAAAATCATTACATAAGATTTGGATGGGTCTTATTTGGCCAGTAATTTGCTCATTACTCTTAAAAAAGAAAAGGATTTATGGTTCACTATATGCTTTCCAATTCAAGAAACTGAAACTTTTGGGAACAGTGGTAAACTGATGAAACTTGTCAGAGTATTAGAGCGGGAGATCTTGAGTTCATATCCATTCCAGTATAACCTCTCTATGTTGAGTTTTATGTGTTTGTCTCACTAGTGCTAGGGAAAAGCCCAACATGAGGGAGCATATTAGAATATTGGCCTGCATCTGAAGATTCCCAACTGTTTAAGCTTTAGAAATATCAGTGAATTTACAAAACTTATCATATACCCTAAATATTAAATTGTTGATCAGAGATCTGTCTGTACATTGTGTCTCAACTTTTTAAGTTTACATAATTGATTTTCTTCTTCTTTAGGTTGCTAACCAGGAGACGTGTGGAACTCTGGGTGCTATTGTTAAAAGCCGAACAGGAAATCGACAGGTTGGTTTTCTCACAAATCGGCATGTGGCAGTTGATTTGGACTATCCAAACCAGAAAATGTTTCATCCTTGGCCACCAAGCCTTGGACCTGGGGTGTATCTTGGCGCTGTGGAGAGGGCAACATCTTTTATCACAGATGATCTTTGGTACGGCATATTTGCTGGAACAAACCCAGGTAACGGAGTTTCAAATTTTGGCCATTAGAAAAGCTTGTGTGCATCTGCCGTTGCAAATAGTCAGTAGCTATTGTTTATGAGGTTGAAAGTGTTTCTTGAAAATAGGGGAAAATTAGATAAGGACAGTAGAGCCTATCATCACTTAGTTGAAGAAACCAGGTTATGTACCTTGTGCCTTGTCCTCGCAAAATAACCCAATATGTTTACATCTTAATTATTTATTTTGTGTCTACATTGTCTAAGACATAATAGCTTTCAATTGATCCGTATTGGGAAGGCACATCTTGGTATGAAAGGTTTAAGGCACAAACGTACAGTTGGTCTTGTTATAAGGTTGAGTTTGATCTTCCACATATTAATTGAGCAGCACTCTGGACAAGATAATTTGTAGTTTCTCATTTTCTGCAACTTCACACTTGCTCTATTGGGTTTCTCATCAAGTTCTGACCCCGACATGTGCCTATTATGATTTGGTGCCCCTGCAGAAACATTTGTGCGAGCTGATGGTGCCTTCATTCCTTTTGCCCAAGATTTCAACATGAACAATGTAATTACAACTGTAAGAGGCATAGGTGAGATTGGTGATGTCAACACCATAGACTTGCAGTCTCCAATCAACAGTCTTATTGGAAGGCAAGTAATCAAAGTTGGGAGAAGTTCAGGCTTGACAACTGGGACCATCATGGCGTATGCCCTAGAATACAATGATGAAAAAGGGATATGTTTCTTTACTGATTTTCTTGTTGTTGGAGAGAATCAGCAGAGTTTTGATCTTGAAGGCGATAGTGGAAGCCTCATTCTATTGACTGGTCAGAATGGGGAGAAGCCACGACCGGTTGGGATCATTTGGGGTGGGACAGCTAACCGTGGTCGCTTGAAACTAAAAATTGGCCAACCGCCTGAAAATTGGACCAGTGGAGTTGATCTTGGGCGTCTTCTTCAGCTCCTTGATCTTGATCTGATAACGACCAATGAAGGCTTTCAAGGTTTGTGTTTCTAAACCATCCCATTGTTTTTTTTTTTTTTTTTTCCATTTTTCCCTCTTTTTTGGTTCTGCTGATTTTAGTTGAACAGTGTGCATACTCTTAAAAAACAAGTAGAGTTTTATGTTTTTACTGACCTTGGCTTTGTTCAGCACATTTTCCTGACTCCTGTCTGCTTTATGTTAACATAGCTGCTATTCAAGAGCAACGAAATGCTTCAGCTGTGGGGATTGGTTCCACAGTTGGGGAGTCATCCCCAGCTGTCCAGGGCCCTTCTAAAGATAAGCTAGAAGATGACTTTGGACCTTTGAGTTTCAATCTTCAGAAAATTCCAATTGAGGGTGAGTCCTGTCAGGGACTGATTCGACCATTCATGCACGGTGACTTTCGCATAGAAAATGGTGTTGAAACTGCTCCTAATGTAGAACACCAATTCATTCCGAGTGCCACCAACAGATCTCCAATAAATCAAAGCAATCAAGAGGAACATCCGGTGTCAAAAAACCTTTTGGCATTGCAGAGTAGCTCGGATGAAGAGATTTCTGTTTCGTTGCAGTTAGGTGAACCTGAATCGAAGAGAAGAAAAAACTGCAACTCTCTCTTTAGCAGTCAAGGAACCAATTGAAGTAGGGATGGTAAATTGTCACTCTTTTGTTGGAGTACCTGTCGTACGAGGGGTTGCTTCAAAGGCAGGACTTAAAATTCTCAGTTCACTTTATGCCAGATTGCAGCTGCAGTGGACTTCATTCATCAGTTCACTTTACATTAGGTCATATATGTGGAGCATACAATGTTTTTATATAGATGTTTAGGCGTTTACCTGTACTCGTTTTTACTTTTGATTTGTACCGCTGTAGTGAATATCCTTGTAGAATTAGCACCCTGAAGTGGGAGTATAAGCAGCTATTGTAATCCGACGTAATGTAAAATGTTACATACGGGTAGCGAGGTTAGTTGTTCAGAGCCTAATTGATGGAAGGTCGCTTTTTGATGGGTAGAAAGAGGTGGGAGCATGGTGGACTACACCATTTGTTTGTATCTCGTTAAGTCTAGTAGACTAGTAGTAGTCATAATTGAACTCACATTGTGGCTATATTTGTAGAATTGATATCTTCTCTGGATCACTCTGTTCGAAGCATGCGGACAGAGATTCAGACCACATAATTTCAATCCTACGGCCTCGATTAGTTCATCCTACCGGCTCACTCACAAATTAGGGATCCAAATCTCTTTCTATTCAACGGCTCAGATCTTCGAGTCCTTAAACTGCAAGCATAGAGATCCAGAAAGGTCTTGATTCATTTGTAAATGCGGCTTCAATTGATACATTGTCTTATTTGTTTGGCAATGGCATGTCCTTTTCAATCAAGGTTCTCTTAAATGGATTTGGATCCACTCCTGAGCTTAGGAGGCTGAGCCTCTTGAGCAAAGCATACAGACTGTTGGATTTTGATCTACCAACTACAATTATTATAACTTTTAAAAGGTCCTCCTGTTTGTAGTTGTTGGATCAAAATCTAACGGTCCGTGCGTTTTGCTCAGGAGGCTCAGCCTCCTAAGCTCATGAGAGGATCCAAATCCTTCTTAAATACCATGGAAACTCAAAATCCTTGGATGTTGAATCTTACACTGACATATGCTCTTACGTTATCTTTTTCAAATTTTCAGCAAATTGATGTGGATTGGAAGTAAAGTGATCCTTGTCAGTAGTGGAAGAAATTAGTTTATCATGCCAAATATGCAACAAATGTATAACATCTGCGTTATTGCTTGTAAAAAGCAGATGGGATTTTTCAACGATAGTAGAAATGTTTTCCTAGTCATCAAGTGATCAAAGAATATATGATCAGTTACTTTTTAGATTTGATATCAAAGGTGGAAGATGAGTAAGTGTGCTTTTTAGCGTTTTAATTTCTATTTTTAATCGAATTTAAGGGCGAGATGACCACTATGTAACAAAAAAAATGGACTTTGAAGGACACATGCATGATATCAGTTTTAAATTGTTTGATTGCTTGCACTTTTTTTTTCTTTTTTTTTTATAAAAAAAAAGAAAAAAGGAAAGAGTTATAGAGACATTTCAATCTTCCATGATCTATATTTCAATTCGATTAATCACATCAACACCCTGAGGTTTAAAAATTACATTAGCACTTACTAAAGTTTTAATTCAATTTCACATTACCCCTTTTAGACAAATTTAATGAATATTATAGTTATACAATTTTTTATTTATTAAATAATTGACTATAAAGTAAATTTGTCCTTAAAGGGGTAATGTGAAATTGAATTAAAACCTTATGGGATGTTAGTGTACTTTCTCAAACTCGAAGGAGTTTTGTGAATATACGAAAAACCTCATGAGGTGTTTAGTGTAATTAACCCATGAAACTCCATCTATGCATCCCCATTAGATATGTGCGCTAGTCACTTATTTTGTCGAGATGACTTCATCAACTACTTCTACATTTGCATAAAAATCTGATGCATTTACAGTTGAGTATTTTTATTTGTTAGAAAAAAACTGAGATAAGAGAGAATGCGAAGAAAAGAAGGAGAAGAATTCGGGGTTGCCACTGCCTCCAAAGCGGACGGCTAGGGATATGTTTGTTGTTTTGTTTGTATCGAGAAAGACTTGAGTTCGTTAACTCGTGTCGTTTCCTCTTCCAACTTGATTTACCATTTTTTTTTATTTAAAAAAAAAAAAAAAAGCAGAAAGAGCTCGCGTCTCTCTCTCTCTCTCTCTCTCTGTGAAAACTGGAAGCCCTAATTCATAAAAAATCCTGGATCAAATCAAATATTTAGGTTGGATGGAGGTAAGTGTGATTATGTCGTGTTTTTTCTGCTTGAATATTCATCTTGTTTCAATTAAAAAAAAAAAGAATATTGATCTTGCACCAGAAAGAAGACAAAAGGAGGAAGAGATGGACTACATTTTCAGAAAACATGTGACTTTGGTGAGTTCTTCAACTTCTATAGGCATTTTCATTTGTATTTCACAGCCTTCTGAAATGCATGCAAGGGCAGCTAAAATATCAATATTTCTAATTAAGCACTACAAATCCAAATGCTCTCCAAAGAACTTGTGTAACCCTAGAAATGAAAATATGTGAATACTAGAACCGAAAGGAGTTGAAGATCTTCATTGGGGTTTTCACACCTAGCCCTTTCATTGAAGAAAGTAAGAAAAGGAGAAGAATAAAAAAAAAAAGTTGACATGGATGGGGTGGCAAGGTTTTGCTATTTCCTGGAACACAGTGTAGCAGGTTTTTACTGTTTTCAGAAGCCGACTGCAGTCCATTTCTTGATGCATGGTCCAAGGAAAGAACTCCAAAAATGGGAAAGAGAGAGAAGAAATGGCAGTGGAAATTCGGTAAAAAAACATGTTACATATAGAGAAGGATTAATGAGTCATTGGAGCCTCTCCATTATTACCGTGCAGTTTAGGGGAAGCTAGCTTAATTGTTTAAAATTGTTTGATCTCTTTCACTAATAAATGGAGCCCCTATAAGAAGCAGAATTATGAGTCCCCATATGCAGGTGCTTTGAAGTACTCATTGAGAGAGAGAGAGAGAGAGAGAGAAAGAGAGAGAGAGAGGTCACAAGTGTTGGTTAAGGTACATTTTGCACTGCAAACTGGGCACGATGCCAAGAACTCGCCGGCTCATTCTGTACATTTCAGTGGCCTGAAGGCGGCTGGGAGAACCCTTCCCTCCCTTACCACATCCGAGTTGATTGCAAGAAATGTAACAGAGAGATTTTGGAAGTTGGTCATCTTCCATTGTATTTATGTGCAGGAATGATGAAGATGCCCAATATCATAGAGCCTTAACCGTAAGTTCTTGTTAGCTAGTTTAGTCCTTGAGTTTTATTTGTCTCTCACATATCTCTGATTTTGCTAAGCAAAATGCATAAGAAGGGGAGGGAAACCAATCACTGATGAAGGAGAAGAAATGGCAGTGGTGGAGATAGAGGTTGTTGGCCCTTTTCATGTGCTGTGCACAAGAAGATCAAGCTGTTCTACTTTTGGTGGATGTGCAGAAAGGTAGAATTCATAATAAGAAACCTTATAAGTTCTTTCTTTGTTAGTTTCTTTTCTTAGTAAATGTGCCAATATAGGGAATTACAGTAGTAATCTTCATTTCATATACGTGTCTACAATTTGTTTGAATTCCTCACTATGTAAATTAGAGTAGTAGTATAAAATATCAATTTGTAATCCTTGCCTATATATACGTCACAGGATGATGGCAGTGGAGAACTTGTGGGGCCTTTTTCTTTGGGAAAAAGTGGAGAATGTGCATTTAGGGTTTTAGGCGACAAATCGGATGATGAAGGTGAAATTTTGGAAATCAAAGGGATCAAAGGATGGTTCCAGGTAACGCGCCATGGGAAGAAGAGGTGGAGGACTCTGGATCAAGGAGGCTTCCAGGACTTCCTGGGCTTCCGATTCTGATCCAAGTTCGGAGGATTCAGATGATTAATTCAGGTGCATTGATACATGCTTTAAGATGGCTGTAAATATATATATAGTCAGGATCTTGTGACCTATGCTTTTTTGACACTTACTTTGTAATGTATTACAACGATCTGAACCATCTATATTTTAGTACATTATTCATAGATCATCCTTGCAAAAAATTCAACAAATCCAAAATCACCAAAACATTCATTTGTAGTGAAAAATTTGATAAATATGGTTCTGCAAAGAAACACTAAATTTAATTCAATGATCATATCATCAAATGAGCCACTGAGTTTCTGTAGCAGACCACAATCTTTGATTTTTATATGCCGAGGGATGTTACCCTGCACCAAACTTGAGAGAGAGAGAGAGAGAGAGAGAAAGAGAAGCCAATAAAGTGTTTTGCCACTTTGCAAAGCTAATACATGTAACTACAAATGGAAAGAAAGGCCTTTGGTGGAGAGGACTTCACAGGACTTCTATTGAAGTAACAAATTAAGCTTTTACTGACTATCAGATTAATGAACAAAAGTTTTTCACAATCTTGAGAAGATAGTCCAGTGAAAGACAGACAGATTAGGGACTTAACAGGGACATAATGATGATTACTTTCCACTTAATCATTTCGGGCAAGGATGCATGTTCAGTCGTTTCAAAAAAAACAAACAGCATGCATTTCTTTAGAGATGGTACTTAAATTATGATTGAATTATGAAGATAAGATGCACAATAATCAGCAACTGCTGCTTTCAACACCTTAGGACTTCAGATGATAGCTAGAACTCATCTAAGTGGTGCACTACAAGCTCATTGTGGTGAAATCGAGGTACAGTACTGATCACTGTCTCAGGCTAAAAAAACAAGTACTGACTTTTTTTCACTAACTCAAAAACAAAATAAACAAATTTAAAAAAATAGAATCATTAGTAAGCTACTATTCTTCGTTGATAGATAAACTGTAATTATATATACATATATATACACACGCACACATACTCTACATGCAAAAACTTATTCAAAACACTAAATGAACAACAAAACATGTAAGAAATTTGTATCTCAACTAAGACAATATAATTCACCTTGCACCAAAGATCTTGAGTTCATTTTCCCTAGCTTAGATAAATGCTGCGTACAAGTTCCGGCTAGGATAATTGGGAAAGATCAAACAAATTTGAAGCGCTTAAAAAATGAACAGATAGATTTTTGTAATTGTATATCTGGCTTATGGGATCAGGTACTTCTATATAATATCTACATTTCAAACACAAAATCTAACAGATGAATGCCAAAATTTGAATACAAGATAACATTTTAATTCCAATATCAGACTAGTTAGTGATCCATTTGAAATAAGATGAATCATACTAGTGCTCTAATTAAATTACCAAAAGCATGCATCTTTTATATATTAGCTTTCTTGAAGAACACCTAACTCTATGATCTGATCTGATGACAGTACACTAAGATTATACCCCCACCAAAAAAACAAGTTCAATATACACTCTTAAAATTCCTTGTTTAATTTATGCCTTAAAATATGAAATTTGTTCTGCATAGCTAATTCTAAGATATATACTGGCACCATTCAAGACACAGAGAAAGAAGCAGAAATAAATACCTCAAACAAAGCTGTCCTTGGGATGAGAGTAATCCTTCACCACAAGAGACCTTGTGTTCTTAGCTCAGAAACATTTTCTATTGTTGATGAATGAGTGATTGAAGCTGCCAGATGACCTGGTTGAATATCCTATATATATGTGTGTGTTTGTGTGTTATATCTAACTAATTGAAAATATGAATACAAGATTTTAAAAACAGGCTTCTGATCAATCTGTATAATTTTTTTTATTGAAAAAGAAAAAGAAAAAATTGTAATTAGCAGGATGCCAATTACTCTCTTGGTTAATTGACTAAAAATTAAAAACCCTTTTATCCAAAAGCATGAAATAATCAAGATCTGTATATAATAAAAAATGGTGGTGCAAGATCTAAGGTATATACATGCGGAACACCATTGATATATATATACATATATGTGATAGCTATAGTTATGTATACCAGATCATGCTGGCAGCTTCAAGCTCTCAAACCAACAAACCAGACAAGGGAAGAAAGATGAACCAAGAAGCTGCATAAAGGTTTGGCCTTCGTTGAACTTTTTAAGGAAACAGCTGAAGCTTTTCAGAATTTCACTCTCAGCTTAGCCTACATATAGAGAGGCGTGCATATTTTAGGTAAGAGAAAGAGGGAGGAGCCTCGTGACAATCCTCCTAGCTCTCTCTCTCTCTCTCTAGATTATTCTATCTAACTAGCTAGCTTCCCTCATCTCTATATAAATGATAGCTTTTATGCACCTCTAGCTATCCCTCTCTCTATCCCTCTCTCTATCCCTCATCCTCTATAGCAACTTAAATGGCATCGCACAAGTAAAGCGTCACTATGACATTTCATGCTAATAATACAATGACATGTAAAGATAAAAATTTACACATAATATATTATCATTGATATAAGAGGTCACGTTAATAACTTACCTGTGTCATTTAAGTCTCACTTCCTCTGTATACTCTAGCATTAAGTTATTGAGTTTTTATTTTTTGAGTTTCTTTGTCCTCCTTACAGCTATAGACCTGAACCCTCTCTCTCCATTATTAGTTTATAGCACATTATAAATGAATATATTTAAAGACTAAAAAAGGGACCACGATGTTCTGTTCACAAGTGTAATATTAAAACCCTATCTTCTTATATTTTTCTTGTTTTCCCAGATTATTTTTCAAGCTCAGAGAAAATTGATTCATTGTGTAGTCAAAACTCTTGACTTATGGGGCAATATATATTCTGCTGGTTAAAGGATTAACCTATCAAATTTGTTCAAATTATAAAAGAAAGAAAATATTTCTGATCAAATTATTCACGATGATTATAGAGTCTTCAAAAGGAAAGATTATAGAGTCTTCAAAAGGAAAGAAAATATTTCTGATCAAATTATTCATGATGATTATACAGTCTTTATCAATATATATAGAATGCAGCTGCAGGGAGCCAGCGTTAGATGTTATACTTTCAGATTAATATTTGAGCCAAAAGAGAAGTTTGAAAAGTTAAGCGTGCTTTTCTCTTGGTCTGAAAAGTTGACGAGCAAGCATGCTTGCTTTGTTAAATTAGGCGTGTCTTTTACTCAAAGCTTGGTGTAGGCTTTCTCCATCCATAACTAGTAGGATGGTGACAATTAATAGACCTTACTCATCTCAATACATTTCTATAATCACTACCAAGTTTGTGGCATGTATGAGAAACCCTTTAAGGGCCATTTGGATGGGGATAACAAATTTAAGGATTCAGATAAATGTTTTATGGTTAAATTTTCTGTTTGGAATATTACAATTCACAAATCGAAAATTGGAGTAAGAAGAAAGGTAGACAAGATATAAATCAATTTCGAATGAGGAATGCTAGCAAACCTTCTCATTTGAATTTTCTCTGCTTTCCATCATATTTTTCAATGTGGCATGATGATCTAAACCATCTATTTTCTAGGTCCTTTAAAGATCAACTTTAGAAAAAAAAAACAACCAAATATGACATTTTCAGCTGTCTAACAAATATAAGAACCATGCTATTTTTTTAAATATTGATTTTTTTACATCATTAATCAAACATTTGAACGATTTCTGATTTAATTGAATTTTTGTAGAGTTGATTATTTTTAAGGATGAACTACAAAGAAGACGATTTTGGTCATGCAAGATGAGAAAAATAATAGAGAAGGCAAAACGAGAAGGTTTGACTGAGAAATTAGCTCATTTCAAATAAGTTATTGCATGCATATAGATATTTCAAATTCATGTTACATCTACATGCTTTCCAGTTTTTGTAAATAGCAAATTTAGCATTGTTATGAAATCCCAATCCTTTCTTTCAAGTCCTCCTTCAATTGATCCTCACAATAACCAAGACTTAGTTAATGGGGTTAATTACTGATCTTCATCATCAGTTTTAGCAGCTAGTAAGAGGAAATATGTGACCATGCATGTGCTTATAGCGGTCGCTTGGTCCCTACAACACTGCAATTTCAATATCTGTTGTTCAATATTTATTTATACGAAGGGCAAGAATTGGCCCCTGGTTGGTGGAATCAGTTGATCGATCGAGTGTCCTCCTTTTGTCTTTAGCTTTGGGTGGTTCCTCTGTCTTTGGTTGACAACTACAATGACATACAGAGAGACAAGTCCTAATGGGAAGGAAGGACCACAGCTTTTTAATATAGTGTTTATTATGAATAGGGTCACTTTCTTTTCTTTTCTTTTTTTTTTATAAATTTAGGCTCCAAGAGTTGGTATTACTGCTTTGGAGTTGGATTCTCTCCTTTTACTTTTCTCCTTCCCTCCCTCCTCTCTCTTTCCCCACCCTCCTTGTCTCGCAATTTTCTCTTCTTCTTTCTTTATCTACAAAAAAGGTAAAACAAGATGATGATGTGGCTTAATCTTAAGCATTCAATTAGAAAGGAAAGAAAGAAAGTAAAAATGGGACGGGGGAGAATCCAGATCTGCCGCTTCATTTCATAAGGTTCAGGCCCCCAAAAAAAAAAAAATCAATAAGGTAGATAGTAGTGATGGTTGTAAAATATAAAAAGCAATATATTCCAAACTTAGGGTTTTATTTGCAACTTCTGTTGCCATTTTCATGACGGAGCAGTTGTTGCATGCAGATGCAGATGCAGATGGGTTTTGTTTGTGCCCTTTTTTCTATATTATTATTAGTTTCTCACATATTTATTACGATCGTGCATATAAAGATTCAAGCCCTTGTTGCCATATAATTACGATCGCGCATGTTTTCCCATTGAAATTTGCCTTTTGTATGTCCTCAACCATTTTATTAATGTGTCCTCTTTTAATCTTTTCTGTAGAAAACTGGATAAACTTCAAAGTATATCCAAGACTTGAATCCAATGAGGAGCAAACCGCATGACTAAAACGGCACACATTATTAAAATTTAAACATATAACCCAAAGCCAAGCAAAATAACTAAAATCTTAAGTTAATTAGAATTCATCGCATCTCGCCATAAAGAAGCTTTGGAACAATTGACCGATTTATGGACTATAACTTAGTCTCCAGCGATCCAAATACACATAAAAGCGAACAAATAGATTGTAAAATTTGGAGAAAACAAAAGATTACGAAATTGAAGTTGAAATTATCATAAACGAGGAGTGCTCTCATCTTATAATAATTGAATTTCATTTTTCCTAGTTGAAATGTGGATCATGATGAAATTTCCGTGCATGAAGCCAGAATCAAGTGGCACTACATGTGAACAACAGGAGATGACATGCACACATCGCATATATATGACAGGTTGTGCCACCTATATTAGTTCTTTCGTTTGTATTCCTCTTTGACATTTCTGTTCATCTTATTCATTGGAAAAATGGATTATGTTGTCTTATCTGCTGATCCTGATAGGACCATTTCTCATGATCATGCTTGGAATCTTTCTCCCTTAATTTTTTGTATTAAAAGGTAACAACAACTAAAAGAGGATTAGTGTAACTTGTTACCTGCATCACAGTGACCTCTGACTTGAGTAGTTGCTATTAATTATATAACCAAGATTGTTTAGTGAGATGGAGAGCTCAACTAACCCATATATGTAGGCAGCGCTGTAGAACTTAATTAAAGTTTCAAAGCTCTTGAGATTTACAGTCTTGTTCTCTTAGACCCCACAGTCCAAGGAAATGGAGGTCACTCACCGCCTAATCTTAGTTCAACGGTAAATGATCATTTAACTTTGGTTATTATACTTTTTTCTTCACTGTTGGATTAAAATCTAATGTGACTGCCCACTATTTCTTTGAACATTAAGTCTAGGAGAATGAGACTTTGAAGTATTTCATTTTTTTTCCTTGATCACCTTGGAACTTGGCAATGAGGTGGTGCAACTACTACTTAATTAATAATCTTCAGCCTATCATCTACTATTAGTTTCGGTAAAAATAATGTGCAGAGGACCATTCTATTAGACTAGCTAAGAGCTAGCTCAGCAGCAAATAAACTCATGTGAAGAGTACATTAAGGATTATTATTCGTTAATACAGCCATCACAGCAGTGAATATAAATCGAATCATCTTGTTTCATAATATTTTATGATCGACTTTTTACTTTTATTTTTATTTTTAACCAACAATATTATCTATACTAAGGAGGAGGGGATGTGTTTAACCTTACAATAGGCTAGCAATAATGTAGTTCACATTCGTCTTTGACAAGAATTGAATTCAAAACCTCTCAATTACAAGTAAAGAGAAATATCACTAGACCGTAATACTATGTAGCAATAGTTTATGATTGATTTAAAATATTGTTACAATTGCATCTAAAAGCAATAATTAAATGTTAGATAACAATGCGTAATGATCTTCTTCTAACATTAAAAAAGAAATTTCATTAAACTGAGAGAGCTATTGTTTTGGATAGCCGGAGCTAGCTAGTTTGTTTACTTGCATAAGATCCAGTCGTTTGATCACACTTAAGTTTTATTTATTTATTTATTTTTGTTTGGTTAAATTAATCAGACATGGCAATTAGTTGGTGACGTTCCATGTGTTGGGGGGCACGTATAATGCGGTTACGTTTCCATGTTTGCTATGTTAAACATATCATCATTTTGGTAATGATGGTTTATATGAGTACCACCATGGCAAACATGTTTAGTCCAAACCAACGTATGAGGTAATTATTATTAAGTGCATTAATCAAAGTGACATGGTTCGGAATGATTTGATTGCACTGTCATCTAGGATTCGTGTCAAAACCATATGTATGCTGCTGCAAACTTTTCAACTTAGTTAGGCACATCCCGTATTCTCATTCACTAGCCTTCATGTACGCGCGCGAATTCTTGTCAAAATCATATGTATGCTGCTGCAAACTTTTCAACTTAGTTAGGCATATCCCGTATTCTCATTCACTAGCCTTCACGCGTGTGTAGAAGGTATTTTTTAATCATGTCGTGTTACGCGAAATTTACACGTTTTAAATGTATTTATATACGTAAATTGACAAAAGGAAAGTCAAATATTTGAAGTAAATGAATAGTTTTAGATCATGCTAGAAGAAACCCCTCATAAAAATTAATTATTAAAAAAAACGTTGTTAAAATGACGAAAATGCTCCTGCCTTATTTGATGCATTATTTTGGGATGCCTTTGAAGTTTTTTGTCTTGGGGGCATTTTTATCCAAGTATTTTTGTTGAAGCTTGACAACACCAAAATCACCATTCATCTTTTTCATTGGCTTTATATATAGATTACACCAGATATATACCCAAAAATTTCAATTAGCTTCCTCCTTTTCACATTTATTTATCTATTTTCGTTTTGGGGTTTTCCTTCTTGTAGAATTAGCATTTCTCAACATTTTTAGTGGGAAATCCCTTTTCTTCTTTCACAAGTTAATTTTAGGTTAGTATCTCTTACGAGTATAATTTATATGAAAGAATAGACCATTACTTTAATATTTCTAGTAATGATACAACGTCATGTGAAGAGAAACTTACACATATCATTGTATTATTAATACGAAATGATGCTGTGACAATATATGTATTCCATTGAAGTCCTCATCTCTTACAAGAGAACAACTTAATTACAACACATCTCTAATCTCTTTGTCTACTTATCACTTGATGTGTGAGATGTAACACTAAGGGTATGAATCAAGAGTGATAAACAACAAATGATAACCACACACATCCTTTTTCTCTCCCACATACCCTTATTAAATCTTGCTCATTGTTTTGGTTAATTTACTTAAACTGATATCTAGAAGCAAAGAAAAGTGTGTCGGAAAAGAAAAATGATGCGTGTTTATATTATTTTCAGTAAAACGTGATTATCATTTTCCTTGCTATGTATTTCAATGTCTTACAGGCTTGGGACATTTTCGATCTTGCATAATTGGGGCAGAAAAGATAACTTGGGTTGGATCATCCTCCACCACTCAAACCAAGCACTTCATGCGCATATGACTAGAAAGACAAAACCCAATCCATTCATGCCCTCTATTTGCATTTGACATTTAGCCCACCCCAATCATTTGCCCTTTCCTTTCCCACAAAATTATATCATAACCAATCCAACAGAAATTTCTACTATTACCCTTGGACCAACCCACATGACAATGCGTAATTGATTTCAATATTGTAAACATGACATCCCAAGTCAGGGACGTGAGTTGGATTTGATACCGCCAGCGTAGTACTCCAGGGGTGTGAGGAAGTCATTTTCCATGAGCTAGTGCCCAAAATTAAGTCATTTTCTACTTCAATGGAAGATGTTGCAGCACAGATTGATCAAGTTAAAATTAGCAAGAATACCAATAAACAAAAGGTGAAATGTGTTTGAGTGCAGACTATTAGCTGCAGTAGCAAAGCAGAAGCTACTTTTCCAACATTTTCCATGGTCCAATTTGGAAGCAGAGGTTCCAAAATATGATCCTTATGCTTTGACAACATACATGCTTTATTTCCTAGTAGGACAAATCATATTTAGTGATCGATTGAGCTCGAAAAATCAATATCTCCATATAATTCACAGGTTGTAAGAAGACTGAATCAAAACAGTGCTCGCGCTAGATATCCGTTGAAATTCCATTACAGAACTTGCAAGGGCCTTGTTTCTCATCGATTCTTCACTACAAATAGATCAGCATTAACTTGAATTCTGTCAAACTTCGGATTATGTCTACTGGTGTTCATTTTTTAATAGTTGGCATAAAGGATTCAGATTGAAATCAAGAGTCTAATAGTATATGAAACTACTCTAAATTATATGTAGTGAACATGGCATAAAGGATAAACCAACAAAGATTTCATGCCCTGAATTAGTACTGATTGAATATATGCAACTACACAAAGAAGCACTTTACCAAAAACTTGAGTCAGCATTAATTGAATTCAGAAACTCATTTGTCTTCAATTAAAATGTTCGGCCAGTTTTGATCAGCCTGTAACTTAACAAACTCAGCCAAAATCTTTATCTCTTCATCCTGCAAACGGGCTCCAAAAGTGCACTGGCCCCTCGGCGCGCATTTCTCACCAAAACCCTGCAAATTCACAGAAGATACATACACCATCTTAAGTTAGGTGCAAACATATGATGGTTAGGAGGCAAAGTTTTCAAATTAGATTTAGAAAAACTTGCCGGCATTCTTCCCTTTCCAAAGTAAGTAACACGGTATATCTCCTCTTCTGTATCAACTCCGTTTCTAGAGAAGAAAAATGCTCAAATTATAAATTAATTAATTTAAGAACGAGGAAAATGATATCATATTATTGCACTTAATCAATATCAATTGGTTCAAACTCTGAAACAGTTCCAAGTTGTGAAAGGTGATAACGTAAAACATGGCCTTTCTTTGTTTTTTATTTCCTTAATCAAGATGACAGGGCTGGATCAAATTGCGCATAAATGCCTTGAAACAACATCAACATACAATATTCTCCAGTGTCGATTGCAGAGAATACAAATCAGCGACTCAAGGGGTTTTGAAAGCCGTATCAGTATTGCCTTAGTCATCTTCATTTTTCAGAAGCTAATTAAATCTTGTTGAAATGCATGCATCTAACTAAACAATTGACGGAGGTTGTGCCGCCTTACCTCTGTAGGTCTTTAGTAAAGAGTGTTGCACCCTGGAAAGAAGACACAGTAAGAAATAACAAAGATTTTGAGCGATAACTATATACGGGATTTGTTGGTGAATGGAGGCTCACTGGTTGTATTATGTTTCCACCTGCATCATGACATCCAATGCAAGTTCTACGAAACAATGCAGCTCCTCTTTGAACATCAATGGCTTGCGCATGCGAGACTGCACAACAACAACAACAACAAAATTCGATAAAGTATTTTATTTTAAACCATAAAAAAGCCTCTACGAGTCCAACAAAGGCAATCTACACTAATTACAATCAAGGCTCCCAATGGCAGCACTCCTAAACCCTAAAAAACAAAAGTAAAACTATGAAACCATATTCACAAGATTTACTCGTTTCGATCTCTATCATTTTACCTGTAACAGGTATTGCGTTCGAATCCCTCTCTAACACAACTATCATTAAGTAAGCACACAACTTTACATTATTTCAAATGATTAACCATGTACTGCTATATTATCTGAGACCAACTACGACCTTATCCAAGACCAAAACATTACTGCACTGGAAAAAACATGGCGTCTTGGAAATTTGAGGGAAATGCAGGAGTTATTAAACTATATATGATTAATTGGAGGGATAAAACCTACAACAAGTGATAAGTACTGTTTGGTGGTCTGTGGTCACCACTACTTGGTACTTACCAGGGGTGATTGAGAGTGGAGAAAAAGTCAGAACTGCAGCCATTAATGGAGGAGCCAAGCTCTTGAGAAACTTCCATTCTTCTTGCTTTTGAGGAATTGGGTTGTGTCCTCCTCCTTGCTTCACTGCACCCTGTATATAAGAACACACTCTACTTTCTCAAAATTCAGAATTTTCATCTGCCAATTCGAGAGAGAGAGAGAGAGAGAGAGATTACCCTTGGGAGGCAAAAGGTACCATTAGGGCTATTAGACACCAGATATGCAAGCTGCATTTCTCGCTCTAGTGGATGACAAAGTTGAAAGTGTGGCTGCAACTTGCAGCCACAAATGCAAAATACCACATATATATATATATATGCTTACTTTTTTTTCCCCTCTTTTCCTATTAGAATTTTTCTAAATTTGATGAATTTTTATCTTTTTTATTTGTTGGAATTCATATTAAAAATTTAAAGCTATACGCTACATTCTATAGGAAAATGGTTACCGCCAAAATAATAAATTTCTTGGAAATAAAAATTAATATCTTGCCACTTAATATTATGGTCTGGTGATATTTTTCTTTACTTGAAAATGAGAGATCTTAGGTTCAAATCTCGTAGATGATGAATTCGATACCAAATTAGGCTGCCCATTGTGTGACTTAATCGAACTTCCCATTTTTTTAGTGTAAAAATATCAATGTACAAAAAAAAAAAAAAAAAAATTAATGTCTCAGTATTCTTATTATGAATGTTATTGTCATACCGTTGCGTCACTACTCTTTTGTGGATTAAAATAAAGAGTATTAATAGTCTTTTTTTTATTATTATTATAAAAACCAAAAAATTAAATCTTATATTTTGACATAATATTTTATAATGTTAGCACGAAAATTAACGTTAAACTTTAAGGTGTCAAACTGTAGTCCCTAGCATTTTTCTTTTTGAATTTTTTTCATATAGTTGATAAGAGCAGATTTAAGTAGATTTTATTGGGACAAGAACTCACAAGTAGAAGTGTATAAGAAGTGAAATTATTTTCAAAATACATACAGACTAAACCCTGAATCCTATCTACTTTTACTAATCAGTATGTCCACCTCATCCACATATGAACACTCAATGACCATGAGATGATCATCTTAGGATCATCCTTTTGTGACGGATGCTCCTATTGCACTTGTAATCTCTGAAGGATTAGAACCAATTATGTGACATCTATATCGAGAATTCAAATGTTATCTACGTCATTAGACTGATCCTTAGAGTAGTTCTTACTCTAAAAAAATGCGCCAGCACCCAGCCTATTTAATCCACTTAGTGAACAGTGATAGACCCCAATAAACAGTAATATACCAAATGCATCTCCACCCTTAACAAAAAATATGTTGGAAATGTGCCCTAAAACCAATCATATGATGATACTTTACGGACATTTCAAACTAATGTAGTTTAAATGTAAAGGGCAAAGATTATTGTTTGAGCCGTCTCATATAAATGTTATATGCTTAAACGATAAGTCCAAGGAATATGTGATTGAAAGAATGCGATCTAAAGAAGTTAGATTCATGAGACCATTCTTTCGTTGACACATCCTAAACGTTCCTGATCATAGGATTGTCAATTGGGCATTGACAGTCCGTTAAGATCAGTACGTGCTATGTCTTCTCTCAGGGAGAGTGACTAGTCTCGAGTCATTGGTGTGTGTGACATCAAGACAAGTACGTAGGTGCTCAATAGAGAATGAGTTAACTGAACACGATCAACGAAGAGTTCTCATATTCATGTCACATGAGAACTCATGGTTGGGATAATGCAAATTAGTCTTTTGACCTGAGGCATCACAGTTGTCTTGTGGTTAGGTCCTTAATCTTTAATTATGTCAAAGTCACTCCATCAGGAGGGTGTCCACGGCATCGTTGGGGTTAAGCCACTTAGCCATGGAGGCAAGTGAATGCGCAACAAGGGATCTCTAACCTTCAAACTGTTTGAGGGAGAATATTCTATGATATGATTAAGAATCTTTGGCCAAAGTATGAATGAGATTTAGGAATGTGTTCCAAATCACATTCAAGGTAATCATATAAGCACAAGACTCACATTGGATAGTAGACATGAATAAACTATCAAACCAAACAATTTGGTCAAGAGTATTGTATTAGAGAAAGACCGTATTGCATTTGTAATCCTAAAACTGAATAGGTTCTCCACCTCTTCTGATTAGCTTGGGTAACCATGACATGCTGCTAGGCGTCAACCATGGTTTGTGGAAGCCCTAAAAGTGTATTATCACTAACGGGAGAATTGAAAGTAAGTTTCAATTCACAATCGATTAGAAAGAGTTTTAATCGCCCACTGCCTCGCTAAAATGAACCTAATGGATCGTTCACCGAGTAAGGTAGAGTTTGAAGAAACAACGGAGATGAGTAAGAATAATTAAATGGTTTAATTATTTATCTAAGGCTAGGATTAATTAATATGTTAATTAATCAAACGAATAAGTTCGTTAAAGACCTCGGGTTAGTTTTGGGCCGCAAGGCCCAATGGGATTTGAATGTCAAGCCCATTAACTCAAGTTGTATGACAACTTGAATAAACAAAGGGCTTGCAAGCCCAATAAACCCTATAGGCTGGCCATGTTAGAAGAATAGGGCTTTTGGTCCATTAGGTCACTTATTTGAAGGGACTATATAAAGGACTTTATAGCCTAAAATTCATTAAGGGTTGTTTTTGGGGAAAGGATGAGAACACAAACTCTCTTTTCTCTCTAAAATTTCGGCCACCTTGGAGGGATCATCTAGCAATCAAACTCCTCCAAGGTCACTCATTTCTTCTTCATTATGCCTTGGTGATGAATCATTAGAGGTTCTCAATTTTGGGAACTTTGGAGAAACCTTTTTCATCCATCCAAATCCATAGATCTAAGATGCAAGGAATGAATGCCCTCTCTTTGGGTGATTAGCCTTTGTTTAAATACAAAGAGGAATCTACAAAGGTATATATTTCAACTCACTTTGTTTTGAGTTGATTATTGGTTCACCATTTTACTAGGCTTTGAACATTCATGGGTAATGTTTTGTTTTTAAGTGCATGCTAGCATGATTCCGCCTTTAATTTGTTAATTGCATGCTAATGATGTTGCTTAAATGAACATGTCATCTTACAAAATAATCCTTCAAAATAACCTAGTCAATTTTATTAAAATATTATTATTTTTATTATAAAATAATAAAAATAGTAATTTTATTAAAAAAAAAGGTAAGCCTGCAACCTCCCTGCATTTCTCTCTCCCTCTCTCTCCCCTTTCGAATTTGGAGGAGCTCTGCATCAAGAACCCAAAATCTCCTTCCGCCCCGAAATCAACCTCAACCCCGAGGAGCTCTGCACCAAGAACCCGGAATCAACCTCCCCATTCAGATTTGGAAAAGCTTTGCACCAAGAACCCGGAATCTCCCTCCGCCCCATAATCAACCTCAGCCCCGAGGAGCTCTGCACCAAGAACCCGGAATCAACCTCAACCTTGAAGAGCTCTGCACCAAGATCTCTCTGCGACGCATTGATCGTGCGGGAGGTTGATGGCCCAGCATGTGGGTCTGTCGATTTTAGGCCGATCTCTTACCTGGCTTGGGCTGGGTGCCGGTCAAAATGCTGGGCTGGAGTGGATAGCCTGGGTGTCGGGCTGTTTTTTGGCTGAGTGCTGGCCCATCAGTTCCCCGATGGAATTGCTCTTAGTAACTTCAAAACACATGCGTATTTGTATGACTAACTTCTTTTCTACAAGGTTGATTAGTAATTTTAATCTAAAATAACAAAATTTAATAATTTTATTACAAGTGATGTCATAGATAGGTTACGAGTGTTGTCAATGCCAGCTTTTTTAGGTTTAAAGAGTTGTCGGTACACAAATTAATGAAAAGCTTATCCAACTTTATACGTCGTCGTGACTCGTGTGAGCGTAAATAGAAAGTGTTAAGTAATTTTGCCACGTTGTCGTTTTGCGAGTTCCATATCTTTATATCTCGTCACCGTCTTCCGTACTTATCGCGGAATTGCGTACCGTCCTAACGCTTTTGCTGTCTTCCCTTTAGCTTCGCGCCTCAGGAGCCCTAAATTCCCCAAGTTTCATCAAATTTCAGGCTCCAATTGAAAAATTCGACCTCTGAACAAATCGAAATTCGAAATTTAGGGCTTTGATTGGGGGAAAATGGCGATGCTTTTGGAGGATATTCTGAAGTCGGTGGAGCTCTGGTTAAAGCTGATCAAGAAGCCCCAGCCTTACGTGGACCCTAATCTCGACCCGGTTCTGCTAGTTCCGGGCATCGCCGGTTCGGTCTTGAACGCCGTCGATGAAGAGAGTGGTGCGGAGGAGCGCGTTTGGGTTCGAATCCTCGGTGCTGACTACACGTTCCGGACCAAGCTTTGGTCTCGTTTCGATCCTTCAACAGGTAAAATCATTGAAAATTTTGAAATCTCTGGGAAGAAAATTTGGTGGCTTGTGTTTGGTTGCTGAGGAAATTGTAGAATTAGGAGAGCAAAAAATCTGCTGTTTGTAATTACATGATGAAGTTTCCTGTTATTGATCATGTATATGAGTTGTCATATAGTTCAATTTAGTTTCTGAAGCTGAATTGTGTATAGTGGTTAAATATTAAGGTAGAAATATTGTTTCTTTTCGATTTACAAATATATAAAAAGGTCGCAAAGTGAAATTTGAAGGCCAGCTCCGGCAATCTGTTGGTTAACTTTTAAGGAATGTCAATTCGATTAATGTGTGTCGCAATGTGCCCTTCCCGCAATGGTGTATGGCAGGACGCAAAAACGTATCAGTTCTAGCTTGAATTGTTTGGAAAGCTTTCAAATGCATTGGTCAGTAGTCATGTAGTAAACATGTTTGCAGTCCCTCACGTGCATATAGGAAAGTCGGTTTTCGATTGGAATGATATGAATGCATTTTATATAGTTACGCATGAGCTTCTATGGAACAATAGAAATAATGATCTGTTTGTTAAACAGGTAAAACTGAGTCTATGGATCCAAACACAAGGATAGTGGTTCCTGAAGGTAGATGTGGACTTGAGGCAATCGACGCCTTGGACCCTGACATGGTATGAAGCATAACTACTTAAAGAAGCCAACCTCGATTTTCTATTGTTTTTTTTCTTATGCATTTTTTATTATCGATTTTTTTTTGAGGCTTCCTTGTTTCTTCTCGCTTCCTCATGTATTGGTCAGCTGCACTTTTCATAATTTTAACTGCAAATTTTTTGCTCCTTTCCTTGTTAATATGCTACACCAAATGAAACTCCTTTTCTTCCCAACAAAACTCCAGAACCTTCAAATAACCATCCACTGAGTCTGATTTTTTTGCTTTCTAGAAATTGTGGAAGCTCTTTCTTTGGCTTTTTATTTGTTATAAGTAGATGATTCAGTACATGCCAAACTGATATAGTAGGATTTTAGTGAAAAGTTATAATAATAATTGAAACTTATCAGAATTTGGTACAGTATTTAATGCTTATATTTCTTATTTTTGGAACTCTTATCTCATTGATTCTTGAGTAGTTTTCGGGAAGTGATTGAACCAATGATAAAATTCTATTGACGGTTTGTCTCATGCAGGTCATTGGACAGGAGTGTGTATATTATTTCCATGACATGATTGTTGAATTGACCAAGTGGGGTTTCCAAGAGGGAACGACACTTTTTGGGTTTGGTTATGATTTCCGCCAAAGCAACAGGTATCTGGTTTATTTGAATGCCACTTAGAAGTCTAAAAGCTTTATATGTGAAGGTTATGCTTTGTTTAGGTAATCACCGTGGTCAAGGTTTTCAATATGGTTATGCTTTGTTTTTGTTTAGGTTGCAGGAGACATTGGATCGCTTAGCTGCAAAACTAGAGGCAGTGTATAATGCTTCTGGAGGGAAAAAGATAACCATCATAACTCATTCTATGGGGGGCCTTCTAGTGAAATGTTTCATGTGCTTGCATAGTGATGTATGGCGTCTACCCCGCTTTTTGAGTAATAATTATTCTTGTCTTTTTCTTATTTTGCTCAGGTCAACCCCTTTCCAATTTATTGAATCAAATACAGCTTAACAATATGGTCTAATTTGTGTGTTGCGAATTATATCCTATAATTTGATGCCATTTGTTTCACAGGTTTTTGAGAAATATGTGAACAAGTGGATTGCAATTGCTGCACCATTCCAGGGTAATTGATCATGTACACTTATCATTTGTATAACAAAATGTAAACTGAAGTTTAGTTTGAAGTCAACCTCTAATAGTTTGTATAATCTCAGTTATATGCTGCTCCCAGATTCCTTTGTAAAGCTTTAACTATTAAGGTGAAAAATTAAACAAAAGCTAATTTGTGACTTTTCATTGTTGTGCAGGTGCGCCTGGATACATCACATCTACTTTTTTAAATGGAATGACATTTGTTGACGGGTGGGAACAGAATTTTTTTATATCAAAATGGAGCATGCACCAACTGGTATGATTCCATTTCTGTGGGCAATTAACATTCTAGACCTTAAGCTCACACACCCCATTTTTGGAATTTGGAACAAAAATGTCATCTTTTTATGGGGTGAAGAAAGTTATATGTTAGAAGAGAGAATATTTTTAAATTAAAACAAAAAATAACATAAGATGGTAGAAGTAATTGATGGTAAAGCATTTCACAGACATTTATTTCTTCCTTTGCATCCATTTTTTTCTTACTGAGGTTTGTTGCAATGTTCCAGCTTATTGAGTGCCCATCAGTATATGAATTGATGGCTTGTCTTGATTTTCAATGGGAACATCCTCCGCTTCTGGAAATGTGGAGAGGTAGGCCAGATGGTGATGAGAAATCTCAAATTCTGCTAGAATCTTACCCCCTGGTGGAGAGCGTACAGATTTTTACGGAAGCTCTTGCAAATAATACGGTAAGCGCCACCATATGTATTTGGTGCTCTTTTAAAATGTAATTTAAAGTTAAAAAGTTTGCTTGCATGGTCTTCTCTCCTATGAGATGAAGGTTGCTTGGTCTCCTCTCCTAGATATTATTTTTATTATTCTCTTGAGAAAGTAATAGTAACATCTTAAACTTACACTGCATGTTTTCATAATTTCAGGTTAATTATAACGGTGAAGATATTCCCCTACCATTTAATATGGAAATCTTGAAATGGGCTAATGAAACACGCAACATTATATCTCGGGCGAAACTTCCTCCTCAAGTTAAATTCTACAATATATATGGGATGAATCTTGAGACACCTCATAGTGTTTGGTAATCCTCCATGAAATCTTTAAAATCTCTCTTCTGCTTGCCTGCTATTTTAGATAATTCTTGGATAAAAGTTTCAAGTCATACTAAAAACGCTTCCAGATACGAATTTCTTTTATCATCATGGCTTAATTTAACATCCAAGTCAACTACTCTGCAGCTATGGAAATGAGGAAACCCCGGTCACAGATCTACAACAGCTACGTTTTTTCCAGGTTATTATCTTTGAATGGAGGTGCTACCACGATATGTTGTACTATTTTTTCTAGGAGATTACAATCACAAGGCTAACTCATTTTTGCATTGAATCAGCCTAAGTATGTATGCGTCGACGGTGATGGGACAGTTCCAGTAGAATCAGCTAAGGTTTGTCGACTCCCCTGTCCATACTCTTAAACGGCCTTCCACTCATTCAAATTTGTTTCGGTCAATACAAGTTGCCAACATTTATAGTCTTCCCTCTTTTGTGAATTCCAGGCAGATGGTCTCGATGCTGTAGCAAGGGTTGGAGTCCCTGGCGAGCACCGAGGAATTCTCTGCGAGCGCCATGTGTTCCGGATACTCAAGCACTGGTTGAAGGCGGACCATGACCCGTACTACAACCCCGTAAACGACTACGTGATTCTACCCACTGCATTCGAAATGGAGAGGCACAAAGAGAAAGGTCGAGAAGTAACATCTGTAAAAGAGGAGTGGGAAATCATCTCCGAATGCCAAGACGCCGATGCAAAGCCTGTGGTGAGTTCCATATCGGTTTCGGACGCCCGAGCCGAGGCCCGCGCAACTCTCACTGTTCACCCTCGGAACGAGGGAAAGCAACATGTGGAGCTGAATGCTCGAAGCGTCTCAGTCGATGCATGAATATAAGAACAGAGCTGCATTGGATATTGCAGGTGCCTTTGTATATAAAACAAGATCTTAAATTATAATTAATCCTAAAAAATAATTTTAATTAGATATTAAACATCTCCTTAAATACTATGAAGTTGGCAAAAAACTAAAGGGGTGTATTGAATTGGGATTTTGAGAGATTTTAATTCTTTTAGGGGCTGTAGTCAAACTGATATGTTAAAAGATTTTAAAGGATTTTAAAAGTGATAGATTTGATAGGATTTTAAAATACTTTAAAATCTTTTAATTGACTGCATCTAGATTTGAATGGATTATAAAATCTTTAAATTGACTATACCTAGATTTGAATGGATTATAAAATCCTTTAATTGACTGTATTAGGATTTTAAAATCTTTTAAAATCCTCTCAAATCCGAGTTACTTTAAAATCCTCTCAAACCCGCCCTGGAGGAGGAGCACCGCCTTGTTCTGCTTCAGAAAACTCACCACTTTCAAAAGAAAAATGGCGGCTGCACGGTGGAGGAGGAGCCATGTCGTAGCGATTAGGGTTTATATTATGTATGGTCTTAGGTTTTTTTGGGTCAAATAATATGAGCCTAAAAAAGGCCAACATGCCAATGGCAGCAGAAGCCAGAAAAGCCGAAACGATGATATAGTACGGTCTCAGGTGTTTTTTAGAAAGTTATTATTTTTATTTAAACACGTGATAAATATTGATTGGTTGGATGACAAATAATAATATTAATTGGTTGGGTGAGGCTGCTGGGATCATGCGTGGTTGCAAAAGTGAATTTCTCCATAAAGAGTCCAAAGGCGATCCTATATAGAAACGTTCTAGTAACATTCACTATCATGTGATTATATCAATTTATTTATGTTAATATTGTCTATAAAACGTGAACTTATGCAATAGGGTTTTTTTTATTATTTTATTATTTTTTTATTTTTTTATTTTTTTATTTTAACAAACAATATTATCAACACTAAAAAGGAAGGGGTGGACTTAGCCACTATGGACTAGCAATAATGTGTTTCAAACTCGCATTTGACGAGAATCAAATCTAAGAACTCTCACTTACAAGTGAAGAAGACCACTAGACTATGATACTAAGTGACAAAATTAATGGAATTAGTGTTGTTGTTTTTTTTGTAGCATCTTTGTGTTATTTTGGTAATTTTCTGCGCCACTTGACTTTGTCAATTGTGTCATCCTTACGATACTTAGACATTCTCTAACTCTGGGCTAAAACTTAAATTTCTACTTCCATTCCCCCTCAAAACTTAACCCAACCCAATGCTAAAATGTGGCATAAAACCTAAAACTCAAATGAAAACCAAATTTAGCTAGGGTTGGCCCATCATATATGTATATTTTATTTAGTTTTATATTTATAAATACATTGAATCCAATAGTTAAGATCTAATTTGATGAAATTCAATGGTAAAAAAAAAAAATTAACGGTCCAAATTTAAATCTAAAGGCTAAAGTAATTAATAAAAAAATCTTTCATTTGTTTCATATTTTTTCATAGTGTTTAATGAGTTTCATGCTGTCAGTTAGTGATTTTTCAGTATTTGTCAGAATCTAAATATTTTTAGGTTAAAATGTTCATAAAATTAAATTAGGATAGTCTACATAATTTTTTTATTTTTAAAAAGTTAATTTAAGAAAAAAAAATAGTCTAAATTCATTCTTTAATAATCTGGGGCCAAAATTTTAGACTAGAAGGGTTGGAGTAGAAAAACTATTTATGGGTTAAAACCTAAATTTTCTAGTCTAAAAATTTTAGATTTTAGACCAAGAGTTTGAGATGGTACATTGCAATTAGACACAAACTCAGACACCAAACTTGTGGTGGCCGAGTCCACATAATATTGCGATGCAACATACGAAATCTCGCAAACATTGGCATATATATTTGTTGCATGTTAATTAACTATTGCAAATCTTTGCACATATGAGAATGTACTGCGGAATCAACATCGACAGAATTAAGGAAGTATTATTGAGGGACGGGTCGGTGCACGTACGAACCAGATACAAATCAAATATATAGTTACAAACAATTCATAATCTTCTGAAATTAAGATTAAACTACTGCGCAGGGCAAGCAGCACAGGTCGCAGAGGCAGCAGCAAAACATGGCAGAACAACTGCAGCATATACACATAAGAAATAGTTAGTTGCCAGAGCAATTAATTAATTAGGAGGATTCAGAGAGAATGTTTAATTACCATCCTGCCCAAAATCCACCACCTCTCTGTTGGTGATGAGATTTTGGTAGCTGCTGCTGCTGCTGATAGGGAGCTGCCTCTTGGGGGTATCCAGCTGGAGGTCCATCACTTTTCATAGGGTAATTAACTGGTGGTGCAACAACAACATACGGATCACCTTGAGTTCTAGTACTGTATCCTTGCTGAACTTCTGGTGGTGGCGGGTACGACGGCGGCAGATGCCCTTGATATGCACCGGCCGGTGACGAAAGGTATGAAGTGGGCGGAGCCTGATGATGATTGTAGTGACTCATGGTAAAGATTTTACGAGAAAAATATATGAATTTAGGGTATTGAGAGAATGTCTATCTCTGCTCAATGAAAAATCTTTTCTTGATTAATTATGATTAGCTTACAACATATGGTTTTATGTATATATAAAACTGTTTTGTCCTTTACAGATACTTTTTCAAACTTGGCGGGCCTTAAACGCGTGATTATCTGATGTTCAGTAGTTACCTCCATTTCAGCACAACGTATGCAGTCTGTCTTGGAAAATATACCATCGCTCCTTCAGTCTTAAACAATGGGAAAAGATCTCATCCGGATTTCTCTCACCAAATCCTAGAGATTTGAACTCTTAAAATTTGATCTAACGGTTACAAACAAAGAGCTTCTCTAAAAGTTATAATAATTGTAACCGTTAGATCAAATTTGAAGAGTCCGAATCTTTGAATCCCTAGGATTTAGTGGGAGAGATCGGATGAGATATCTTCCCCAAAACTCATGCAAACCTATCAGTTAGCGACACATGGCATACTGACCTACTCCTCCTTTGTTGGGTAGTTAGCCGGGTCAAAGAAGAAGCTTCTCTGCTTCATTTCAAAGTTCGAACTGTCAAGTCATGGTGGCGATAAAAAAAGCGCACTAGGAGACTATTTCCCACTTATAAATTTGATCTTCTAGATGGACTGCAAGAAACTTATGCTTAATATCTTATAGTTTATATATAATAGATAAAATCCTTAGGTATACTTTGCTCCTAGTTGGGTATTGATATATAGGATTTTCTAGTATCAACATTCAATCATCTAACCATTTATTACCCGTTGAATGTTATAATACCGGAGCATATAATATGGAATTTTTGTGATATATAACATCAAACAAATTCCCAAACTTAACGCTTCATATCTAAAAGCAAAATTGGCTGTAGTTAGAGCATCTACAATGAGTTCTCTGAATGAGCTCCTAACTAGAATTTAGAGATGATTTTAGAAAAAAATAAATCAACTCCAATCATGCTTCCTATCCACCTTCTAAGATAAGAATTCATCTAGGAGCTCTTAAATATAGGGAGGGAAAGGAGCTCCTAATGGTTCTCTTAATTAATGTTAAATTGTTTTAATATTATTTTGAATAAATCATTAAATCTTATTGGCTTATTATTGATTCATAGCCATTATGACTCAAGTCACTGTTTACTGCATATGGTGTGAGCGGAATAACCGTATCTTCAACAATTGCAAGAAACCTTTTGCCACAGTTCTTCAGTTGATCATCAATATGATTTGGTGTCAATTGTGAACTTTGAAAGTTAAGCCTTCCACCATTAACATAAGGGTCTTCCATAACTAGAATGTTGTTGCTCCTTATTCTCTAAGTTGTTTGTTGCCTTTCCCTGCGTGGTTTAGGCTTTGGTTTTTAGGTTCTCTTTTGTTTGCTTGTGCCTTGAATTTTCTTCTTTGCCTAGTTTTCATTTGTTGATCTCTTTGGGATTTTTCCCTTTTAATATATTATTTATTTAACAAAAAAAAGGAGTACAACTTTTTTAGTGAGCCACTAAAATAACCATTTGATAGTTTTAGCTAAAACTTTGCTATAACATAGGAAGCATGATCGGAGATGCTCAATTAGAATGTTAAAAGAAAAATGTCAAATGTACATTTGAATGCCTATTTGGCAATGTCAAATTTCCTGCTCCATCCCATATGTTTTTCCTTATTCAATTAATATCTGTAGGACTCACTCTTCAAAACAAATTAATCAAAACTATTTTTGATGATTTATGATTGGTGTTGCATTGTTAGAACTCACACGACAAAACGTTTAAAATATAAGAAAGGCACAAGATTTTTTTATATGCCAAAATTGATAGCACACAATTTTTATGACAATTCACGTAGAATTGATATATCAAATAGAACTTCTATCTATCTTCAAATTACATGACATTCCATTTAAAATTTAACATCTCTTTCAAAGATACTTTTAACTTCTTTGGATTATATTTATATGGGAACTTTAACGAAAAACTCCCGGTACTATTCACTTTAACGAAAAACTATATTTTTACATTAAAAAGTAAATCATGATACTATTCACTTTACCATTTATTTTATCCTTATCATTAAAACTCAAAATTTTCAAATCATGTTCATTAGTTTTTTTTATATTTAATGGTGAAAATTGAAGTCTGCTAAAATAAATGTTACAAACCGATGTTTTAGCAAACGATAGAAAAGAAAACGGTAAAAGTTGAAAAATGGGATGAACAAGTATCCAAAGTGTGGAACACAAAAAGATGCTTCCCACTTCATGACCCGGTACCCTTTACCTTCAGCAAATTTCGTGGCAGAAACACTGCAAAGTAATACTGACGAATAACAACACCTAATCTTCATACAGTTCAAATGGACAGGTCCCTGGTTTTCTCCACAAACGTTCCTCTCAGAATTTCTCAAATACCCAGATCAATTTTACCTCCCAATCGACCAGGTTACTCACTTTTTCTGAATCCAAAGCAAAAATTGCAACATGGGTTTCAAAGATTTGGACTTTCGATTGCCAAACCGACGAGAAAACTCTGCACAAAGGCCGTGTTGTCTGGAATTCCAAACCACGAGCTGTATGTGAAAGTTGGCGCCAAATCAACCGGACCAATTCCAATTGGTCAGCTCGTTGGAGTGGTTGAGAAGGCCGCTAAGACTGGCGCTGAGGTTTGCTCTTTAGCTCTGTTTTAGGGTAGCAGCTGGGGTATGGTTTTATATCCAGATACCTTTTATAAGAGTAACCTGACAATTCTTAGTTTTGTCCTATCTAACCTCTGATATCTTCGTAGATGGAACAACAAATTTCGCACATGGTTATCCTAGCTTTGCAGTTTCTGTTGGAGTTTTATTTCGAGGAAAACCTGTTGCTGCTGCCGTGGTACTGATCACATATAGTAGATTTTATTTGACATGTTGCTTGCATGATTCCATGATATGTTAAGATGTCTATTTGATTTTCCAGTACTCCCCGTCACATGTGGGCCTCATTATTAGAGTCAAAAGTGTCTTCAACTTACATAGCATGGTTGCCATGCAATGATTTGAGCTCAGGATCTCTTACTCTGTTGCCATGTTTACCATTATTTTCAAAAGCTCAAACTGTTAGGATGTGGACCAAAAATCATCTTATACTATAATGTCTATGACTGACATAGTGGAAAATTAATATGTTAGTTTTCCGTTTATATTTTCAGGTAGAGTTCGTTGGGGGCCCTATGTGTTGGAATACCCGCATTTTTTCTGCTAGTGCTGGTATGGATTTCTGTCTAAATAGTTGCCTTAGCCTTATTTGATTTTCTAAGTGTACTATTGACGTTGAGCTTCGATTGATAATCTGTGTTATGATAGGAGGGGGAGCATTTTGTAATGGCCAAAAAATTCACGTGAGCCAAACTGATGAGGTTAGTATTTCTTTTATTAGAAGAATTTTTTTTTTTTAATCTATAACTATGCTGAATCATGGTACTTTCGGTTGATGACTAAGTCTGATCTTATGGGATGCTAGAATATTTGCAGTGGTATCTTGATTAACACTTATTGCTATTCCTTCATACTAGAATGCAATAAATAAAAGTACAAAACCATAACATACCTTAGGCTGTGATTATTTTTACCCCATTTTCTTCAGAAATTCCAACAACCACCAGAGTGTTAGGCATAAAGGTAGCAAGTCAGAAACTAGAAAAGGTATAATAGAGAATAATGAGCAATCTCATGTGTTTCGTATACTCTGTAAAGGAGAAACCATTTTATATTTTACTGAGACTCATACTCTTCCATATTTTAGGTGGGACGGTCTCTTCTTGTTACTGGATTTGGTTATGAACATGATGACGTATGGATCACCAACATAGAGTTATTTAAAGAGTTCACCGACATCAGCAGGGTAATAACGTTTTTTTTTTTAAGTGCTAAGCAATTTTTATTTGAGCTTTAGCTTAGGATTAATAAACTTCCTATATCCATCTCTCACTTCATGTTTATGACTTTAACTCTTTTTCCCTCTTGGTTTTATCCCTACATTGTAATGGTTAGGGTGTTAGAAGGCTCGGTGCAGCTTCAGTAGACATGTGCCATGTAGCTCTTGGGATTGTAGAAGCTTACTGGGAATATCGACTAAAGCCGTGGGATATGGCAGCTGGTGTTTTGGTAATATTTTGTTTTCTCACAAACTCATGTGTTAGGTGTTTGTGTAATAATAATATTTGGAAGTCTATTGTTATAATACTCAATTGAATACCTTCTTGTTTTGTTTTTGTTGAAACATAATACATCGGCAGAGAATTTTGTATTCTCTCTCAATTTTAGTTTTTTTCCCCAAAGCAATTTTGTCTGATTTTTTATTTGCATTATATAATATATTGTTCTGGTTTTTCTTTTCAATATGTTTTTGTTTTTACTTAGTTACGAGAGCCTAACTAATAATTGATACTTTCTTACACATGGGTTAGTTCTTTTTAATTTTTCTAGATGAACTTAATACTTGGAAAGAGTTGTGATAACTCAAAGTATCCATCGGAAATCAAGCACGTAACAAAATAATAAAACAATTGACAATTCAGTTCCAGTATGAATAGTATATACGGGAAGAACATACAAACAATAGACCTTCTGTCAATAGACATATCCTTTACGTTTGTATGGCAAGTATTTGGAAGTGCTGCTTCAGACAATCTCGTGACAAGATGCTTAAACTGATGCATGAAAATTATAGTTCACTTGTCTTTCAGCAGAATCATGGTGACCAGATGTGTGATTTCAATTATTCATAGAATTTGGTATTGCAATTTTGAGCAGATAGTTGAAGAGGCTGGAGGAAAGGTTACATGCATGGATGGCGGAAAATTTTCTGTATTTGATAGATCTGTCTTGGTATCCAATGGTGTGCTGCATGGCAAGGTTAGTCTTCTGCTTTATCCAGAATCTAATTACAGAGATCAAACCACGGTTACAAATGCATGATCTTAACTTTTCATTGCCTTTCCATTACTACCACTAATCTTGTTCACTAGTTATATAACCATTAACGAAGAGTCAAGGGATAATTCAGTTTACTTAACTTGATGTATGTTTCTACTAATGAAGTGGCAAGCTTTCCTTTCCCTTTCTCCAATTTTTGGGTTAGGGTAGGTCGGGGGGAGTGAGTAGTAGAGCAGATGCTTACTGTAAGTCCATAACAGAGCTCTGAGTAGTACCATAGTTTCTTGTAAAAGATGCTGTAGATTGTAATCATTTTAAATGTACTAGTGGTTTTAAATAAAAAAAAATTCCAGAAATTAATTCTTGTAAAATGCAGCTTTTAGAGAGGATTGCACCTGCAACAGAGAAGTTGAAGAGCAAAGAAATTGATTTCTCATTGTGGTACAAGCCTGAAGATTACACAACAGACATTTGATGCACCTCTCAGTTCTTTTTTCTTTGTTTTTGCCAATCGTGCCAAGAACATATCTGCCACAGGATGGTGGTCTCTCATTGTTGCATTGGTGACGTTCGCTGTAAGTCACATTTCAAGTGCACAGAATATAAATCATCGCAGCATGTCTTCCTTTACTGATATGAATATTGCTTCAGGGTTTTAATCACAGCATAGCATATTTTCCTATGTTGCTTTAGGCAAGTGGAATAGGTTTGAATTGATCTAATTCAGAAATAATCGTTGATAATGTTCATGGTTCGATCTTTTTCGTCAAGAATTGATCCTCTGTGAAATCACTGCATTTACTCTACTGAAGCAGAAAGAAAAATGTGAATTTTGGGCAGTATTTAAAACTGTATCTTCCTTTCATTATTCTGTTCCCATCATTTCTTACATATGCATTCTTTTAATTTTGCTTCTTAAAATAATAATAATAATAACTAGAACGTTATTTCTCTGCTCATAAGCAAAGTTGCCAAGTACACTGCAACTTACTTTATAGTTTTAGGACGAATTTCGGCACCCTTGATAACAAGCCCTTTCTTCCACTGCCCACCAAGTTGACGGAGCGAAAAAATCATGTTGCCATACTGCTCAGGCGATGCTCTAAATTCGCCGGCTGGGATCTCAACCCATTTTCCTCTCCGCTTTTGCATCAGATCAACATTACGAGTGTGCTTGTCACCAGCAGGGATTTTGAGAGTGAATTCAACTGGTTCTTCCCATCCATATTCTTTAGCATTCAGCTTGACCACAAATACAACTTCATAGAGAGTTTCGGGTGACAGGTATGCGGTATCAAGCTTTCTGTACATTTCTAGCCTACATACATCTAACAGTTCAGCAACATCAATAACCAATTGTGATATACGGATTGAAGTTTTTGATACCCGTCTTCTACGGTGTTCCAGCGCCAGTAACGATTGTCTCCGCTCCAAGTGATCGAGAAATCTCTTGCATACACCGTAAAACAGTTGTTGGAATTTTTATCAACCCAATATTTCTGCAATAACAATTTGTTCATATTTTCAAGTTGTACTAAGAGTTGATATTTTGCTATATTTAAGGCAATGATTTTCTCACACCCATTTTTTTCTTTTGCACACCCTGTTTTATTTATGTCCTTTGATTCCCCTTCGGTTTATACAAATATTCAAAGGCATTATAAACAAACAAGTGTGTCCAAAGGGAGAAAATGAGCATGCAAAAATCATTTCTCGATGACTTGCAGCTTAAGTTTTGATCATTTGGAGCTACCCCTTACTAAGAATTAGAATAATTTCACGCAGTAATTGGAAAACAAAGAGGAAAAATAATTTAAAATTGTCAGAAAGTTGGATGCAGGAATTTCACCATTTTCGTTTCGTCTTAGAAAATTCCTTTTTGGAGCTCCTTAAGGAGTTCTCTAGGGGAGGGCTTGTTGATAGGTGAGTCAGAATCTTTTACAAAGGCTTTATAGTTATGTGGGAGCTGCTTCACCTGCTGTGCTTTTGTGACTGCAAGGTTAGAGGGAGTTGGCTTTGCTTCTGGTGCGGTCGCGGGGTTAAGGGGAATTGGCTTTACTTCTGGTGAAGCCGCAGGGTTAGGGGGAGTTAGCTTTGCTTTTGTTGCAACTGTGATGGTAGAGGGAGTCGACTTTGCTTCTGGTGCGACCGCAGGGTTAAGGGGAGTCGACTTTGCTTCTTGTTTGGTGACGGGGTTAGAGGGAGTCGACTTCGCTTTTGGTTCAGTTGCAGGGTTAGGGGGAGTTGGCCTGGCTTTTGGTTCGACTGCAGGGTTAGGGGGAGTCGGTTTCGCTTCTGGTTCAGACGAGGGGTTAGAGGGAGTCGGCTTGACTTTTGGTGCAGGGCGGTGGTTAGGTGCGGGCGGAGGGTTAGATGGAGTCGGCTTGACTTTTGGTGCAGGACGGTGGTTAGGTGCGGGTGGAGGGTTAGAGGGAGTCGGCTTAGCTTCTGGTGCAGGCGGGGGGGTGGAGGTGGGGGTGGGGGTGGCGGGGGCGGGGGTGGGGGAGGCGGGGGCGGAGGCGGGGGTGGTGGTGGCGGGGGCGGAGGTGGGGGCGGGGGTGGGGGTGGGGGAGGCGGGGGCGGAGGTGGGGGTGGTGGCGGCGGGGGTAAAGGTGGGGGTGGGGGTGGGGGTGGGGGTGGGGGAGGCGGGGGTGGAGGTGGGGGCGAGGGTGGCGGTGGTGGGGGCGGTGGGCAAGAGTGTTGACGCTGAGAACGCCTGGTCCCCATCTCTTTATGTAGTTATTCAATTATGTTTTAACTTTATATAGATAGGAAGACATGGCTAAACTAGTCAATTCCACAAGTCACCAAAGGACAAGATTGGCATAAACTCTCTTTCTTTTACTTTGGAATTTCGGCCATGTGGGAAAGCATGATATCAAACATGAATTCCTTTTCTTTGAATTTGGAATTTCGACCATGTGGGAAAGCACTAGATTGGCCTAAGAATTTTTTGCTAAAGTTTTTGGATTCCCAACTTTTTGTATTTGATATGTATAAAAAGAATTTGTTAAATACATAAAAAAAGTTTATTTCTACATTAAATATCATTAAAAATTAATATTAAAAAAAAGATATACAAACATTACTTAAATATTATCCATCTCATATTTTTTGACGCAAATGTACTAAGTGTTTGTAGTCATAAGTCTAAGATTGAATGTGAAATCCCGTTTCTGGATTTCACTGTTGTAATCTACGTATTTGTATTATTGAGATTTTATATTATTTTTCGAGAATTTATATTAATTTATTTGAAATTAAATTTCAATTAAACTAGTTACGAAAAGTGAAGTTTGGAAAATTATTATTTACTCGTTGACCTTTCAAGGTCACAAGTAACATTTTCGAATACGTCTCGAAGCCACGAGCGCATAGGCGAAAGCCGTTTGCGAGTTCGGATTATAACGGTATAGTTATGGACATCTGAAGTGGTGTTTCTAAACTATAGACTTTAATTTTCTTTAAAACCCCCACCGGTGGGAAGGGGAACCAATGTAAGGCTTGGTTTTTGGCCCAATCACTTAAGGAAGAAAGGAAGGACCAAGATGGAAAAAAAAGAAGAGGGATATTTTCCCCTCCATTCTCGTGGACCCATTTACCCGCGCTAACCTGGAGTGGTTTTCGGCCACTTCCACCATTCTTTCAGGTACAATTCAACTATACATCACCTGCAACCTCTTCCACCATCTCCCATCTTCCATTTCCACCCCAAGTTGAGGGTTTTTAGGTCCAATACCATGTAAAAACCGTGTAGGTGACCCATGGAGCTTTGACGGCGATTCCGCCGTTCCGGTGAGTTTCACCACCCACCACCACCCTTAGTCAACTCCTCTTGGACCCAGGAACAAGACCTAACAGGTTGTAGGGGCGTTGGGACACCGAGGAAGTCGAATTGAAGAACACCCACCTTAGGGTTCCAGCGGTTTGTGGCCAGTTTGGGGTGTTTTCCGGCCAAGTTGGCCTTGGCTGCAGGTATAAAGTTTACTTGTTGACATCTTAATTTTTGTGAAATTTGAGAATTTTTGGAAAAAGTCGAATTTTCCGGTATGTAAAATTTGATTTATGAAATGCTGTTGGTTGAATATATTTTCGATAAGGTCCGCCACTTGAATATTCTAACAATTGACAATCTTACCATTGAATTGACACCAAATTTTAGTATGCTATTGTAGATATGGTTTACGGACCTTAGGGTATTACTAGTGAAAATCTAGTGGGCTTATATTGGTTTGATAGCGACTTGAATATATGAGACATGATTATTATCTTAATTTCTTATATTAGTATCATTTGTGAATATGAATTGGTCTTATAATTATAATTTCTATTGAAATATGATTTTTATATATTTAGCCATAGACCTATGCTTATTAAATAGGATTTGGCTTGTGCACTGAAGATGTTTGGGACATATATGTGTTTAATTATCTTTTTAATAATGTGAATGATAATTATGATGAATGTTATGACAACTATGGGATCTAAGTATTGTTTGATAATTACTTGGTTATGCTTGCCAACTGAATACCTATTTGAACTTGGCATTACTACCTAGCATGAGATGGAGATGGAAGTCAAGAGATGAGTTAGGTAATTTATTAGATTTTTAGTAGAAATAGTAATTAAGGGAATTCCTTATGTTGTGCTTCATCTGACTTGATGCTGGTTGATATGTGGAATCGATGGCATGCATGTGTATAATTATGTTTAATGTGTGATGATGAGATTGCACCATGTAGTTATGGTACATGGATGGTCCTGCTTGGTATATCCACGATGGGACCATATGTATTCAAGGATGATCATGCTTGGTATATTTGCGATGGGTGATCACTGGCTGCACGATGAGTTTATGCCTATGGTCCTGCTTGGTATACCCGCGATGGGGGACCATACGCATTCTAGAGGTGATGATGACTAGTTGTACATGGTACATTTTTAGGCGATCATATTTGGTTTGGTTTCGTTGAATGGTCCGGAACTTGGGGTTGTTGGATTTTGTAGAGTGGTCTGAAATCCCATTATTTGGAGAAGTAGGCTTGGCCTAACTGTGTCACTCTAGCCTTAGTTTTATATATATTTGTGTCAATGTTTTTCGAGAATCTTGTGAATTGAGTTAGAAAAGATGTTGGACGTCTGGGTGACTCGTTCGGAATTTTCTACAATTCGATTATGATTTCATAAGGTATGAATTTAGAAGATATGAGAATGATTGTTATTACTTTGATCAAATTAATTAATTAATGTGGCTAGAGAATAATTTTGTGTTTCATTGGTTCTTAAATATGATGTATGTTGTGAATTGTGATATCATGATGAGACATAATGATTTATATGTTGGATGAGAGAGGAATCATGTTTTCATGGGGATTGGTTATGTAGCCTGAGTCCAGGAATTACATGTTGTCAGGTTATATTTAATGATTGAAGAATACTATGCTTTTTTGCTTGAACTTGGTGGAATAAATGTCTGATTTTGTGATAGTGAACTACCAATGGCTTGATCCCTATTAAGGGTACGTAGGCAGTCTAACGAGGAGATTAGATGCAGTCATAAGGTAAACGAAAAAATTTATTTGCAATTTGTTTCTCGAATTGTGATTTGCCATATCCCGGAGACGGGGTATGTGAGATATACGAGTATTTGATGACGTCACGTGTCGATCCTGGACGTATGTCGGGATCGGGGCGTGACATTGAAAGTGCATAGCAATAAAAACTTGATAATCAAGAGAATAAAGAACAATAAAACTTGATTGAAGAAAATAATAAATTCAACAATGTTAATGAGTTCTTTTATTATTATTATTATTATTAAGAAGGAGGGCAGAAGTTCAAAACTATTACAATAATTTAGGGGACGGGAGAAGTTTCGAACCCGAGGGCAAAATTGGCATGAACTCTCTTTCTTTTACTTTGGAATTTCGACCATATGGGAAAGCATGAATTCCTTTTCTTTTAATTTGGAATTTCGACCATGTGGGAAAGCACTAGATTGGCCTAAGAATTTTTTGCTAAAGTTTTTGGATCCCCAACTTTTTGTATTTGATATGTATAAAATGAATTTGTTAAATCCATAAAAATGTTTATTTCTACATTAAATATCATTAAAAATTAATATTAAAAAAATGATATACAAATATTACTTAAATATTATCCATCTCACTTTTTTATACGCAACTGTACTAAGTGTTTGCAGTCATAAGTTTACGATTGAGAGTGCATAGCAATAAAACTTGATAATCAAGATAATAAAGAACAATAAAACTTGATTGAAGAAAATAATAAATTCAACAACGTTAATGAGTTCTCTTGATTTTTTATTTTTTTTAATAAAAAAATTATTATTATTATTATTAAGAAGGGGAGGGTTCAAAACTATTACAATAATTTAGGGAATGAGAGAAGTTTCGAACCCAGGGGTATGATTGGAAACCCAACACCCTATTCACTAGGATATTAGACTACATGCAATTAGTTCTCTTGTTTTCTTTCTAAAATCAACACCAACCAACGGACTAAGTGTTAGAATAATCTAGCTGAATAATAAATTTTTGAACGCTACCTCAAATTACAATGTTCAAGACTTCAAGACCATATGATTGTTAATTTAAACATTCAATAAAAATAACAAGATTGGGCAGCGGAAAGAAAAATAGATTGCAAAGAGACATAGGTTTTTTTAACTTTATATGTTGAAGGAGGGGACGATTCCCAACGCACCAACAACTCGATTATGACTTTTTTTTTTATTGGAAAGTACTTTCAAATAAAGCCTTTATTCTATATGCTAAAACTTTTGTTTGTTTACCGTATATATTCTATTTAATAGCCTTTATTATTTGATAAGACATCACATCCTATATATTATTCTCATTTATAAAGTAATATTTAAATTTGTAAGTGATTATTGTATTAGCAAAAATCATTCGTCTTCAGTTTTGATGAACTTGTATATACAAAATAATTAAACACCTTAATCGATGACCACACATTTTAAATGTGAGAGATTTGACCAATAAATTTTGAGATGTGATATCCACACACCTTATTTTACTTCTTACATATCTTTTTAATTTTCAGCTTTTGGATCGAATGAATTGAAGAAGATCAACGGATAGAAATTATCAAAGAATGTATGAGAAGTAAAATGAAATGTGTAGATGGCACGCTCCTAAATTTTTGATGGTTAAGTCAGTTTTTCTGCTCAAATAAATGTTGCAAACCGATGGAAGCAAAAGAAAGAAAAGAAACAGGTAAAAATTAAAAAAATGGGATGAACAAGTGTCCGTAGCGTGTGGAACACAAAAAGATGCTTCCATCTTCATCACCCGATACCCTTAAGCAAATTTCGTGGCAGAAACACACTGCGAAATAATAAAACAGGAATACCAACACCTTAATCTTCATTCAGTTAAAATAGGCAGGTCCCTGGTTTCTCCACAAACGTTCTTCTCAGAATTTCTCAAATACCCAGATCAACTTTACCGCCCAATCGACCAAGTTACTCACTTTTTCTGAATTCAAAGCAAAAATTTCCAACTTGGGTTTCAAAGATTTGGACTTTCGATTGCCAAACCGGCGAGAAGTCTCTGCACAAAGGCTGTGTTATCTGGAATTCCAAACCGGGAGGTGTATGTGAAAGTTGGTGCCAAATCAACCGGACCAATTCCAATTGGTCAGCTCGTTGGAGTGGTTGAGAGAAGGCCGCTAAGACTGGCGCTGAGGTTTGCTCTTTAGCTCTGCTTTTGTAATTCTTTGAATGTGCCGGCATTGCGTAAATAATGTAATTTGAAGAACAATCCAGATGGAATTTGCATTTGATTCTTGTGGGGTATGCTTGAATTTTTTTTTTCTTTTCTGTTTTTAATCCTGTTGAGTATGTTAATTTGGTTTTGGAAGCATTGTTGGCTTTTGGTCATGCCTTTGTTTACTTGAGATTTAAGGTGAGGAAGAGGAGGGCAGACTGAAGGTATGGGTTTTAGCTGAAACGAAATTAATGGGTGATAAGGATGTTTGTGGAAGTTGGGATGTAGGTATGGCCATTAACGAGGTCTCGTGGAGGTTACGTTATGGGTCTGGGCATTAATGGTGATTGGGTAATGGAAGGGGAGGGGTAGATTATAGCTAGGGTGGGCACTGGGCACTTAGAACCGAAAATTGAAACCGAAACACGAACCAAATTGAATCGCATCGAACGGATTGATTTTACGGTTTTGAAACGGTTTCGGTTTTGAAACCGAACCGCAACATAAAAAACGGTTTGGTTTTGGCTTTTGAAAACCGTACCGAAATCGAATCGCATCGCAAATATTAATAAATATTTAATTAAATGTTCATATTAGATTTCATGTCTTAATTGGTTGTTTGTTAGAATCTGTACACTTAGTATGGACTCAACCATACTAGAATATCATCATTCATCACTTTTTTTTGTTCAATAACTTGAAGGATCTTTGTTATTTTATACCATCACACACACATATATGTACAAGGGTGGACTAATATTGTTAATTTAATGAAGTCCACTTATTTGAAGCATGATATCACATATTCTAGTATGAAAGTTTCACTTACGTTTAATGAATTCAAATTTATTCAACTTGTTTTATGATAAACATTGTAAGCAACACCCTTTTGTTGCACAAACATGTTTTGACATCACAACTGCATGCAACATGCTAATTATTTACATAACAAATATCTTTTTCCTATTGCTATTGGGAAATGCTTATTAATATGTTAAATTGCAAATTGTACATTTTTTCTTAAAAACCAAACTGAAACCGTTTGAAACTGCACCAAACCAAATCAAACGATTTGGTTTCATTTTGGTTTTGGCTTCAAAACTACACCGAACCGAACCGCAAAAAATTTCGGTTTCGGTTTCAGTTTCATTCAAAACCGCACCAAACCAAACCATGCCCACTCCTAATTATAGCTGATGACAGAAAGAGGTGAACCCTCACAGAGAAGGAAAGTACACTCACAGGGGAGAGAGCTCTCACAGAGGAGAGAAAAAAAACTTTTTAAGTTCGAGGTTTGTTTTGCATTGATGGTTGGATACTTTAGACTAAAGTAAATTGGAAAAGAGGTATCGGTTGATTTTCCCTGTGAACTTGTATGGAGCTGCTAATTTCCTCATTGAACTTTAATTTTAGCCGTTTACCCCTTGAACTTTCTTAATTAGCCAATTTTCTCCTTGAACTTTAATTTTAGTTCAAGGGAGTAATTGGTTAAAATTAAAGTTTAGGGGGAAAATTGGCAACTCCATACAAGTTCAGGGACAAATCGACAAATATGCCCTTGGAAAAATTATGAGCATCTGAGCCACAAACTGATTAGTAGTGAATGATTATATCATACCTCTTCAATTTAGTAGCACCCTTTGGTATCTCATCTTGCTCTTTATTCCTACTCTTTTTTGGTCTTCTTGTTTGCTTGCGGTAATAAGGAGGCTTAATGTGTCTATTACCATTTTTTTTCCCGCAAATCTTGGCCAGGCACTGGGGAAATAAATTTCCCATAAGCTCTGTACTATACTTCTCTTTTGTATACTGGGTTTACACAGTCGATTGGACTCCTCTGTTGTCTTGTAATTGCGGCATTTTGAGCAAGGCATGATCCACTCTCTTGAGCAATCTTTTCCAAAATCTAACGATTTTAGGTCCAACCTTCCGATGCCATTTATCTTCTCTCTTTACATCAAGTAACTATGAATTTTCTGTAGCATTATCAATATAGGCATGCTACTTGCTTCTAGAGTTTTAGAATTGAAGCATTACACAAATTATTTAGCAAATTACTTAGAACCTATGGAGAAGTGTGACCTGCTCCAATTTTTAGCTGGCCTTTTTACCAACCAGTTATGTCCACTTTCAGATAGCACCAAGATCTTATCCATCTCTGCTTGCCGCGTAGGAACAGTAGTGGCCCTAGCTGCAGCCCCTAGCCTTTGTTTTAGTGCCTAATACAATGTCTATCCTCTGCATTAGAGATTAAGCTCTCAATAGCTAGTCCCAAGCCCTTCTGCTTGTCTGTAATAAATATCCATCCATTTCCATGCAATATGCCAACATCTTAAAAAAAAAGAAAAAAAAAAAAAAAAAAAAAGAAAAAAAAAATCAAGAAACCAAGGTCCAGGTCTCGTGATGTTGCAGCCATCACACCCAACCACAGTCCTACACTCTTCTATGAATCCCTTCCTGCAAGCATCGTAGCATATATACATCCTCTAAAAGACAGGATCATCACCCCTCAATGCTTCCTTGTATTTTTGCAGTAGTAAATGACTTAGCTTTGTAAACTCGATCCTAAGACTGGCGCAGAGGTTTGCTTTTTAGCTCTGTTTTTGTAATTCTTTGGATGTGTCGGCATTGCGTAAATAATGTAATTTGAAGAAGAATCCAGATGGAACTTGCATTTGATTCTTGTGGGGAATGCTTGAATTTTGGGCAGTAGTTAAAACTATATCTTCCTTTCATTGTTCTGGTCCCATCATTTCTTACATATGCATTCCTCTAATTTTGCTTCATTAATAAAAAAATAAAAAAAAAAACCTATAACGTTATTTCGCTGCTCATAAGCAAAGTTGCCGAGTACTATGCAACTTATTTTTCAGTTTTAGGACGAATTTCGGCACCCTTGATAACAAGCCCTTTCTTCCACTGCCCACCAAGTTGACGGAGCGAAAAAATCATGTTGCCATACTGCTCAGGCGATGCTCTAAATTCGCCGGCTGGGATCTCAACCCATTTTCCTCTCTGCTTTTGCATCAGATCAACATTACGAGTGTTCTTGTCACCAGCAGGGGTTTCGAGAGTGAATTCGACTGGTTCTTCCCATCCATACTCTTTAGCATTCAGCTTGACCACAAATACAACTTCATAGAGAGTTCCGGGTGACAGGTATGCGGTATCAAGCTTTCCGTACACTTCTAGCCTACATACATCTAACAGTTCAGCAACATCAATGCGGTCACCACTGCATTTAAACCCTAAGTTAGGACGGATTACTATATAGCAGTTATCAACAACCAATTGTGATATACGGATTGAAGTTTTTGATACCCGTCTTCTACGGTGTTCCAGCGCCAGTAACGACCGTCTCCGCTCCAAGTGATCGAGAGATCTCTTGGATACACCGTAAAACAATTGTTGGAATTCTTATCAACCCAATATTTCTGCAGTAGGAATTGGAACAATTTCATGCAGTAACTGGAAAACAAAGAGGAAATAGAATTTAAAATTGTAGGAAAGTTGGATGCATGGATTTCACCTTTTTCATTTCGTCTAAGAAAATTCCTTTTTGAAGCTCCTCAAGGAGTTCTCTAGGGGAGGGCTCCTTGATAGGTGAGTCAGAATCCTTTATAATGGCTTTATAGTTATGTGTGAGCTGCTTCACTTGCTGTGCTCCTGTGGCAGCGGGGTTAGAGGGCGTCGATGCGGGCGGGGGGCTAGAGGGAATCGATGCAGGCGGGGCGTTAGATGGGGGTGGGGGATTAGAGGGAGTAGATGGGGGCGGGGGATTAGAGGGAGTAGATGGGGGCGGGGGGTTAGAGGGAGTATATGCGGGCGGGGGGTCAGAGGGAGTCGATGCGGGCGGGGGGTCAGAGGGAGTCGATGCGGGCGGGGGGTCAGAGGGAGTCGATGCGGGCGGGGGGTCAGAGGGAGTCGATGCAGGCGGGGGGTTAGAGGGAGTCGATGCGGGTGGGGGGTTAGATGGGGGCGGGGGTTTAGAGGGAGTTGATGCGGGCGGGGGGTTAGACGGGGGCGGGGGGTAAGAGGGAGTCGATGCGGGCGGGGGGTTAGAGGGTCGACTGCGAGATTTCTTTTGCCCCATCTCTTTTATGTGGTTCTTCAATTATGTTTTTACTTTATATAGATAGGAAGACAGAGATAAAGAGATGGGGGCTGTAAATGTTTTAACCATGCGCGAAAGCATGAATTCCTTTTCTTTTACTTTGGAATTTTGACCTTGTGGGAAGGCATGATAAACAATTAAGCATGAATTCCAGCAATTAAGTGTTGGATAATGGCCAAATTAGTTCCATGTTTTGTGGTTTTTTCAAAGCCATGTTTTGTGGCTTTTTCAAAGCCATGTTTTGTGGCTTTTTCAAAGCCATGTTTTGTGGGAGAAGGCTTAGATTAAGAAAAGCATAAAATGGTGAGAGCATTTGGCAAAACAGAGGAACGGATGAAGAGATGTAAAGCATCCAAAGAGATGGTGAGAGCATTTGGCTCTACCATGGGCACGGGTGTGAGAAATCAAGAGAGCTAGAGTAAAAGTATTCTAGTGAAAGAACTCTTGGGGTAGAGTGAGGCTCTTGGGAAAATTCTGTGAGTGGGTGTACAAGGGATATGGGATTGGGTTATGTCGATTTAACTCATGTGTAACTTGTACTGTTTTTCTCATAGTGAAGAGCAATATCTCTCCGAGGACGTAGGCAGGTTTTTGCCGAACCTCGTAAATTTCTCGGTGTCTTTATTTCTTGTATTTTATTTTGTTCAACTGTGTGTGAAATTGGTGAGGTTGTAATCTGAATCTCGGTTCCGCACTGACGAACGGGCCAAGGCACAACAATTGGTATCAGAGCATCGTTGGGGGCTTTGGTTCGTTGGAGGTCCAGATTTGTTGTTCACCATGGAGTTTTCAGTTGAGCAGTTTAAAGGGAAAGGCGGTTTTGCTCTTGGTAAAGGAGAGTAATGGAAGCCTGAAGAAATGGAAGCCGTGTTTAGGGATGCTTGGATCAACTGCGAAAGTTGATGTTGAGGAAGAAGACAAAGGCCTCTTTCTTCTTACCTCACTTTCAGATTTGTACGAGAACCTTGTGAAACTTTACTGCAAGGAAAGAAACAGTAAGTTTGGAGCAGGTGCAAGCTTCTTTGGTGTGGAATGATACACACAAGAGACCATGGATGATGGTGGGCACAAGACTGCTTAAGCTATTCAAGGTTGAAATCGTGGAAGAAAATTGGAAAGAGGATCTGAGAGAGACAGCAGGTTCGGATCCGGTTCCGGAGGCAAAGGTCCACAGTGCTACGGGTGCAAGGCCGGGTTAGCAAGTTTGTGGTGGAAGACTTTGAGTATGCCCTCTAGGTACTCGAAGCAACACTTCTCCTGGTGATGTTTAGTCTCAAGTGTTGCAGGGGTTTTGCAGCAGGTGGAGCTATGGGATTCACAGGTGATGAGAAGGTCCTGAGGTAGGAGGAAGTGTGGGAATTTTGTCTGGCTCGACGGGTTGTTGCTGGAAATAGGCGCCCTGACGAGTTTCCAGGTTGCAGACAATGAAGAGGAGGAAAACCTGCTGGAGGAGACGAGGATGTGTTGAGATCCTGTCTGAAGCTAAATGGTGATTTTTAGCTTGCAGCAGCTGCACATGCATTGGCAGTGACTGAATCGGAATAGGACCAACGAGGTTGATTCAGAGTGTGCATGCTGGTACGTAAGGCCAATGGACTTTGGTACAATTTGGCCAAGGTGGAGATTGTTGGATAATGGCCAAATTAGTTCCATGTTTTGTGGCTTTTTCAAAGCCATGTTTTGTGGTTTTTTCAAAGCCATGTTTTGTGGCTTTTTCAAAGCCATGTTTTGTGGGAGAAGGCTTAGATTAAGAAAAGCATAAAATGGTGAGAGCATTTGGCAAAACAGAGGAACGGATGAAGAGATGTAAAGCATCCAAAGAGATGGTGAGAGCATTTGGCTCTACCATGGGCACGGGTGTGAGAAATCAAGAGAGCTAGAGTAAAAGTATTCTAGTGAAAGAACTCTTGGGGTAGAGTGAGGCTCTTGGGAAAATTCTATGAGTGGGTGTACAAGGGATATGGGATTGGGTTATGTCGATTTAACTCATGTGTAACTTGTACTGTTTTTCTCATAGTGAAGAGCAATATCTCTCCGAGGACGTAGGCAGGTTTTTGCCGAACCTCGTAAATTTCTCGGTGTCTTTATTTCTTGTATTTTATTTTGTTCAACTGTGTGTGAAATTGGTGAGGTTGTAATCTGAATCTCGGTTCCGCACTGACGAACGGGCCAAGGCACAACATTAAGCATGAATTCATTGTCTTTTAATTTGGAATTTCGATCATGTGGGAAAGCACTAGATTGGCCTAAGAATTTTTTGCTAAAGTTTTTGGATTCCCGACTTTTTGTATTTGATATGTATAAAAAGTATTTGTTAAATACATAAAAGTTTATTTTTACATTAAATATCATTAAAAATTAATATTAAAAAAATATACAAATATTACTTAAATATTACCCATCTCACATTTTTAGACGTAAATGTACTAAGTGTTTGCAGTCATAAGTCTAAGATTGAGAGTGCATAGCAATAAGATTTGATAATCAAGAGAATAAGGAACAATAAAACTTGATTGAAGAATATAATAAATACAACAACGCCAATTAGTTCTCTTGTTTTTTTTTTTTTTTAATTTATTATTATTAAGGAGGGCTAGAGTTCAAAACTATTACAATAATTTAGAAGACGGGGAAAGTTTCGAACCCAGAACACATGGGTGGAAACCCAACATCCCACTAGGATATTGGACTACATGCAATTAGTTCTCTTGTTTTCCTTCTAAAATCAACATCAACTAATGAATTGAGTATTAGAATAATCTAGTTGAATAATAAATTTTGAATGTTACCTCAAATTACAATGTTCAAAACTTCAAGACCATTTGATAGTTGATTTAAACATTCAATAGAAATAAAAATATTGAGAAGCTGAAATAAAAAAGGATTGCAAAGAGACTTAGGTTTTTAAACTTTATATGTTGAAGAAGGGGACTATTCCCATTGCACCAACAACTCGATTATGACATCTTTCACATTTTCTATATTTAAATGTTATATTCAGGATGTATAAAAAAATTTGTCTTTATTCTATATGCTAAAACTTTTGTTTGTATATCGTATATATTCCATTTAATAACCTTCATTCTCAGATAAGACATCACATCCCATATATTATTCTTATTTATAAAGTAATATTTAAATTTGTAAGTGATTATTGCATTAGCAAAAATCATTCGTCTTCAGTTTTGATGAATTTGCATATACAAAATAATTAAACACCTTAATCAATGACCATACGCCCAAAAAGTTTTTTTATTTTTATTTTTTTTTATTTTTTTATTTTTATTTTTATTTTAATCCTGTTGGGTATGTTAATTTGGTTTTGGAAGCATTATTGGCTTTTGATCGTGCCTTTGTTTACTCTGAGAGTGTTATTTTACTCCGGTAACGCCTTTTTTTTTTTCCGTTAAATATATGTTTAGGGAATGAAAACTGTTAAATTTCATCCTGATAGGAGTTGGCAACTACACATGGTCAAAATATTTTCACAAAAAAGAGGTATTAAAGGAGAAATTTTTTACCGGTGTTATATAATGATATTGTTTTGCAGCTAGAAAGCATGTTTTCATTGCGTTATGTGTAATACTTGCCGTGTCTCCCATTACTGAATCATCATGAACTTCATATAGCTTATCTGCGTCTCTTTTCAGGTTGTGATGTATGCTGTTAAGAAGCCTCGGAATATCACCCATAAAGGACTGACGGACTTGGTCACTGAGTAAGAACTGAATCGACATGCTTTCACTAGTGTGTGTTTATGACGCTTCAATTGACTTGTAGTGGTAACACTTTTCTAGAATGGAGTAGAAGTTTGACTCTCTACATGTAGAGGTTGAAAGTTACATGTAAAGGTCGAACCTTTTACAAGCAAGATTCACTAATCATGAAGGAAAATTCACTTATCATGTGTTCCGTTCTCATTCTTAAAAAAGTATAACAGCCTAGCATGAATTTTCATGTGATATGAAAACTATTTGCAGCACAGATAAAAAGAGTGAAGCCACAATTTTAGAAGTTGTGAGAAAGAACTTCGTATATCACCTTATTCTTGGAGAGGTGGGTGGAATAACCGGAGATGTATCATCTGATTATATGTGGTGCATTGATCCTATCTGTGGTGTGATATCCACACATCCTATTTTACTTCTCACACACCTTTTTAATTTTCGGCTGTCGGATCAGATAAATTGAAGAAGATCAACGGACATAAATTATCAAGGGGTGTGTGAGAAGTAAAATGGGATGTGTGGATAGCACACCCCTATCTTATAGGTGTGCTTGTGCATATTGGGTTTTTCAAGACGCCATCAAGTATGATATGGTTTCATGATACTAGTGTTTCGGAACATGATTTACTGTAAATTTTTCAGCCTTCATAATTCTTACCTCAATACTTTTGACTTTGACATTGTCATAACCAATGGTAGCCACAATTAGTAAATATTATGTTTATTTATATAGCCGGAAGTTCATATATATATATATATATATATGAATGTTTAGAGACGAACTTTCTGATGGCTGATATGAAATTGGAAAGAGCTATTAGGGTGGTAGCTGGGGTAGCGTTTTATATCCTTACCTTTTTAGAGTAACCTGACAATTCTTTGTTTTGTCTTATCTAACCTCTGATATCTTCGTAGATGGAGCAACAAATTTTGCACATGGTTATCCTAGCTTTGCTGTTTCTGTTGGAGTTTTATTTTGAGGAAAACCTGTTGCTGCTGCAGTGGTACTGATCACATATAGTAGATTTTATTTGACATGTTGCTTGCATGATTCCATGATATGTTAAGATGTCTATTTGATTTTCCAGTACTCCCCTTCACGTGTGGGCCTCATTATTAGCGTCAAAGTGTCTTCAACTTATATAGCAAAGTTACAATGCAATGATTTGAGCTCAGGATCTCTTACTCTGTTACCATGATAAATATTATTGATTTACCATTATTTTCAAAAGCTCGAAACTGTTAGGATGTGGACCAAAAATCATCTTATACTGTACATCCATGAATGATATAGTGGGGAAATAACATGTTGGCTTTCCATTTATATTTTCAGGTCGAGTTCGTTGGGGGCCCTATGTGTTGGAATACCATCAGGTATGGAAGTTCGGTCTATATAGTTGCTTCTGCCTTATATGATTTTCTAAGTGTACTATTGACGTTGAGCTTCAATTGATAATCTGTGTTATATTAGGAGGGGGAGCATTTTGTAATGGCCAAAAAATTCATGTGAGCCAAACTGATGAGGTTAGTATTTCTTATACTAGAAGAAAAAGAAAAAAAAAATTGAAATCTATAACTATGCCGAATCATGTTATTTTCGATCGATGACTGAGTCTGATCATATGGGATGCTAGAATATTTGCAGTGGTATCTTGATTAACACTTATTGTTTTTCCTTCATATTAATATACAGACTTTCATAGTAACACTTATTTGCAGTATGAATAGTTTACGCGGGAAGAATATACATAGACTTTCTGTCATAAGACTCATCCTTTACGTTTTTATGGCAAGTATTTGAAAGGGTTGCTTCCGGCAATCTCTTATGACAAGGTGCTTAAACTGATGCATGAAAATTGTAGTTCACTTTTCTCTCAGCAAAATATTGGTGATCAGATGTGTGATTTCCATTATTCATAGAATTTGGTATTGCAATTTTGAACAGATAATTGAAGAGGCTGGAGAAAAGGTTACGTGCATGGATGGCGGAAAATTTTCTGTATTTGATAGATCTGTCTTGGTATCCAAAGATGTGCTGCACGGCAAGGTTAGTATTCTGCTTTATCCAGAATCCAATTACAAAACCTTATGTGTTAAGATCGAACCACGGTTCTATAACGCATGATCTTAACTTTTCATTGCCTTTCCGTTACTGCCACTAATCTTGTTCACAATTTATATAACCATTTACGAAGAGTCAAAAGCCAATTCAGTTCCCCTAACTTGATGTATGTTTTTACTCATGAAGTGGCAAGATTTCCTTACCCTTTCCATTTTTTTCCCTCCAAATTTTGTGTTAGGGTAGGTTGGGGCGAGTGAATAGAGCAGATGGTATTGTAAGTCCGTAACAGAGCTCAAAGTAGTGCTATGATTTCCTGTAAAAGACGCCGTAGTTTGTTATCATATTAAATGCACTAGTGGTTTTAAATAAATAATTCTAGAATTTGATTTTTGTAAAATGCAGCTTTTAGAGAGGATTGCACCTGCAACAGAGAAATTGCAGAGCAAAGGAACAAGCCCGAAGGTTACACAACAGATATTTGATGCACCTGACAGTTCTTTTTTCTTTGTTTTTGCCAATCGTGCTGAGAACATATCTTTCACCGGAAGATGGTCTCTCATTGTTTCATTGGTGACGTTCACTGTAAAGTACATTTCAAGCGCACATGATATATATATATATATATATTATAGGGTAAATTACATTTTTCCCAAACTTGAAATTGATTTCAATTTTTTACAACATTTTTAAAACATTTTAATTTCATATATTTACTTGTCATTTTATTTCAATTTCATATCACCGTTAAAAAATTTGTTAAGTTAACCGTTAAGTGATGACGTGGCAAATATATGGTCCCCATTTATGTTGATGTTGTAGCTACATTTGTGACACGTGGTTAAACATTTAATAAAAAAATTGAAAATTTTAAAATAAATAATTAAAGAAAAATATTTAAAAAAATAAAAACCCTGAACTCCTTCGTCTTCCCCACCCGAGCAGCCCTCCACCCCACCATCCCCTCCACGCCTCCACCCCTCTCTTCGGGGATGTTATGTGCAGCCTGGCAGCAAGCAATGCAAGCTCTCACCTTTACATCTCTTCTGCAACACCAACACCATCCTCATCTTCTTCCTCCTTTTCACTCCCATTTTCTTCAATTCCAAACCTCCTAACCCCACAAATCCCCCAACTGGGTCTCCCCATTCCCATTCAATCCCCAATTCTCCCCCCAAAAGTCCCAATCTTTCTCCACCACTGATTGAAAATTTAAGGGAGATCTGAACCGCCCCAATTGGGTTCCCAAACGAACCAAATATCCCCCACAATGTAACAACCTTTGAAAACCCAGTGCTGCAAAACCTCTGATTTTTTTCTTCAATCAACAGAGTGCAGCGAAAGGCGTTGAGCTTTGAGGGAGAGAGGGACTTAGAGAGAAAAATGAAGGGGAGCCAGAAAGATCAAGACAAAGTGATTTGGGATCTCAGATGCGGAGCTCCACAGGGACCCCAATTCCTGGAACCGACTCCCAATCTCAAGCCACCCCTAAACTCCTCGTCTAGCTCCTCCTCTTCGTCCCTCTCACTTACATTGTCTACACTCTCAAGGTCGTCTCCACCTCACGCGCCGCCTGCTCCGACGACAACGACCCTTTCACCCCTCTCCGCCTCTCTTCCTCCTCCACCGGCAACACCACTACCGCCCAAGCTCGGACTTCCCAGATGCTCCACCTCAAAACCCAACAACCGGATAAAGCAAACCAGCCGACGGGGATAAACGACATCGTTTTCGGCATTGCCGCCTCCGCCAAGCTCTGGAAACAGAGGAAGAACTACATCAAGCTCTGGTACAAGCCCAAGTTGATGCGCGGGATAATCTGGCTGGACCGCGAAGTAGAGGATAAAAACCCGGAAGACGACGGCCTCCTGCCGATTAAAATCTCCGGCGACACCTCCGCGTTCGCCTACACGAACAAACAGGGCCACCGGTCCGCGATTCGAATATCCCGGATCGTGAGCGAAACGGGTGGGGAATTCGAAGGGGTTTGGGTTTTGTTTTTTTTTTTTTCTAATACTTTTCTTTAATTAATTATTTTAATATTTTAAATTTTTTTATTAAGTTTTTAGCCACGTGACATAAATGTGGTAGTTATGTCAGTACAAATGAGGATCACATATTTGCCATATCATCATTAAATAGTTAACTTAACAGATTTTTTAACGGTTGTATGAAATTGAAATAAATTGATAAATAAATGTATAAAATTAAAATGTTTTAAAGATATTGTAAGAAATTGAAATCGATCATAAACCTGATATGATCAAATGTAATTTAGCCTATATTATATCTCAGCATGTGTTCCTTTACTGACATGAATATTGCTTTAGGGGTTTAATTGCAGCATAGCAAGTTTTCCTATGTTGCTTTAGGCAAATGGAATAGGTTTGAATTGTTCTAATTCAGAAATAATCGTCGATAATGATCATCATCGATCTTTCTCGTCAAGAATTGATCCTGTCTGGAGTCACTGTACTCACTTTACTGAAGCAGAAAGAAAAATGCAGAATTTGGGCAGTAGTTAAAAGTGGATCATCGTTTCATTATTCTGTTCGGACCATTTCTTACATAAGCACTTCTCTCATTTCTGCTTTATTAAAAAAAAAAAAAAAACGGGAACGTTATTTCTCAGCTCGTAAGCGAAGTTGCTGAGTACTGTGCAACTTGGTTTTTAGGACGAATGACGACACCCTTGATAACAAGCCCTTTCTTCCAGTTCCCGCCATCATATTCATACATCGAAAACTCCATGTCGCCAGATTTCTCAGGCGATGCTTTAAACTCGCCAACTGGGATCTCGATCCATTGTCCTCTTGGGGTTTGCATCAGATTAACTTTACGGCACTGCCTGGTACCATCAGGGAGAGTGAGCCTAAAATTGACTGGAACTTCCCATCCATAATCTGCAGCATTCAGCTTGACCACAAATGCAACTTCATAAAGAGTTCCGGGTGACAGGTTTGCGGTTTCAAACTTCCCGTGCACTTCTAGCCAACATACATTTAACAGTTCAGCAGCATCAATGAAGACGTCACTGCAATTAAACCCTAAGTTAGGACCGATTTCTATATATATATATAGCAGTAACCAACAATCAATTGTGATATACGGATTGAAGATTTTGCTACCTGGTTTCTTGCAGGGAGTACCAGTGCCAGTAACGATCGTCTTCGGCCCAAGTGATTGAGAGATCTCTTGCATACACCATAAAACAGTTGTTGGACTTCTTATCAACCCAGTACTTCTGCAATAACAGTTAAATTGCTAATGATAGTCAAGAAAATAATGGATAAACATGATTGTTGATATTTCAAGTCCTATTAAGAGTTGATCTTTTGATATATTTAAGGAAATGGTTTCCGCACACCCATTTTCTTCTTTTGCACACCCTGTTCATTGCTGCCTTTGAAGTGATTCTCCTTTGGTTTATACAAATAGTCAAATGCTATAAACAAACACGAGTGTCCAGAGGGAGAAAAGGAGTGTCCAAAAATCATTTCCAGATAAGTTGCTTTAGTTTTGATCATTTGGAGCTAAATTTCAGTAAGAATTAGAACAATTTCACATCTCTGGAGCATGTTTGGTAATTTCACACAATAACTGAAAAACAAATAGGAAAAATAATTTAAAATTGTCAGAAAGTTAGATGCAGGGATTTCACCTTTTTCTTTTGGTTTAAGATAACTCCTGCTTGGAGCTGCTGAAAGAGGTTTTCAATTGAGGACTTGTTTATAGGTGTGTCAGCATCTTTCACAAGGGCTTCATAGTTATGTGGGAACTGCTGCTGCCTAACTTGCTGTGCTGCTGTCCTTTTCTCTATTTCCTTGACTTCTTTCGCTGCTGCGGCTTCCTGGTTGTTATTCACCGAGGGCTTGGCCTGATGATCAGCAGCTGTTCTCTCTACCACCGTGGGTTTAGAGACAGTCGGCTTTGCTTCTGTTTCTTTCTCTGCCGCTACCTTATTATTAGTCGGTTGCTCACTAGGCGGCTGCGACCGTGACTGTGAGGCCTCATCTTGTGACCACCCAGTCCCCATCTCTGCATGCAATTCTTCAAACCGGTGATGTTTTCCCTTTATATATATAGATAGCAAGACGGCTAAACAAGTAATTTCCACGAGTCACCGCAACGTGCGGACGAGAGCGAGAGTTGTAGCTTGAAACCCAAGAAAGATGCCTTGCGAACCTTTTATTCTCTAGTTTTCGGTTATGTTGATATAAAGCATGAATTAGCAAGCAATGGCTTGGAAACTTTGGAATTTCAACCATGTGGGAAAGCACTAGATCGGAAAGCACTTTTGGAAAAGGTTTTTATGCCAATAAGTAAAACTTTTGTTTGTTTATCAAAATATATTCCATTCTGCAGAAAAATAGCTTTATTCTCAGATAAGGCATCACATCCGATATATTGTTCCCGTTTATAAAGTAATCTTTGAATTTGCAACCGATCACGATCGTCTTAAATTCTTGTTTTACTTTGGAAAATCGATTTGAGTAAATCCTGTTTATAAAGTAATCCTCAAATTTGCAACCGATCACGATCATCTTAAATTCTTGTTTTACTTTGGAAAATCGATTTGAGAAGCTTCCTTTACTGGTTTACAATATGTTTGAAAGCCATCTTCTTTTCTTTCCTACGCATTATAGAAGTTGGAAATCTACCCTCTAGAATTTAAATTGAAGACCACCAAAGGTCCGGAACAACCTTCAACGTGACGAAAAAATTTCCTAGGTGACTGGCACATTAGCTTACGTGGAGTTCCCAACCAATGAAACATTATCATGTGTCAATGTTATTGTTGAAAATAAAAAATTTGCCACGTTTTGCTATTTATGATAGGCATTAAATAAATTGGTCAATAAAATTCCTAATATACCCCTAGCATAATAGTTGAAAGATAAAGACGTCAGAAAACTCTTCGACTTCCTCCTTCCCCTCCGACCACCCACCCTATCAGAAATCACTCACCCCCATCGCCGCCTTGTGATTCCACCGGTGACACCTTTCTTCCTCTTTTTGTTTCTCCTCTTCTCTCTCGCTGAGGTGTGTGTTCCAATTACATGGAAAATTTTCTCCAAGATGACCCCAATTTCTACAGTCAATTCTCTCTTTTTGGAGGTGAGTTTTTGGGCTAGGGATTTGCTGTCCCTAAATTTGTGTCTCCTTTCATGTCCTTTAATTTAACTTGTAATTTAACAGTGTCATGTTTATTTTTTTTCGTCAAAATAATAAGGTTAAATAAATAAAAACTAAAAGTTAAAAAATTAAAGCTAACAGCCACTTAAATTCCCATCAACACCAATTCGACAGCCAACAACACCGGTCTGTCATCGGAGAACTCCACGGCTGGCGAAACCTCCTTTTCTCTCTGTTCGCCATTTTTTTTCTCCGTTCAAATACCCAATCATGATCGACTCAGCCCGTCAAACATCAAATTTTATGTAAATTTTGGTTTGAGGAAGCAAGGAAGAAATCTGGTCAATCTACACAGACGAGATTTGAATCGACTCGATGACAATAAACGGCGAGATCATAATATACGGGTAGGTTCGACTCAATCATCCTACGGGACTTCGCTGGTGAGATATAGAAAGAGAGAGTGAAATGGAAGCTTCAACAGCCGTGTGAATTGCCGCCAACTGAGATTGGAAGGAGTTGCAGACTTTCGGACTTCCAGTTGGGATTTGTTTTCTTTTTGTTCTGATTTTCAATTTTCTTTAGTGAATCAGTTTTTGTATTTAAATAAATACTAAATAAGAAAAGTTGACACCGTTAAATTGGGAGTTAAGTTAACGGCATAATTAGAAGGAGACATGGCAGGAGACGCAAAGTTCAGGACAGCAGATCCCTGGCCGAGTTTTTGCTCCCGCAGTTGGAAGGTTGTCGCTAAGTTCCTTTCTTGTTAGTGACTCAGAATTCACAAAGGACCGAAAGGGTTACGATAATCATGCGAACTTATGAACCCGAGTTCTATAGATGTTCAAAATGAGTTTTCTTTAGTTAACTACATAATCATGATTTATCGTATGTAAACTCACTTTTGTTCAGTACCAAGAAGAAGATAAACGGCCTCTGTATCTGTCCTAATTAACGAATAACGTTACACAGAAACTGGGAATTAATTGCAGCTTCAACACATCTGTATGTAAGTATAGTTCCCATAGCTCATAAGAGTGCGCTATATGTTTAAATTCGGTGAGAAGCGATGGATTGTCTTGATGGAATTTCAGCCTTCTGAGTTCTGAGTGTTTTAGTGCATCCCCTTGAAAATTTGGAGCTAAAACTGCCCATATATACTTGTGTGCGTATAGACATACACGCATTTCATTAATTGGCTCTCAATATATATATAAGAAAGAATTTATTCATTTTTGAGATACAAATACATGCTGTAGTAGCAAATACTTCATATATGGTATACAAATCATCTTATATGAGACCTGTTCTCATTATTAAATAGTCACATATATAAAACCCAACGACGTAGCAAATATTTCAATACATACGTGTACTGTATACATAGAAAATACCGCGTGAACCGTACGTGGACTAATTAAGTTATTTCGGAGTTACATCTTTCACAAATGCTTGATGAATTTTCAAGCCCCCCTTCCATTTTCCACTCCAGACTTCATACAGACCAAAATGAAGCGTGCTATCCGGAGCATTCTGCGGAACTTCAATTCTCATTGGCGGGCCGTTGTCATCAGGAATGGTGAATCTTCTGACGTTTGGATCCTGAGCTGCTACTTTAACTTTGGTCCAAGTGTACTTACCCTTTTTCCCTACCTTGGCCATCAAGAAAGCTTGTATGTCTCTCCAACCAAATGCATCAGGTGCCAGTTCTACGTCGAAACTAATTTCATATTTTTTCGAAGTTGTTAAACCACATGAGCCGGTTACTTCCAGCCAAGAAACCTGTATCAGCTCCGCAGGTTCAGTAGGTTCATCCTTAGATTGCCTGCAAAATGTATAGTATGTAGTAAATTATTCATATAGGCGAAGCCGAACATAATTCAATGCATCTTCTATTCACACTCTCAATATGTCATTCTGCACTCTAAAATCATTATTTTGTTATTCTATTAAACCTTAACAAGTGCAAAATAACAAACTGAGACTGTCTAATCATTACATTTACCAAAAACACATATCTCAGAAGGCAGAACAAGCACGCATAAGTGGAGTAACCGTGTAGATTCCATACTCATGAGAAATGAGATGAGCATTTATGGCATATTTCTCTTTTACCGGTTGTAAACAACCGATTACATCTAAGGTAACCGATTATATCTAAGGTTTTCCTCGTAGTTCAGATAATTGATTCCTTACTTCTTGTTGGGTAATTTCCAGTAGCGTTCATCATTGCCCCATACAATGCTAAGTCCCCGTGGTCTGAAGATGTACTTATTTCCCTGTAAACACGAATATACAGTTAATCTCTTTTTTACAGAAGCGAATTAGATATATGCGAAAGATTGTTTTCCGATGTTAACAAGACATTTAGCAATGAATTAAGAAATTTGTGAGGCCTTATAACATGAATAATCACCTCCTGTTTTATTTCATCTGGATCTGCTTGGAAATGAGGTTTAGTAGTCATAGACATTTCGAAACCTAACTCGGTTTTCTTCTTCTTCTTCTTCTTCTTCTTTCTTCTTCTGCTGCAGTTATGTTTTCTTGTTTTCTGTCTCTATGTTTCTCTTGGCTCAGTTTTGAAGATAGAGAACCTCTAGTCTAACCTAGCCTTTTTATAAATCCATGATCCATTGGGAAGAAAAGAATCTAATGCCTACCACAAAACAAAACAGCATGCGATACCAAAACAAATTGATAATAAAATTGAATTATGTATAGAGAATAAAGTGATTGCTTTGTACTTGTGCTGAAGGTTCTTTGCCCTTTATCTTGGCAAAAAGGTTCCTTATTAGCTTTTTAAAAGAAGAATATATGTGTGTGTGTGTGTCGGATTGCTAGTAAATGGTATTAAATGTTCCAACGTGAGACATGTTCATAAAAATTTGTCAACTTATTTTCTTCGATTACTATGTAAAATATAAATTAGTATTAGAATTAAGCCTTGATATTTATGGGATAAAGACCAATTGAAAGATCTGAGACGACCCATAAAGCATTTGATTACGATCAATTCTGTGAGCCTACTTGAGTACTAAAAACATATATAACTCCAAGGCATAAATAAGGGTCAATAAGGGTTACTGGCTACTAACAAACGTGCGCGGTATGGAATCGCAACTGGCTTTGCATGCATGCTACGTACGTACAGCTGGCTTTTGCCAAACAAGTCCACTCACACTGACACGTCACACATATAGAGGGAACTGGATCCCCTGCTAAGCTTAGGAGGCTAAGTTTCCTGAGTAAAGGACATGGCCGGTCCAAAGATTTTTGAGGTCCGGGGCGACATCAAAAAATATGTCTTCATTTCATATAAAAAAAATATTTGTTTTTACACGTAAGACATCAATAAAATTATATTTAGAAAAACACTTCAAACTCAATAATTTATAAACACGGAATAATTAATTTATTTTGTATCAAGAGAAGAAACTAAAAAACTTCGGACTTTCAAGTAGATAGATTATGAGTTTTGCTTTCCATCTGAACTTTTAAAGTATTTTTGTATAAATCGTGAGTTATTTTTTCTTATTTACTAGCCTCGTCAATATAAGACTAAAAAAATATTAATGATTTTGAGTCTTTAAGGATATGTATAAGTAATGAATGAACACTAAATTAAACATTTGATGACACGTAATATTATTTGCAAATTTGATCTAAAAATTTAGTCTACGCATTACTCTTTGTTGAATATTAGACTTGAATTGGAATGGATATTTAAAAATAGCAACGCACATAGCTACTAGCTAGTAAATAAATTAACAACCAAACAAAAATTTGTAAAAATTGAAAAAAATAAACATGCACATAACATTTCGAACTTCGGACCTCTCGTTAATTTTAGGGGATTTTAGATCCAGGTCCAAAAACATAGATGGTTTTTAGGAGTGAGTCAAATTACCTAATTATATGTATTTATTTTTTTAATGCTCATTTATATTTTCTAAAAATATTAAAAATCAATTAAAATCTTCTAATATTATGCATTTTCAACCCCAAAAAATATAATTAATATCTTATAACAAAAAAAAAAAATATATATTGACATAAATCTATCTGCAAATCATTCTACCCTAAGTCCAGTAACAAATATATGAATGTATACCATACCTATAAGTAATATATGAAACCTAACTAAAAGGTAGAAAAAACATAATATATCTAAAAGCAAGACACATAAATCTTACTTGATTATAAAAAAGAATATGTCATATAGGTAGATAAATATAATTAACCTGTGATATAGGTTGATTATAATAAAAATAATAAATAAAATCTATAAATGGGGTTTAAAACGGGATAAAGAACAAGAAAGAACCAAAATAAATAAATAATCAAAGAGATAATTAGGAAGAAATTTGATTTTTATAATAAATCTTATCATTGAAGAGATAATTATTGATAATAAAATAATAAGATTTAAGGAATTGGACTTATTTTAATAAATTGGACTATTCCAACTATTTGCTCAAAAAATTGGACCTATATCAAGTTTCTCCTTAATTTTAAACATAAAAAATCATTGATTCTAATTAAACTTCTTAATCATTTAGCCAAATTTTATAAATTTATACTGTTATGAAAAGAATTTGTAAAAATTGGAATGTAAATAAGCACACATGGTGTTTTGAACCTAAGACCTCCTCGTTCATTTTAAATGACAAAACCATCAGTTCTAGTTAAATTTCTTTGTCACCAAACCAAATTTTATAAATTTATACTCTTATAAAAACATATATAAATATACCACCCTAATAATTTTGGTGCCCCCAATTTTTTTGGGTCCCGGACAGTCGCCCTGCCCGCACTGGGCCTAGGCCGGGCCTGGTAAAGGATTTGAGCCGTTGAAATTTGATCAAATGGCTACAAATAGAGAATCCCTCTAAAAGTTATAATAATTGCAACCGTTTGATCAAATTTCAACGGCCCATATCGTTTACTCAGCAGGCTCAGCCTCCTAAGCTCAGGAGGGATCCGGTTCCTATATAGAGCTTATCTTGATCAACTTGATCTCAATTTTCATTGGTGGCCTCCACTTCATCAAGAAACGGACATCCATAACAAGTACGTACAAGAATAATTTGAAGAATAGATTGTTTCGTAGCTTTCATTGCCTTTACGCTTTCGGGAAGTTACCACGAAACGCATAATTGTGACAGAAGAGAAACTGGAATAATTCTTCCCTTACCCCACACACCCCACACCCCACTCCCCCCCCCCCCCCCCCCCCCTAATTATTCCCTTACCCCACACACCCCACACCCCCCAAACGGCTATTGGTTAATTCTTTTCGAAGGGTATATGTTTTGCAACTTATGTACACTTTTGGTGACGCAAACCACTTTGAAATGGATCCCCTCAAATATCAATCTCTAGGTGCCAACCGCACCGTGGAAGAATTCAAATTTGGAACCTCGTGTTATATTATATGGTGAACTGAATTTAGCGTAACGTACAAATATTGCCAATAGTGGAGGTCAATGAGTTAAAGAATGGTCTAACATCAAACTTATAAGTGGAGAAAACTACCACTAAACTGTAGTTCTGGTATTGGTAATAGTTGTAAACTTTTAAACTATTTATTATATGAAGGAAAGTGAAAGCAAAGTTAAACTTCTTTCAAGCACACATTAGTGATATTACATGAAGGTCGGCACTCATTGGTCGATTGGAATCCAATATGCAATTTGGGTTTCATTCTTTGATGTTATATCTGTGTCCAGCTAGAAAGACGTCATATTCCCTTGTGATTTTTCTAATTCCCAAACGTGCAAGGATTTTCAGCCACATCAAACTAAGGTATTAAATTTTGGTGGTGACAAAAACATCGCCCGTAGAAAGTAAGCAAACGGCAGTTTATTCGTTTTTATTTTTATTCTTTCGAATTTCTTCCAATTAAAATAGCAACTTTCTGATTTTGTGTAAGCTGTAACAAAAAATGTCGAATGCTAATAACGTATTATATTAGCAAAATTTCAAGTACTTCTGCAAAAAATCAAGGTAACACTGCTCTACATGTTACAGGAGACCTTGACCTATATTCCAAATTATTTTTTGTAATGTAAACTTTGACTCTACCCTTGTTTTCCTGTATCTCTCAGCTCTTTCATTGCTCCCTACGAGATTTACAAATTAGTATAGACTGGCTTTCTGGAAAATGAGACCAACTCTGTTTCAAGAGCTGCCATATTGTAATTGATTCTTAGTTATGAAAAATTATTTGGTTCCTCTTCCTGTTAACAAGTTAATTCATAAGGGGCAAGGGGAATAAATTGGTTACGAACTCGTCATATACGAGATTCGAACCTAAAACCGCTCACTTATAAGTGAAGAAAAATATCATTAGACTGTATTAGCAAGTGACTAATAGATGGACCTTTAACATCCACATAAGAAATTCTTGCCCGAGAAGAAATGAATTGCGAGCATGTAAGATGCCCCACGCACATATTGTTGTTTTGTTAAACACACAATTAGAATTTCCATGATGTATCACTGTCCAAAAGAATGAATATGTTATGAAATATAGTTACCTAACAATCACACTTATCCAGCAAACTAGTGTATTAATATGAAATACATGTAAAGTCCACATGAATTGCTCCACTTTTATTCATAGTGATTGAGATTTTTAAGGAAACTAAAAAGGTCTTATTACTCGATTTAAGATATTCTATTTACCGTCTTTCATCTTCCAGATGCACTAAATTTCTAGACTTGAATGCACGTTGGCAATTAGAGTTGATGATGGATAGTGGCTAGTTGCTTCGAGATCAAATCTTATGCACCTAAAGTGGATGTGGCCTCTGTCTTAATAAATATTTGACACATATTAAATTTATGACAACAAAATTAAGAAAAGTTAAGATAATGAATACGTGTCAGACATTTATTGGGGTCACAGAAAGGCCACATCTATTTTGGATGCAGAAGATTTGATCTCAGTTGCTTCGGCCACAACCTAGTCAGCAACCATCCATGAATTTAATTGGCAACTTACATTCAAGTGTAAAAGGTTTGCTGGCCATGTTATAGTTCGTCCAACGGTACTCCCAAGATTGGACAAATGTAAGACGACAGATGAGACATCTTGAATTACGTAACCTCTCGACAATGTTCTCCGATAAATGAAGGGTGTGATATTCACATACTCCTTTTTATTTTTCACACATTCTGTTAATTTTCGATCATCAGATCAGATGAATCGAAGAATATCAAATGACATAAATTAACGAGTGGTGTGTGAAAAGTAAAAAAAAAAAAATGTGTGTGGATAACACATCCCTAAATGAATTACGTAGTTTGCACAAATATTTACTTTAACGTTAATCTAAATTGATTACTTGTCGACCCTTGTTTTTGGAATCCAATATGCAATTTGAGTTTCATTCTTTGGTGATTACTTGTCGACCCTTGTTTTGTCGACCCTTGTTTTTAGAATCGAATATGCAATTTAACTTTCATTCTTTGGTGATATGTATATGTCCAGCTAGAAGGGATCTCATTCCTTAATGATAGACATTAGATATTCTCATTGATAGAAACATATACCGGTGCGGAAGGGAGAAAAAGGGAGTTTCAGTATGTTCGTTTTTGCTTTGACTTTTAGAATTCTTCCCGACTAAGTTAGCAAAGTTATGATCTTTTTTGACTTCGCATTCAAGGCTGCAGAAGAACAAAAATGTATATTAAGCCTTGCTACTCAAGATGTGTTTGTTCAGACGAAAAAAAGAACCGACTTATCCCAAATTAATTAAAAAGAATCTTGCCTAGCATACACAGAAACATGTGTTCGTCTTGCAAGCGTATACTTCACTTGTAAGTGTATTCAGTAGCTAATGTAATCAAGCTTCAATTTCAAGATGAGGTTCATCAAACTTTCGAGGACAAGTTAAATTAGATTTCGACCGCCAATACAACATATATTAATTATGTTACAAACCTACAAGCATTCAAAATACAAAGATGTTAATTTCTACCAGGAGAGAGTTATAAGTACTTTGAGATTTTTGGCTTTTTTTTTAGTACAAAGAACTCGAGGGGAAAGAGTAATCAGTTCATCTTTTCCAAAGCAGCTGCTGCAGAAACCAAATCTTCGGCTGTTGCTGGTTTGTGCATCTGCAGCCATAAGCAAATATCTGGTGTAAAGTGACTGGAAGAACAGGTGATTACCCTTCAAATAGTAAACTAGTAGTATTTTTCAACAAGATCCAAAAGCCAATAAGAAAAGGGGGGATTTCAGTTTTTAAAAAGCAAAAGACTTCGTGGAAACGTAAATATTGGAAGCTAATCATAACTATTCCAGATTAATTATGTACTGATCGATCAACAATAATACATGAAAACGAAACCATGCCAAGTTACCAACAGACACAAAACACATGGCCATAGAGTAATGTAACAAAGATTCATGAACCACCATATTGTCGAGCACAAACTTACAGATTTTGCCACAGAAAGTCAGTGAAAACAACGCAAGAATGCATAATCCTGGGAAGGAAGGCTGTCGTGATTCCAATATGTGATGCTTTTATATTTCGCATTCATCTCCCAACGGTTCGAGCTCCCATCAGAATTATCGGAAAGATTTCTCTTGCCAAGACTCTTCTTCCCTAGAACAAATCCTGCAAAGAAATTACTACAGAGGAACTCTTCGAAAATTGAAAGTGAATTTAGTCATTTACATCATTCGAAAAAAACATACAAAGAGAGCCCTTCTGTTGTCACACATATATACAACAACACCATCTTGAATTAACAAGGGTATCTCCCTTCCCATGAAATTGTAGCCTCTCCCGACCACACCTGTCTCCAAGCCCCTAAGAAATCTATTTTGTTTTGCTGAAGAAAAATTTGGTAGATGGAGGTGGTAACTGCTGACATACAACTCTATGGGTGGGATCAGTTGTAGGACACAACAAAAGTCAACACTATCAAAACAAGAAACGATTGCTCGCCATTTCTCTGTTATATTGAAGTCCCAAAGGTCAGCTCACAATATCAAATGGTTAAAAAACCATGATTTGGTTATTGGCCTGTGGAGTCACTGGAGTGTTTTCTTTGTGGCCTAGTCTTTAGCCCCTTTCCTCTAATTTCTTCGTCATTTCTCCATGTTAGCACTTCGTCACTGCCTCTGTGGTTTTGAGAATGCACATCTGAACCTCCTACAAATTTACCAAATGATTTTCTTTCCAGGTCTCATTTCTCTCTCGCTTCACTTTCATCTGATACCATGAAAACATCAATTTCACCTATGCTCCACAGTAAAGGGGCCAGCAGAACCCAACAACTTCCCCTCAAATGACAGAATGCACAATAAGGATGTGTAGAAAAGGAAAAGGTTTGGCCACGGACCCATGGTACTTCAAACATGATGCTGAACTACAAAAATTGTATATAATAAACGCATGGTAGTGACTGGTCGTAAGGCCTAAAAGCAAGTAACGGGGAGATTAAAGCACCAAGAAATTATGAGATAACCAGAACTTATCATTGAAGAGGAAAGTGGATGAAACTTGGGTTCACCAATTAAAAAGGGGTAATGTTTACAATTTAAAGTAAGTTAGCTTGCCGAAAATCTCAGACCTAAAGTCAGAATCTTTATTCGGTGCTATAAAATCCCAACTCTAAACATCAATACAGAAGCACCGAGGTCTAAATAAGCCGGAAAATGATGAAGAAATCGATAAAGATAAGGCGTCAACAACCAGAATTTATACAATACAATAAAAAGGTACTGAATTTACTGACTGAAACTGCAATGACATACCAGAATACCCATCTGGAACCGAAATCGAAGCTCCTTGCAACTTCCTTCCTCTGAAACAAGCTTCCTGCGTCCTTAAACCCTCCGATTCGATTCCTTCAACTCCAAGAAAAATCCCATTACTCAATTACGCCATGTAAATTGTATGTAAGAAAAAAGGGCAGATTCTTTACCAGTTGGTTTGGGTTTGAAGTATTGGGAGACATTGGAAGGGCCATTGAATTTGATGGAGCAGGGGAGGAGGTGCACCTGACCACTCAAGTCCACCACTCTTTCTTCGTCTTCCTGTGACTCTTCCCTTCCATGTCTTCTCACAACTATGTTGCCTTGGGTGCCCTGCTCCATTCGATTTGCCCCCAATTTTGTTCAGGTAAAAACCCTAATTTCTGTATCAATGTTTCAGTCTCTCTCTCTCGTTTTGCTTTCTTCAAATTTGGCCACGTATTGGCTACCTTTCCCGCCCTTTTTTATATCTTAGTTTACGATTTGGTCCAAGGTGATTATATATAGGCCTAGCCCAACCTCATATCTTGGGTTCCTTTTTATTTTTTATTTTTTTTATTTTTATTTTTTTTTCTTCTTCTTCTTTTGGGAAACTACGTATCTTGGGTCTTTAGTGTAGGGCTATTTAGTCCATTTTCATATTTTATTTTATGATACAAGCAACCGTGGGAAGAAGAAGAATCTAACCTAAGATCTTATGTGCTGACATGCATGCTTCCAACGACTTGAGCTAAGCTCTAGTAATTTCCAACATTCTTTTCAACACCCAAAAATCAATAAGAAACTCCCAAAAATACCTCTCACATGAGGTTATTTACTTTTATTCAAGCGATATTCAAACTTAATTCTAGCTCCATCTTTGAAAGAGATTCACCGATTAAGGTTGTGATTCTTTAATCTAATTATATATTATAGCAATTGGAAAGGATAACCAATGGATACCCCTGAAGCTCCCCAATCAAAATGACAAATTGGTCACGAGACAACGCGGAAACGGGTGCTGCCACATCTTTCTCTTGTTGGAAAATATTAGTATTTTATGATTATTTGGATTTTCTTGTTAGTTTAAGTATATGGGCTTAGCCCATCCGAATTGGGGTTTACAGGTTCTGCTCTATGTAAATATAACTTTTGGTTTAATATGAATAAGAAGCTAGTCAGATATAGTCTCTTTGGGTTTTGTAGACGTCTTGCCAGTCTTGTTTTTTGTTTATTAAATATATGCTTATTATTTTGGAGTCCGGATCCTAGTCGGATCCTCTTTGTAAGGATCCCGGAAATCTGTGAATCGTGTCTGTTTGTCGTACAACGTGCAATCAGAAATCATTTTAAATATTTTTATTTAAAAATAAACATAAACAGTACTTGACAAAAGCTGGCCGCACGATGTACGATGAACGGACACGATTCACAAATCCTCAGGATCCTGTTGGATTATTTTGTAGTTTTGTTTATTGTGCACTCTGATGTTTCTCTTGGACCAGATAAAGAGTTGGAAGGGGTTGCTCATTTGGTAGAATTTATTAGAGACGGACAGGATTCATATCTAGAAGTTCAATCTTTCAGCGAGTCGTGTGGCTAAAGATGAGGAGGTACTCCGATGTGCACCAACGTCCAACATCCGATATGCATTGTCGTGGATCCTCCTTGTACATTGTTTAATTGGACGCTAGAAAGTGAAGAAGCTGTCGCTGAAGCAACTGTTGCAATTCAAAGCTTTTAAAAAGAAAATGCATCGAATGACATGAAAATCAATTCAGTAATTTCGATTTCACAATTCCATCATGTTAATACAAGCAGACCAACAAGGCATTTGATTTTGGAGGCAACAACAGTCAATACGCTTCGCTCCGAAAGAGGCTGTTGTTCCAATTTGTATCATAATGAACTGCACGCATAGACATTGGTGTTCGAAAAGGAAAAACTCTTGTTTACAACATCCAAACCTGAGCACATGGTCAAAAATTGCCAAAACTTCTTCCGGCTACTCCATTAGATTGCATTCCTCCTCCACAGTGTGTATGCATGAAATGCCTCCCGAGTCCCAACTACTCTTTGCCACCCAAGAAACACTCACCAATACATTAGAAAGTCATATACCTCTTGTGACAATCACGAGATCCTTCTTGAAAGGTTCCTTAACCCAGAGCCAACACACCTAAGTATGACGGTCCCTGTAGATGGGTCGGGCTTAATGACAAATTTAACTCCGAGAAAGTCTTTGATGTTTCTGAGTGTTTCTATTCCGTGAGGGGAGAGCTTTCCAACACGAACCTTTGAAACATCTTGTGGACATAGTGCACAGAGAAGAAACAAAAAGCCCTACAAGCCAAAATGACAGCAAACTATGAGGAGATAGATAGAATTCATAAAGGGACAAAAACGGAACCTGTGACCAAATACTGTATCTATTTCTTATAAGAATGCCTTTTAGTAATTTTACCACTGTCATAGAACAAGCTGTTAACAAAATTGAAAAAAGGAGACAATAGTCATCATACTTGCATCATTCGATTTTTAGGACTACATTTAAATCAACATTAAATCGTATTTCGGGAATACTATATGAATCAAGATCACAAAATCCGTCTATAAACAAAACCCAAGTTTCCTTTTCTTGCTTTACAAAAAAAAGAATTCCATGTGAAATTGCATTCACAACCAACATGATAATGTGTCAAACTCAGCCAGTCAGGAAGTAAAATACATCCACGAACCTGATGTGTTGAATCTACCACTCCACCCTGCTCAATCTCCCCAAGCAGAACATTAGCAATTTGCACACCAACATCCTCTGGAGGCATAAGCTCTTTCTTCCCCTCATCTTCAAGCTCAGCTGTATCTTCCCCTCGAGAATAAGAAATTGCTGTATCAGCAGAGATACAGCAACCAGAAGTTGTTTCCGCAACCAGTGAAATTCCATAACCAGGTGAACTGCCACAAAATCATTATTGTCTATATGAGCCTAAGTGACCACTTTAAAATGACCAAACCTCAAAACAAAATAAAGAAAAATTCAAATTCTAAAATGTCTCTCTACAAAAAAAAATATAATGATATTTGGTAAAAATTGAGAACATACTGTCCAGCTTGTGGGCCACTTCTATGGTCTGTAAATATGTGAACATCTGGGAGTAAGAGATTAAAGATTCCACGAGCTGCATACACCATGGTATTTTCAAACTGTGTGGACACTCTTGTTGAGAATGTAACCCCTCTAATCCTCTTAACCATCCCTTCATCAGTCCAGTTGACTGCCTATAGAGCAAAACATAAAACAATAATGGATCCAAAACTGAAAAAAATGGTGAAAAACATATATAGTATCCCAAAAGTCTCAGAAACTCACAGTTAGACTTTGAACAATTGGAATTGACAAGAACACTTCGCCACCACCTTGAGGAGCAGATCCACGACTCTGTATTTTGAGGTCTAGCCCTTCTGAGGGAACTCCAAAGTGTTTTAACATGGGCAAAGTAGCAGACCGGAATGTATCAACAGATGGGTCCTCGGAATCATTTGTAATTCCTAACAGAAAAATATGAAACAATCATAAAGTGGAAGCACCTTCTTAAAGCTCAAATGGACACCCACGAAAGATTTAGCGTGCTCTATCCACCTTGATATGGGGAGAGCCCCTTTTCGGTTACTGATTGGGGTCAGGTCATTTGTTCATAAGTATTAAGGTAATTATTCGGAATATGAAACAGAATAGAGATATTTTAAAACTATCAGAAATTAGCTTTTCTTTCCCATGTTAATCTGTGAAACAATATTAAGACCGGTACCATAAACATCAAGGAATTGTCTTGAATACAATAGGCAACTTTCGCTACCGGGAGATTGTTGATAAAAGAAAATAACGATGTTACAGCATGAAAATGTTATAAATTCATCTTCCTTACTTGGATCAAAACCAGAACCATAAATTTGAGGCTTTTAATTCTATAAGAACACCAATAGAAAACAACAACTAAACGAAAATAAAAGTGCGGAGAAGATTCGCAACAACGAAAGCAGTTACCTTTAAGCGTAATGGTAAGCGGCTTTTTGGCAAAGAGACCAAGCACAATCAATGGCTCCAAGAAATACCCAACCGCCCGACTGAGCCCGCAATCATGCACCAAATTCCTCCCACCCATCACTATCCCCGGCTTGAACTTCAATTTTGTACCTGCTCACAAACCCAAAACACAATCTCTCAAAAACCCTAAACCCCGAAGCAAAATTGGAATTTCAATTTTTCGCTAAATTCGAAAAAAGGCGAGTGCTTTTGTGTTTGGAAACAGCTAGTGGGAGTACCAGTCTCGTTGATTTCGACGACGCAGTCATCGGAGACCTTCTCGAGCAGGCGGAGGAAGGAGACCTCGTGGGGGCGGAGGCCGGGCCATGTCTCCTCTGCGCGAATGTCCTCGATAAGAACCGGTGTGGACGCAACCGCCGCCAGTACGAGCCGTTGCCTTAGGTTTTGGCTTCCGGTTAACCTCTTGTAGCTTGCTTTCCCCATTTTCGCTTCTCTCTGGTCCGTCAGTTTCTCTGCGCTCGGTGGCGGGGACGGGGGTTTTGCAAATTGCTTTGCAGGGCAGCAATCAAATTTTTTATTTTTACCTTGGGTTTTATTACAAATGGTTTTTTTATCTTATGCTAAGTCATGATTTTAGTCGTCATTTAGTTTTACTGTTTAGTAATATTTCTCTTTACTTAATTTGGAGGTTTTCAATTATCGTAAAAAACGAATTTGAATCACATTATTACAAGTTCATTGTAAGACTTAACCCATTTTCTCATCGTAAATAATATCATTTGTTAAAACAAAATAAAAAATCATAATTTTGATCTTTTTATGTTTTAAACATTTCATTCTTCATCTATTAAATCACTCAACAATGTGGTCTTCAATTTCGTTAGACAACTTAATTAGTGTGCTAACGTAAGAGAAAATTTTCAGTATCTTCAAAATATTAATATACCACATGTCTTTAAATAAATGGAAGGATGCTTGAAAAATAAAATTTTCTTTTACTCATATGTAATGACATTTGGTATACACCACGTATTCCGGCACACCAAAATATTTATGAAGCCACAAAACCAATCACAAAAGGAGAATGCTAGGAAGCGATGATTGAATTATTACTTTTAGGGGTTGATTAACGTGTTTATTTCTTATTGGTGACACATCTTTGATTTACAAATTTAATCTACATAACATTACTACCATGTCGAAAAAAAAAAAACCATTGATATATGACTAATTAGTACAGATTTTATTGCTCTTTACCTAAATAACCTTTTATATTACATGCTTTGTGTATATTTGATTATATATATACATTAAATTGTGAAAATTTCCTTAAATAGTTTACCATGTACTTGTATCTGCATTGACCTTTATATTGGGAGGGACACTTAGCACTATCCTTATTGGGACTCCCTCTCTCTCTCCCGTGCGTCCCTTCCTCTCCTTTTACTAGGGTTACAAAATGGTTTACTTACAAGTAATTCACAACTACATCTTTTTAACAAGCACAAGACCAAACCTTTTCCCCTATGAAAAATGTTTAAACTGTTCAGATTTTTGGTACGTTTCAGGCCACTCATTCAGACTTCTCTTTCTCTTTCTACATCGATTTGATATTCTATCGTGTTCATACCTCTCATTTCCTTAAACTCGTGACTATAATTCTTTCTTGTGCAGGAAGAAAGCTAAATGCAAGCCTTCTTTTTTTTGGGGCTACGACCTTGTGTCTGGATATAGCTAGGTATTGAATTCTTCTTTTGAAAGTGGAAATCGTTCAACGATGACAAGCGACCAACTTTATACGCCCCGATTTCAACCCAACGACCAAGAAATAGTTACATATTTTCTGAACGAAAATATCTCTGGCGATCCTCTGCCGGTGAATGGGATCATTGAAGAATTATTTTATGACTACAGCCCTATGCAACTCTCCGGTGAATTATCTTGTTTTGGTTTCTTTTTTCAATTTACGTGTTATCTTTGATCTTTCTTCTTTTGCAGTTTCGATTCGCATTTAAAGTTTGTCATAGGAGTGTAGGAAGTAGGATGACATCAATGCCTTGAATATGATTTTTTTCTTTCTCGAACCCTAGGGATGTATGGATTAGCAGACCAAAAAGATTTGTATTTCTTCACCCATCGAAACTGTGTCCCAAAGCGTAAAGCCGGCAATGGGTATTGGAAATCAATTAGATCATATGAAGGGATCAAACAAGGGAAAGAGATAATTGGATACAAAAAACTGTTACGATTTTGCCGAAGGAGCAGTCGAAAAAGTTCAACAACTACTGACTGGTATATGATCGAGTACAAGAGTGGTGTAATGGCACCAAAAGCAACGGGGCTGTAAGCAACTTTTTTCTTCATTCCTTACTTATGTAGTACTTTAATATGGATTTGAATTTACGGTTATCTGGTTTTAATTCTTCTCCTCAATTGTATGCCTGGGTTTTATGTAGAGTGTATGAAAATATGACGAATGCTAAGAACGTATTTTATTCCCAAGATCAAGGCAACCGTGCTCTACATGTTACAGGAGACTTTCACCTATATGTAAGTTTCTCTAATAAGTACTTTGCACAAATATTTGCTTTAACACTAATGCAAAATTATTTGTTCTTATTAATGTGAGACAGAAACCTAGTTATATTCATTGGTTTTAGTTCTTTCTTGTCAAATCAGCTAGCATTCTTCCTATATGTTACAAACTTAAAAGTTCTAACATTCTGCAGAAATCTCAAAAAATGACATCAGATCTTCCCATTGAAATCGTCGCTGAGATTTTGAGCTGGTTGCCTGTAAAGTCTTTGATGAGGTTCAAGTGTGTGTGCAAGCAATGGTGTTTCTTTATAGATCAAGACAACAAGTTTAAAGCAAAGCATTACGACCATGCCAGTCCTCTGGAATTTTCTTACATATACGTGTGGGAAAATAACAGTAAAGCGGCCAACACGATTTTTGATGAAAATTTCATTTATTACTCAAATTTCGGTGGCTTGTTTGTTGAGAAGAATCGTACTAGGTCACAAGTTTTCCGGGTCAGAAATCCTGCAATGCACCAAGCACTTTACTTGCCTGAAACACATGAGGGTATCAGAGGAATAGACTTTGCTCTTAATTTATTCACCGGTGAGTGCAAAGTGGCATGCTTTTACATGAAAAATGTGACTTTTTTGGCACTGAAGTAGGTTTTGAAGTTATAACTATTGGAAAGGATGACCGATGGAGACCCTTGAAGCTCCCCAAGCAAAATGGCAAATTGGAGCAGGGAAAACGTGGGAAAAATGTGCTTCGAAGACGTACTCTTGGACCAGATAAGTTGAAGGGGGGGCTCATTTGGTAGAAGTTATTTGGGATGGACATCAATCGTACCTAGAAGTTCAATCTTTTGATGTATGGAGTGAATGTTTCACTGTTACTACTCTGTCCCCGGGAGTTTTCTCAGACTTAACAAAAGTTTTTTCTCTTCGTTGGAATCATTTTCTAGCTGTTGCTGATATAACAAATGAAACACTCAACGTCTTGGTTCTCAAAAACTTCAAGGAGCACAAGTGGAGTAAAAAAAAGATCGTCGTTCCCTTGAAGTTCTTAAAGGAAAAGCCACATTTGACGGGTCGAATTAGGCCTTGGGCAGGTGAACATCATTGTGAAGGCAAGTTGCACAATGGAGTGGAATATATAACTTTCTTTGAGCAAGATAATGGATACTTTTTTTATGATATAAACACGGAGGAAATAGAGGCGCTCGCTAAACAGCATTACGAGGGGAAATCAATTACAAATTACAAGAAGACAAGCCTGATAATAATGTTTAAGACTTAAGAATGAAGACGAGCAATTTCAATTTCCGTTGCATACATCATGTCTTTTATAGTGTACTACAGAGAAATTTGAACTTTTGGTTATCCTTATTTTACCAGATGCTGCACGGCATCTTATATGCGAATTTTATGATTAGACTTTTGTTGGATCCGTCTCTTCTAATCTATTTTTGTGGAGGTGTTGTTCAATATGTATGTGAAATATGAGCACTCTAGCTATCACCTAATGAGTGAGATTTGAATCTTTTTGAGTTCATTTTCTTTTCAAAAATCATAAATGTCTGGTTTCAAGCTTAATCCTTTGAAATCCAGAAAGTGTAGGCGGAAGAACTCATGACTAATTTGGTACATAATTTACTCTCAAAAGTCTTCCAAAGTTGACAAAACTCAATCAAATCTTTTAATAGTTGTACACACCTAGAGTGTTTAATCTGTTCAGAAGAAAATTTGAACAACGATGCAAGATGGTGTGCACAAGGCCTTGACCATTTAGCCTAACTCATATCCACATTAATCTTTATATTGGGATCCTGCTTCTTATCTTCTTGATTCTTTCTCTCCAACGCTTTCCTAAAGATCCAAATCCCTGGACCTTGAATAAGACTTCCCTTTTTACGGAATAAATTGATATTTTTTAATTTAGTCGATTTGATAGCGCGGTCACAAATTAAGAGGATATCTATGAAGTAAAAAATGGTGTGTGGATAGCACACCTTTTTTTTTTCGCTTTCTTGTTAATAGGGATGGGTATTTCTTCACCCGTCAAATGTGTACAAATTCTAAGGATTAACTTGCATTTTTACTAAAAATTGGTTCCAAAAATATTTTTTGTAAAACCGCTTTCAATTATTTAGCAGCACTTCCCAAATGAGCCCTATATCTTGAGGAAGTAAATGATTAAAGAGGAATGTAAATCTTACCAGTATTATCAAAGTACCTTCAACAAATAAATTATGCAGTAGTCTTTTGAGATCCCTCTTCAATTAATACAACCTCTAAAGACACAGTCACACAGTTGACGTTACTTAACTATATATAAGTCACTCCTTCAAGACCGCTTGCTACCTCACCAATGCGGTAAGCTTTATAGGCAGCTCCATTTCCATCCTCCCCGAGTATTCCGTGGGACGCCTCCTGACTCACAACAAGAACCATTCCAATGCCCATGTTAAAAGTTCGTCTCATCTCAGCATCTTTAACCCTTCCGGCTTCTTGGATCCATTTGAAAACAGGTGGGACTTCCCATGAATCTTTATAAATGACAGCTCCTAGGCCTTTCGGGAACACTCGGGGTATATTTTCTGTGAGACCACCCCCTGTGATATGAGCTACTCCTTTGACTCCTCCCTTCCTTATTAAGTCGAGCACCTGCACTGCATGTTTTTAGTGCAACGCAATAATAAAGAGCGCCTCAATGAAGGGAACACTTTCATTTTCAGCAGCTAGTTAATTAGTTAAACACAACAAGAGAATGAACACACGCACACACACATATATAACAAAATGCACAAGCAAGGTTTGATCGATGCCAACCTACCTGCTTAACGTATATCACAGTTGGGACCATCAAAGCTTCACCTAATGTGATAGCTTCTCCACCAGGTAGTTGGTCCTTGAGAGAAAGCCCACTATCAGCCAGAACTCTGTAAGATATATAGAAACATCAATAGTACGGTAGGAAGTTTTCCATGAGTAGTCAAGAGATATAAAATTTAATTTCATAAGTTGCAAGGAATTTGCATCTATTACATTATAAATCAGAAGTGACGTTTCTTTAAGCAGCTACAACTAACCTTCTCACAAGAGAGAAACCATTAGAATGAACCCCACTAGACGGTAGGCCAATGAGAACATCTCCAGCCACAATGTTTTTCCCATCAATGATAGATCCCTTTTTCACAACTCCAACAGCAGAGCCACCCAGGTCATACTCGCCATCCTTATAAAAACCTGGCATCTCGGCAGTCTGAAAACATACGAAAACATTATGAAACAACATTGTGTATGTAAAGAAAAAACTAACCATGCATAAGATAGAATATTCACATATCATAGGGCAGTGAGAGTTCAAAACAACTAATTAGTTTAGAATACCTCTCCGCCCGAAAGTTTACAGCCAGATTGTTTGCAACCATTACGAATACCTTTTATAACCTAAAAAGAACAAAAGAAAAACAAATAAGCTATGCTGTAGAGGTATCTGTCTATGCAATCCAAGAAGCTCAGGCATACTGAACTCTACCTTTGCAGCAATATCAACATCAAGGCGGCCTGTAGCAAAGTAATCTTGAAAAGATACTGGCTTGGCCCCAAGAGTAACAATATCATTGACATTCATAGCAACCTGAGAGTTGAATGAGTGAACAAACCTGGTAGGAAAAGCAATTATCTAAATTCAAGTAAAAATCATATTTTTGAAACAAATGCTAGAAATATTACCAAATCAATACCAATGGTTTCATGATTTCCAGTCTCAAATGCAAGCTTAAGTTTCGTTCCAACACCGTCTGTACCGTGAACAAGGCATACATCATCTGTTGATCACCATATAGTTAATTAAATTGATGAGCCTAAATAATGATATCAGACAACCATATATAAATATAGCACAACCACACAAAAAATATATAAACACAAATTAGTTAATTGTCACATATTATATCTGTAGTCCTACTTTGCAATTAACTGCACTTGACGACACAGGACATAACATTGACAACCATATATCAATCACATTTTTCCAACGGTGTCACATTTTCTTCATGTTGATATGATTTCTATATCATACATATGTAATCATACCGAGAATCTCATCTTGGACAATACCCCCAAATGACCCAATTTCAGGATCCTCCTGTTTAATTATATCAACAAGTGCCATCCCAGCATCTATATCTACACCAGCATCCTTGTACGTCCAACTGTCATCACCACGTCGGCTAGCACTAAAATCATTGGAGGACTCGTTGTTCTTCGACACTGACATTACGCGTCTGCTCTGTGAAATATTACCGGCCGAAGTCAGAGAGAGACCGGAGGAGAAGTTGTTGAAGGGAAGTCCGATTGGCAGTCTGCATAGTTGGGCTTCATTAGGGTTGGCTTTGGAGGAGGAGGGTCTTAGCGAAGATTTAACACAACGAGACAACTCTGTGTTTGCCTTGAAGGCGGTGGTCATGGCATTGGCAGCCATTGAAACCCTAAAACACGAGCAACGCAAGGTCTCTCACTGCTCACAATCACAAATCAGAAACCCTATGTAATGTGCAGCTGGCCCTACTGGTGGACAAGAGTTAGGGTTCAAGTCGAACACAGCTTGCATAAATTTGTGATAAACTTGGAAACTATGTATTGTCTGCGGGCATGACCATGGTTAGAACCGGTGTGCACGCCAGCGCAGCCAATATGTGTCCAAAGATAAAATATAATTTAGAAGCGATCCTAGGTGTTGCAATTTTACTGGGTTTAACGCTTTGGATGTGTTTGTGTCTTTACTGTAAGTTTTCCCAGTTACTAGATACCCTTAAAGGCTTAAACCCAAAACCCTATGCCCTAAAAATAAACGTTACTCACTCACGCGTTCTTCTTGCCTTCTACTTTGATTAGTTATATAACTCTTCCTTGTGAAGAATGCAAGGTTATTCCAATTTCCCTTTAGGGCTGAAGTTCATGAAACCCTAAACTTCTTTTGTAAAACCCTAAATTTAACCTTTTGACCTGGCGTGCAATCCTGTGAGTCTGTGACTTTACATTAGGGCTATAAATATACAATGAGGTAGAGACCTAGATGGAGTCTTAATACCTAACAAAATTACAACGGATAACAAGATACAAATATTTGGAATTTCAAATATGAAACAGCAACCCTTATCCGAGAGCAACAGCCATTATCCTCTCTTATCAACAATGCCTAATATATGCCCCTGTGCTAGGTGCTGGTGGCTTCGTCACGACGCTCTGGGAAGATTCATAGAGGTACTTTAGCTTCCCATTGTACCATCGTGTGATCAATGTTTGAAATATCCTAGATATGCTCAATATTTCCACGGAAATATCCAAAAATTCAGGGAACGATATGGAAAGGGGGGTGAAGTCTGAACTTCACTCCATATCCACAATATTTCCAGAAATCAGCCAATTTCCTCGATATTTTCGATATTTTCAAGAAATATCCAGTGTTTGTAGATGATTTGCAAAAAGTTTGCAGGAAATATCCATGAGCCTATGTATTCTTTATTTTTTTTTAATTTATTTCTTTATGGTATTAGTTTACTTCAATAAGACTTATGCTGCTTTCATGACGAAAATTTCAATTAAGTTATGTATAATTTATTGACAAAAATTTCAATTAAGTTATGTATAATTTATTTTTTCTAGTGAAATGCTTTATTTTATTACTTGTCATTATAAGGAGTTTTTCTTCTCAGAATCATTAATTATTGATTCATACGTGTGTTGTGGCTTCATATGACATTCCTAAAAAATAATTTAAAATTTCCATGTTTTTGAGCAAATTTCCATCATTTCCATCGAAGGCAATTGATATCGATATCGATATATGATACATCCATTGATATTTCTACAAATTTGCCTATCGATATTTCCACCGATATAGATATTTTAAACACTACGTGCGATTCACCAGCGTTAGGAATCAAACTCAGGATATGTCGTGTGAAGAACAACCTTGAAATTCGTTCCCAACCATTGGACCACCCCGTGGTAGTTGATAGTTTATTCTTCTGTTAAGTGTTGTGTCTGATCATATTATTTATATATATTTGGGACGTGAAGTTTGGCAAGTGGTGTAGGTGGATGCAAAGCTGCGTCCTTTCACCAAACAACACAATGGGTTCTAAATAAACCCAAACAAATTCTACCGTACAGGAGAGGAGAGGCTTTGCCAGTTAATATAGAACCCAAATAAAAGGATTACGGCGACAAGCACGAAGATTAGAATTTGATTTGAACATTGTAATCTTTAAACCAGAAGTTAAACTGCATCTTTTATGTGCTAAAGCTCAGAATTGCTTTATAAGACAAATAACATATCTTATGGATTAGGATTCCTGTTCCTTTTGGTTATACTGCTAACATCAGAACGTCTTGAGCTAATGTAGGATCTGCTTCTGCTCAAGAACCTACCTGGCTTAGCTCAAAATCTCGTGCGTTCCCGGACTGGAGAAGATCATTTTTGGAAGAGCGATGACTCACTACTGAGCAGCTCTAGCCGGGGCGAAGGCAAACGAACGTAATCTAGCGTACCATGAGTTGCATTGTTAAGGAGCTCTAGTTGTAATGCCTAAGAAGATTGGCTCCGGTTATGCCGGTGATACTAAAGCTACGGATTAGGCCCCTGGGGAAGAATTCAAACAGCCTTTACTCTTAGCGACATGCTTGTGAGTCTGTGACCTGCTTTTCATATAACAATACTACAATGTACACTAATTTTAATAATTTCATAAAGCTAAAAGAACATTGTCAACATACTTACTACAAAACAACCTCCCTTTTATTGTTTCCTTCAGATGGGCGGGAAAAAGTTTTCAACCCTCTGAATCGTCGAAATGCTTTGGACTGTCAAGTTCACCCATAGTTGCAGAGGCAAAGGACTCTGAAGAATCTATACTTGAAAGGGAAGAGACAGAATCATTTGAATCCAATACAATGTCATCATGAAGAGCGATGTTATCTTCATCAATCTCGGATGTCTCTGACCCCTCTGCTCCCAAAAGTAGTTTGTTTATCGCCGACTTTGCAGTTTCAACAAACCACTCATCCTCGGAGAGTGCACTATTAAACCAGAAGAATTTTAGTTGTGGATTGTGTTGGATAAAAAAGGAAAAATACGCCCACCCACATGTACACAACTTACCTTTGTACTTCTATGCCTCTAGCAGAAAAAGCCCTGATAGCACGAGCAATTATAGCTGATGCAATCTGGTGCACATGCCTTGATGGGTAACCCGCAAAACGTGCAATTTCAACAGTGAAGTGCATATCAAGAATTAACTGCACCAACAAAGTTGATTAACCGCTAACTGTGAAGTTAAATTGTGAATATAGACAGTATGGAATGGAAGGATATAAGTACCTGCTGCAACCCAAGTGGCTGAAGAGGACCTGTATCATCCTCAAACACAGCCCAAAACTCTTGTTCATCGGACAACCACATTACAACTGTCTCAGTTATCCTAGCAAGCAAAATTTTCTGAATTCTCTCTTTTCCAAGTAACACATCTCCAGCCACGGTTGCTAATTGCTGCAGCTTTGCAAATAATGCCTGCAACGATAGGACAATCTCATTACTTGTACCACAAAATATCCAGCAACATGATGTGCATATGCTGTGGAGAAAGTCATGTCTAAATGCACGGCCATGACCATTTTGGACAGCACATACCACATTGAGGAAAATAAACTCAACTTTCTAGCAAGTTCCTCAAACCTTTTTCTAAACTGTGTAAAGACGGTCAAATGAACAACAGGGTGCGTCCAGACAGCCAAACAACCCAGATTAAACATACTACGACAAAGCAATATTTGGAAATATAAAAACAAGCAATTTAGAGTGAAGGGTTTAAAATACTCAGAATACCATAGGGCAATAAGTTCCATAAACCAAACGTACAGGCATCAAGCAATCACGCAGATAGCAATCATAAGTTTTGAAAAAGATTTAGACATAAAATTTAAAATAAATAATATGATAACATAAAAAACCATGTACATGGAGAGCATATAGAGGAAGAAACAAGACCTGAAATGGAAGCGAAGGCAAAGGGGCTGAGTCCCAATACAAATCATCACCATTCCCATTTAAATATATTTGGGCATCCAGTCGTGTCTGTCCTTCTCTTGAATAAATGAAGCTCAAGACATACTGCCGACAGAAATGGTCTCTTAGCTTGTCAAATGAATGCTGAAGACGACGCCTCCAATCCTTTATCTCTGTAGAAGTACTTGGAATAGGTGTGACATTTTCAGCAAGTCCACTTTTTGGTTCCCCACTTTCAGTCTTCTGCTTCCAGAGGGTCATTACAGCATTCGGCAGTAGTTCATCCAAGATGGTAAATGCAACTCCCAAAAGGGTAAGCTGTTCTGAATCTGTTTCAGCTCTAAAAGATACAAACTCCTTCAGCTCAGTAAGACTGTCATCATCAGATGGACCTGGTAGGGCTTTAATTAAAGCATCCATGTATTTATCAAAAAGTTGTCCGATCCTACTCAGTATGTTTCCACCAAAATGCAAAATGGTCAAGGGGGTCAACTGTTCCAATATATCCTGTGAAATTTTTACCAATATAGCATTATGAACTGATAGTTGAGTCATTACTTGCAAATTAGTAACATCGATGAACTTGGCATTACTAATTTACTAGTGAACAATACGTATTCAAAATTTCAAATGCATATGCACAGACAGACATAGAAAAGTATTCTGCAGAAACTAATTGCTTACTTATCAGGTGTGCCCATATCACATGCAAGCACACACAGAAAAGTAGAAGGCACCTGCATACTTAATTACATTGGAAGTGTGTGTATAATTGTATAATTGTATTTAACTCAATATTTATCAGACATCCAAACCTCCTCAAGTCCAGCTGAGTGTAAGGGAAACCTTTCCCAAGAAAATAATGAAGACATAATTTGGAGAATTTTAAAATTTTTGTTCTCAGAGTAGTTAGAATAAAGGCTTGTTAAATCGACTTAATATAAATTCAAGCATTCTATTGCATTCTGAGAATAGGTCTGAAATCTTGCTATCATCCTAATTTCTCAAGTTCAATCCTCAACAAAAAACCTAACAAGACCAGCATAAGTTAATATAATGCTTGTATCAGTACAAAGACATGAAAATAAAAATTATTTGTAGAAAGATTAGAATAGTCCTAACTTACTTCAACAATGCACATAAATCTTATCCCACTATCAGCAATCAAACTATGTGATGATGTTGTGAATGCAGACAGAGGAGGTGCAAAGCGAGGTGAAAATGGCATGCACTCATCAGCTTCTACCAAGTCAAGGACAACTTTTCTTGCCCGTCTAAATTTCAACTCTAAAACTTCTTCAATAAAAGGCCGCAACAACACCAGAATCAATTTTGATAGTTTCAGCCCTTGTCGTTCCAGCATCAAAGAGTAGTTGAGACTAGCCTGAACACAAATGCTAGCTGCACGTAAAGCAGACACTGTGTCAGAAGATGGTGCATTCTCTTTCACCAACCGTACAAAGTATTCGATTTCCCACTCTGCCCATTGGACTACTCTATTGGTATAAACACGATCATCACCAAATATTA